GAGGGCAGAGGGGGACGGGGTGGCGGCCTCCATTGATTGGTTGGCTGCGCGGCTAGGAAGAAGGTTGGCGTTGCAACTACCCCGGGGGTACATGAACCCCAACAGAGTCTGTGCCTGGCTGCCTTGGCTTGGGCTTTGCCTTGGTTAGCGTCGCCCTCCCCACCCAGTACCGTAGTTTCACCCCACAGTATAAAACGCACGCGCAACACATGGACCCAGTAGTGGATCAATACTCGAGCGTGCTGCCCCGGCGACTAAACGAATATTCTGTCTCGCTCTTTGGCCGCCATCATAGTCATATACCCGTCGCCACTACCGTCCTCGCCCCGACTCCCCGTCTCGCTGTCTCTCTCTCTCTCCCATACAGTCTCTATCACTGTTACCCCTATCGGGGCTCCCGACGTATAAATCTTTCTCGACAGCTAAACGCCCACGGTCGATCTTCGACAGCCAGGTAAAAGATGTCCAAAGGAAAAGGATGCCTCGCGGCCGACACTCACGCGTCCCATCCGAGTTTCCGGTTGATAACCGGAAGCCGATGGCTCCTTGGTATGGACATAGAGAGACGCCCAAGGAGCGGCCTTGCTCCGTGGAAAATTGCAAAGCGTTACACGGCATTGCTCCCAGATCTTCGTGCGAACTTGAGGTCTGAGGAATAAGGGTATGGTGGTGGCTAAGAGGCGAGGGGAGGGATGAGAGTCAAAGGTGGTGGTGGCGGTGCTGGTGGAGATACGTCGGTCGTTTGCGCGTGCCGAAGCCACACCCTGGCTAGGTGAGCGGATTAGGCCTCTAGACTGACTCTTTACGATTACAGGCAAAAATATTATAGAATCACTGTGACGTCTTTGTTTCGTTTTTTTTTTTTGGGTCTTTTCTTTTATCTTCCAAGGCTATGTGATAATTGAACATTTTAAGTCCACGTAAAAGTATTGCAGACAGGGTACAGTCTTATCTGGTTATAATGCCGATCGCCATGTTTATGAATTCTAGAGCCCGGAATGGTATCTGGATGGAGGTAGATTCTTGTCGCGGGTATAGGGAGTCCAGGTATAGAGTTCTTTGTTCGCTTGGGTACTCGGTGGACGGGGTTGGAGCAAGCGAAAGGTCAAAGGTGACACGGGTTGTCAGGAATAGAGGGAGGCATTTGAGAGACGTGCGCGTGTCACAGGGAAGGTATTGGGACCGTAGGGATAAATTATTTTGGAATTTAATAACGGGCGTTGTTAAATTGGGATGTAAAATCGAGAAACTTAATAATCGATATATATATATATACATATATATACGATCAACACATAGATCGATAATTAATAGTCAGACACAGAACACAAAGTAAAGAAAGAAACGAACATACCGGTTAACGATGAAAATCAGTGGTGGAAGATGCTGACTAGCGCAGAACGGGACACGTAGGTTCTTTATAACGATGGTCGTTCGATTCGGGGACTTTTTTGAACGGTTCGGAAAATTGAAAAGGAGCACGGAGCTCTTAAAAAATTGCTACGTTACAAGTACTAACGTGTAACAGACAGTCTCTCTCTCTCTTTCACACACACACACTCTCTCTCTCTCTCTCTCACTCTCTCTCACTCTCTCTCACTCTCTCTCCCTCACTCGTTAATACATACAAATTTTGTCCTTTTACTCGCGAGACGATAAATTCAAAAAAAAAAAAAAAAAATATTGCACCGATCCTCGAATCTCAAAGAAGCAATAATTACGTGAAAATTAAACTACGTCAGCTCGTATCCAAACGATACATGTACGTTTCCTTTTTTTTCAAAATTTTTAAAAATATATTTCAAACGATCCCTCTCTCTCACTCTCTCTCTCTCTCCCGGGTGACGCTCCCTTTTCGGTATCTTCCTCGAAAATCTTCCTTTGTAGGTTAGGTTAGGTTAATCCCTCGATTCACGGTGTTAAAGTACGCGACTCGCGACTCGCGAAACCGAAAGCTTTCGTTAAACTCGTGGATTGAAGTGGCTCTAAGTCGCGATGAAGAATATTACGAACTTTCGAGACATAATTTCTCTCCGTTCGTTTTCCTTTTTTTTCCTCTCTCTCTTTCTCGTTTTCGCTTCCACAGTCGGTATTGATAATTTTATATTTGTTTAGATGGAACAAACGTAGTCCGTTATTAAGATATCACGCAGGTAGACGTCTCGAAGTTTGGGTTTTGTTTCGCGGGTGTAAAATATCGAACGAAAGAATTACGAGGATGTATATATATACATATATATCACGTTAAAATGAATATATACATATACATATATATATATATTTATTTAAGAAGGGTAAAAAACCAGACGATGAACGTAATGTAATTGAAAGGCAATTAACGGGGAAACGAATTAACGAATTAACGAATCAACCAATCAAGTAAGGTAAGTAAGGTAATAATATTGCGGGCAACGGTGTCTACAACGCAATGCCTTATGTGGTGCGGTAACTAAACTGACGGGGTGGCCGGGATCGCTGCTCCATCCTGGATCCCACCCTGAGGACGGAGAGTGGGGGTGGAACCGGTATACGAGGTGGTGGGGATTGCGATTCCGATAGGGACGATAGGGGAGGAAACGCGTGATCGGGGAAACGCAGGGGCCTCCTGGGGAAGGAACCCCAAGGAACAACCCTTACTTGGAAAGCTACATGGACGCAGGTTGCTTGCCCTCTTGCAACCCCTCTTTTGGAATTTTACATATTTTTTAACCTCTTAGCCCTTCCTCGTCATCCCTCTCCCTGTCCCTTGACATCCTCTTTGATATTTATTCGGTCTATTTTTATACCATCCTTTCATTCTTCATTTCCTTACTTCCGCCTTTCTCCTATACTTTCACCACCCTTGGTTACCCCTGTCAACCCCTTTTGCCTGGGTACGGTCGCGGACCTTTATTATACACCAGCGTTGATTGCACACTGCAATTTGTATTTTGGACAGTGACTTGATTTTTATTTTTATTTTTAAATTTCCTAAATTTCCCAGGGGTTAAGTTCGTACGCTTCCTTGAGATACGGGATAGGATAGATATTTGAGTCTTGCTTTGTACTAGGGTAGATCAAAGTTCCGGGTTTATTGTTCTAAGCGGGTTAAGAGGATCAGAGGGTGCGTACCGCTACCCTTGTATTTTCACTGAGTTTTCCTCATTATCGCTCGGTTCAATTTCCCCGATTAGTTTCAATGTTAAAGAAGCATAATAACGTTTCGAAAATTCCTATAAACTTCGACGCTTTCCCTTGGGTGATTTTGCGAAATTTATCTCGTCGAAGTAAAATAATTTTGAAAATCCCAAATAGACGATGTACCAAACGTTGGTTTAAAAAAATTTGAATCGCGTAAACTTTATAGCCGCCGATTTTTTTATCTATTTATATGCAGCGTCACAATGTCGTCGGGTGCATTGACTTTTTTCTATTTAGATGCACAGTTCTTTATTAATTGTCAGCTGTAGTCCATGCGTGTTTAACGTGCGTGCATACACAGTGGCACAAGTCCAGAACACGATGACCATTTTATAATGAGTCAGCCCAGTCAAGAGAAATCGATAAGCATAATCATTCAGTCAGGGAATAATGCATTTCATTCGTGCCACCCGGTACACCCTTGTATTATGAGATACGGGAGAGATAGGCGGATAGGAAAAGCGACGGGGAGAAGAGCGAGTACGATCGTGCGTGAGTGAGTTCAGGGGGAGGGAGAGAGAGAGAGAAAGAGAGAATTGCACTGGTGGGGAGGTCAGTAGCGTAGGACGATAATCAGTGATGAGATCCCCTTAAGAGGCTTGTTACAATAGCAGCGACTAAGTTGAACCCTTAAATGAAAATATATAACCCTGTGAAAAAAGTTTTTTTTTTTCAAAAAAAAAAAAATTCGTACCTATACAAGTAGGCCGTTTCCTTGTGTGAAAAAGTATGAAAAATTTTGCAAAAATGAATAATTACATTTCCAAAAGATATTTTCGTAATTGGCATCATTGAAAAGGGCACTTTTAATTGAAACATTGAAAACGTAAAAAGGTGTTGAAAATATTATTTTTCGAAAAAAAATCTCTGAAGCAGATTTTAGATTCTTTTTCAAAAAATTTTTTTCAAGTGCACGAGCCCCAGGAAAGCACCCGGGCCGAGTTGCACCCTGTAGCAGCAGGCGTCGCGACGCCATTGAGTCCGATAGTGTAGTAGACGGGGCAAAGAGTATGAATATCGATCCCTTCTGTGTTCTCCTTGTCAGTCATTCACTCTCCGCAGGGTAACTCCACTACTCTCCCTTCCTGACTCTCTCTCTCACTCATATGCACTCCCACCCTACTCTGTAATTCTCTCTCTCGCTTAGGCTCTTCCCCTGTCGTCCTGTTCGATACGCGCCAACCCCAGTTCCAGGTCTGCCAACCCACTCAGGGGTTCACTTTAACCCCCGCAAACTCCTTTCAACGAGCGACGAGCTTCCCCACTAGACAACCCCTACATTCCCAATCCTACCCTGGTGCACCGGCATTGCCCTAGCTGCGAGAGGGTTTGCGCATGACACACGACTGCCAAGCCTACCAACCTCCAACGCCCTCGCAGTCTCTTTTGACCCAAGACATTTCTAGCTCCTGTTAATACCAACGATTCTTCATTCGACGGTACCAACGCGTTACTACCCCAGAAAGACATGGGCATCCCTTACGTGTTCGTAAAAGCTAGTCAAGCTCGCCTCTTAAAGACCCACTGGACAGCAGTCAGGGGAGTTCAACCCTTGGGGAGAATTCAGTCCCGAAGATAAGACGGCATGCGCGTCAGCCCTGAGCTCTTCCTACTGCCAACCCCTTGAAACCGTAAGACCCTTATATCGAGAGAAATGACCCATGATGCAGCTCTAGTCCAAATCCTACCTCTTCGTCATCCGAGAGACCAGGGCCATTTTTTATATATATAAAAAAAAAAAAAAAAAAAACGAACCCACGGGTTATTTTTTTTTTTCATCCATAAAAAGGATATATTCCTCCACGAATATACTCTATCCCACCCCTTTGATACGTTACAATATGAAATAATACGCTACAATATGAAAACAAAGAACGAATTTTCTATCGCGAAAAATCATACAGCGCTACACGAGGCGAAAATTTATCCTGCGGCTATTGTGCAGCCACCCTTCGCTCTCCGACGGCTCTCGCTACCACACCCCCCCGGGCGTCCATGGGCGTCGCGCTGCCTGCGTATCGCCCTTCGTAACAACACGGCGGCATATATCCGGTTAGCGCGAACTTTCCTGGCATGTTCACAGGATAATGAGTCGTAACCGCACGGGCATTAAACCCCGTACGGTTCGTACGTACATATATCGATTCAACAAACCAAGGAAACCAGCGAATTGGCCAAGTGTCGCCAAGTTTGAGGTCCGCCACACGGATACCAGGAGTGTCAGTTCAGGACTGGCCTTTACAATATGTCGGACGCCGAATCCGGTAGGTGATTTTACGTATACAAATCGTGTTTAACGTCGCACCAGAGGATCGCGTTGTTTTCTATGATTCTTGGAGGTTATGTCGTGAGGTCTTCACGAACGAGGACGACATACGCGGCGACCTGTTTATGGGCGAATTCTCGAGATTCCAATCGCGTGCTCCGATCATCTTCATACCTTCTGGAATTTATCTCCGGGCTCTCAATGATATTCCAAATGGCATCCGTGCGAATAGCCCACCGGCATCGGGTCACGGAGTATCTGGAAAAACTATTCCATTTCCATCGTTCCTGATGTTAATCTGACGCCGTGTCAATTTCCTTCGACGAGTCACGCGAAGATTACGGAATGTTACGTGACGTCAATTGGCATTCGAGTATTTTCGCACTCAGAGCTTTGGCATCGCGTGAAGATTCTTGCACCTTTTTACAAACTTTGGCATCCTGACCTTTGATCTATTTGATAAGTCAATTTTCGGATAGTGCCGGTATCAATGTGCTTGCTTTTAATTTGCATTGGTTCACTCATTTAATTTTCATTTTTAAATGAAAATGAGTTTTGCATTTTTATGAATTTTCAAAAATCAATTTTTCTTTAAAAGTCTAATTCTACATTGTCGGACTTGGAGGTTTATTCTTTTTTTTCAAAATTTTTCGATATTTCTTTCTTTCACTTTCTCTTGTGCCTCCATTCATAGGTTATAGTAAGGTTCAACGTATGATATACGTATCGGCTGTACGTACTCCATGTTGAATCATTGATAAATAAAGCGTCCTGAGGTTACACGGACCTATACAGTATTAATAATCGGATGATCGTCCGATAGTGACATGCACTATAACCGCTAGAAATAGATATTACTAGTCTCGATTTAAAGTACAGTGGCACAATGTACGATACTCCGGTTACAATAGTTGTCCTATGCGACTGGAATATCAAGTACAATAAAGAAGCATTAAAAAGATAATCTGATTTATCAAAAATTTGGAACAAAGATAATCATATCTTTTTTAATACAAAAATATTGAAAAATCAAGATCCACAGTGTCGTGGATAAGAGTGACAAAATTGACCAGACTGGTGTAATACCCATCTGGTAATTAACCCTTTATCAGATTAGCCTTGTTGCTACATCCAAGAAAACTGACACAGCATCCACAACTATTATATCTTCGCATCAGCAATATCTCATATGATAGCCGGGACCGACGCTGACTGTAGGGGATCAGCATACCCTGAATAGAATAGTCGATGAAGATTATCAGCAGAGAGATAAGATTTTCTTGTACCTCGTTACAGGAAACAAGGTATAACGGTACGTGCCAGTGCTGGAAATCTTGTATTGAGATCCGAGTGTGTCTAACCGAAGTGACGTTAGTCGTTAAGAATTTGAAAAAAGGGGTATTACCACCCTCGGAAATGAAGAGATGCAAAAGCCTCGCGTGCCAGGGAATTCAATTTCGAAGATCGTGTAAGCGCGTTAGCACGTTCTTAGTTACCTAGAGAGAATGAGAATCCGATCGAGAGAGAAGGCGAATGGCCACGCGAAAGGCGAATCAAGTGGCGCCAGGGATGGTGAACGTAAAATCGGAGATTGTAGCAGGCGTCAGGCGGACACGAAGGAGGTTTCGTGAAAATTGCGAGCACGAACCGAACCCTCTTCTGCTCTGCATGCAGCCCTTACACACTCGATGTATCAGTCCTTGCCGACAGTTTAAGTAAGTCGGATGCTCCATTCCAACGAAAAGCATGTCCCGTCCGGGCGAATATCGCGATCCTCTGGAGCACACGAGTCTCTATCAAAGGGCGGGTTAGCTTGAAAAAAACAATAAAAATAAATACAAAAATTACCACCCTGACAAAACCTCGACTGATATACTTCTTACAGAGAGCGAGGACAGCGACGCGGAGGGTGGTCTTGGAAACGTGAACAAGCTGGTGATGCGCCCACTGGGTCACAGTGGCAAGGCTAAGAAAGGACACCTGTGCTTCGATGCCTCCTTCGAGACTGGTAACCTGGGTAGGGTTGACCTCGTCTCCGAGTTCGAGTATGACCTCTTCATACGACCTGACACCTGCAGCCCTCGACTGCGTCTCTGGTTCAACTTCACCGTGGACAACGTTCGCTCCGAGCAGAGGGTCATCTTCAACATCGTCAACATATCCAAGAGCAAGAATCTCTTCCGTCAGGGTATGACTCCCTTGGTGAAGAGCAGCAGCAGACCCAAGTGGCAGAGGATCCCCGGCAGACAAGTCTTCTACTACAAGTCTCTCCAGCATCAGAATCACCACGTGTTGAGCTTCGCCTTTGCCTTTGACCGTGAAGAAGACGTCTATCAGTTTGCCCTGACCTACCCTTACTCCTACTCACGTCACGTGGGTCACCTGGACAACCTCTGTGCCAAGTGTTGCGACCTGGTCAAACGGGACACTCTCGCCTTCTCGATCCAGAAGAGGAAGGTCGAATTGACAACGATCGGTTCAGCTGGTGAACATCCGAGGAAGGTCGTCGCCGTCTTGGCGAGGGTCCATCCGGGCGAATCGCCCTCGTCCTTTGTCTGCCAAGGTCTGATGGACTTCCTCGTGAGCAGCCACCCCATAGCCCAGGTCCTCAGGGATTACGTGGTCTTCAAGATAGTTCCTATGCTGAATCCGGACGGGGTGTTCCTGGGTAATTACAGGTGAGACGCTTTGTAAGCATCATCCCCTGGTATCATTCTCTTCCCACGTCCTCCTCGTCGCCAGGTCAACGCTGATGGGTATGGATCTCAATCGATCTTGGAATCGAATTTCCGACTGGGTTCATCCCACCCTTGCTGCCACCAGAGCCTTGCTGGAGTCCCTGGACAAAAATCCAAATGCTCCTCTGGACTGTGTACTAGACCTTCACGCCCACACTAACGCCACCGGTGTCTTCGTCTACGGCAATACTTACGACGACGTCTACAGGTAAGCTCCACTTTATTTCACCAGCTAATTTTAGTAAAAAAACGTTCATCGTCAAGTACCTGACCCAAGGCTGCCAGCCACGTAGGTACGAAAGACACATCGTCCTACCGAAGTTATTGGCCCAGCATACCGAGGACTATGATCCTTCGAGCACGATGTACAACCAGGATTCGCAAAAGGCTGGTACAGCTCGACGTTATCTTTGCTCAATATTGAGCGAACACGTCAATTGTTACACGATCCAGGTCTCGATGTATGGTTACTGTCGAAAGGGTACATCGGTAATATTACCATATACCGAGGAAGGCTGTATCCTTTTAAATAATTTAATTTTAACAAAAATATATTAATCAAATTTCAATTAAAATCAAAATACACTTTTGATTCTACGGATGATTATTAATTTAAAAAACAAAAAAGTAATTCTATAATTAAACTAGTTATAAGAACGTTTCTCAGAACGTTTGACTTTCCGACGTCATTCGTAACGTCATAAAATCAATTTTCCCCTTGAATATCTTATCGCAGATATAAATATTACCCTTATGTAATATTTAGAATATAAGCATGCCGTGAGCATTGGGTCACTTGGGATTTCCATATATAAAATTTAATTATCCACATTTTAACCAAAAATGGAGTACCTATCAATCGAGATATATATATTCGATATCAATTTAATCGCCTAACTGTTCTTATCACGTAATATAATTTTTATTGGCGTACAGTATAGCTACAATAAGGTTATCGATATAAAGCGATTGGAGATGTTACAGGCGCGTGGAAAACCTGTCGTATGGAAAGTTTAGTAAATTATTAATAGGCGAGAAAATCAGTGAGTGGAAAAAGAGGGGGGGGGGCGGTACCAGGGAGGAGATAATTGGGTGAAAATTTTCCTACAGTAACACAGGTACCTCATCGACTTCGTCGCCCCTAAGAATTCCTGAGGTTCTAAGGGTTGGAAAAATATAGTCTAAATTAAGGATCCTCGCGAGATAAGACGTTTCCTATCAAGTAAGGTTATTCGAACTGATCCAACACGGCAGTTGGTAGCACTGGAATAAGCAAAAAATAATTTTAAGATACGACCTCGTTTAAGGTCGCATTTGATTAAACTTGATAAAATTAATTAATGGATTTACTTGAAATCTCAAAAAAATCCAAGTAGTTGAATATTTGACCTTAACCTTTCAACTACCAGATTATAGGATAGGTCGGAATTTGGCGCGGGTATTTCTCGAATACTATAGATTGACCGGACTGATACCAGCTGGTCTTCCAGATCAGCCGTCGAACAAACGAGGTCGTCAGTCCCGACAGCGTCATCGAACACCTCGAAGACCTCGTCCACGAACAGCCAGGACACCAGCTCCTCTACACCTGGCCAGCATACACGAGTATTATTAAAATAAATTTTTCTTCCACGAAACGTATGGAAATTTGGATTTGAAATTTTTTAAAAAATGACAAGCAAAATTAATAATATAGCAATTATGAGATTTTGGAAAAATCTAACTTAGAAATCGAAATTTTGATGTTCGTTGTCATTTTATGAATGAATCCAAAATATGATTGACAGATATTTTCGTGAGGAGGTGACGGATACTTCGTCAGGTACTCGTTACCGATCAATGAGCGGAACCCGAATGAACGTAGGAACGGGAACGGGTGCTGGAACTGGAATTGGAAGTGGAAGTGGAACTGGAACGGGTGGTGGCAGGAACCTGAGCTACAGGTTCCGGAGTCCCGGAGCCCCAGTCGACAGGAAAGCCCTGTCTACACCGGCCACGGAACCGAGACTCACCATTATCGATTTCAATCAGCTGACAAGGGGCGGCTTGGACCTGGCTACTGGGAAAAACAAAGCGAAGATCCCGCATCGTTCGCCCCATCGATATGCAAAGCCTCGAAGATAATGGTACTCCGAGTAAGATCACGTTTCCTCGATAGAAGGGCTTTTATCGGAATAATTTGTTCGGAATAAAAAAGGGATCGGTGGAACAATTAAAATATGAATCACCGACGCCAGGATGTAGATCCTACAGGTTATCGAGAGCCAAGAGAATGAATGTGGAATTTATCGATTTTTAGGAAATTTAACAAAATTTTCTCTTACGGATCTATCGATATTTTTACGATAGACCAATCGGAAATCGATTATTTAGTGACAATCGATATCAGAAAATGCATAATTCCTGTTTTATACTTCATTATCTCGAATGGCTCAATTTTTTAAATCTAAATTTTAGTACCTCGAGACAGGTACATTTCGATTTATCTAAATGTCATGGCACTGGATCAAAATATTATGTAACGATTATAGACAATTATTATAAAGTTCCTAGGATCGATCTTGGTCTTCCTTATAATCGGATTTTCAAAATTCACATTTTACTTTTCAGATAAGCGCACGGTATCGTATTTGTCACGTTATTCGAATTAATTATTCGAACAGATATTTTATACATCTGCTCGAATCTATCATTGACGGATCTCTGAAATAATTGCACGTATCAATCATAATAATATTAATTTTTAAAGTTCCTGATATTATATATCAACACTTTGAATTACATCCAGCCATTTTATATGCGACTGCACGTATAATTGTATAATAACATAATACAAAGATTAGGAGTATCATTCGCTTCTATCTATAAGCTTACAATCTAAGTATAATTAAAGAGCAATTTTCTATTTCTATATCTCTATGTACACTCGAGCTGTGTATGGCTTCATGCATAGCAATAAAGAAGAATCTCCAAATCAATTATACTATACGTATACATATTCAGATATAAAATTTCCCAACCATCTTAAAACACCTGTACAAAGTCAATCAATAATTTTCAACAAGGTTCAACGACAACAAAGGATACTCGATGAATGTAATATAAAAATTGAGCAAACCTCAGCAGACCAGTGAATGCAACACGTTGTTTTAGGAAAATTAAAGAATGTGTTAAATAAACTTCAGAAGTCCGTCTATTTCATAATACAAAAATGCAGTATAGTCAAACTAAAAATTTAATCGACTCTCAGAAATGTCAATAAAGTCTATACCCAAGGTAAAGATTGTTCGTAATCATATCCTTGTCAACGATCAGTAATGAGTATTTTGAATCGTCTTATATTCAATGAACTCAAAGAAAATTAAAAAAAGCATACGTACACAGGGAATACTATCAGACAATAAGGCACGTACCTGAATGATATAAGTATTTTTTTTTGGTTTTCGAAAATTCAACGAACTCGCGAACCCAGAACGTACAAATATAGTTATAGGGCAAGTATACAACGTTCAGCCCCGAGTCAGCGGTTACAAGGATAGTTCCTCGTAGCAGATGTATCCCGGTGCGTGGATAATCAACTCGAACGAACCAACGAACGAATCAATGTCAATCAATTGTAACAGAACGGAACTAAAACGAAAGAAATGAAACTAGCGAAAGAAGGGAGCAGACAAGCGGCCAGTAGCTTCTACCCCGGGGCTTGACGGAACTGGCTAGCAAAGCCAGCTCGTTGGTACAGCTTTGGCTCCCTCTAGAATCTGGATGGCCCGATGGCTTCGCTTGGGACGTTGGGGTTGGCCGAGAACAGGGCGGTGGTCGTTGAACCAACTGTATAGACGTAATATCTGCGTGGACCTGGTGCGCGAATGCTCGCACCGACATCCTCGTCCTCCCGGGAGAGACCACCCTAAAACCCAACCCTGAAAACCCGGCACACCGTGGCTATACCCTTTGGCTGGTACAACGACGACCTCGACGCGGAAGCTCATCTCGACCCTTGAGTCTCTTCGTGTCTATATATCTATATACTTTTCTGCCATTGCTGTTGCTTCCGTTGATCATGATAGCATGGAATTACTAATGTCCGAAATACATAACTTTATCAATTGGCTGAGCTTTATTAGTTTTCTGATTCAATCCCTGTAAATATATGAATTAAATTCTCATATAACTTATTATCCGGCGAGATTAGTGTATCAATCTGGGAGGATCAGTAACTTTGTGAATTTCGAAAAACTCGAACGCGCTTGATCGTCGCGTTTCGTCTATTTATATGTAAGGTGTGAACTCCTGGGGAAGTTTCCGGAACGATTTATAGTCTCTACGAACATATAACGGGTGTCAACAGAGAAACTCGCTTGTAAGATTGTTATTTTGAACATTAATACGATACTCGTAGTGACGACTAATCGTGACACTAAAAGTTTGTTGAGAATTTATAATATGTTTCATGGAACGGATGCCTGTTTCGAGACTTACATTAGTGAGGCTATTATTTCAGTAATAGTTCTGTTATTAATATACTACTCCGTGTTATATGCTACATTGGGGTAATTTGTACGACATATTTTGAATTTCGAGCTATTCGGAGTTTATTAGAGCTATGAATAAATAATGGGCACTGAAACGGTTTGAGTGCTGATTATATGCAATCGACCCTATAAGACCTTTGTGAAAGACAGTGCTTCCTTAAGAAATTTAGTTAAATATTGATGTTTGCTTAGGTATGAAATAAACTACTCATCTTAGCTAACAAAGTCTGTATTTACTTGCCGAAAGCAACTAGCAAATCTTGTCCCTCGTGTCGAGACAGTGTACTCCTTTTTGTTTTGGACGACTTTGACCTTTCTGAAAAATATAAGTTTCGCGTCCATCGCGAAAACATCGACCGTATTTCTAACATTGGAAACGCGAGGGAAATAAATATTTCAATTACAGAATCATCGGAGATACAAGCACTAACGATTACTGCGATATTAAAGAATAATATTTTACGACTCCAAAACTAATGATATTCTAACATGAATAATCACAATTGACGAATCAACGCTCTTGAATATTCTTTTTTCCTGGTTTCAATTTACCATAAATCATTTTTGATCGATCATTTTCGGTTTATCATTCGTCCTAATACGTGGATAATATTTTTAGAATATTTGTACAGCAATGAATGACAATAAAGCGAAAGAAAAAGGATTTTTTAAACTCACGTTATCCAAGGTCTTCTTCATTTCGATAGGGTAATCACTTTTTTCACAGGAGCTTGTACTTCCACTTGTTAATATATTATAAAAAATTATGACAATGCTCAGACCGCTTAAACTTTTTATCCGACCAACGGTTTTTGCTTCCTCAAGCGTAGACACAGTCGCCATCTAGTGATTTATAACCAAAGTACTAGGCGGTTACTACATCGACAAACCGTCTGTTTGCCTTTCCTACGAATAAGTGACTGTAAATGCATTGGCAAGTTATGTACTGAATTCGTGATATATACAAATTCAAATAGCATATCACATCTAGGAGAACCAATTTAAAATATCATGTATTAATATTATCCATGTGTGGTGATGTAACTAAAAATTGCCTATATAAATGTGAAAAGCGTCATTTATAACACGGCGGAATCAGCACCATCTATGAGAAATCTGTCGTGAAATGCCTTGTAGATTTTTGGTGAAACGTCGACCCCCACCAAGTCGCCATATTTTACCGAACGAACAAGGAGTTCTAACCACGCCATTGTGCACAATAGCAAGTTTTGGACAGTCTTAAGGATATTCCGTGATATTGAAGTGAATTAGGCTATTCAGGAGAGTGCACTTATTTTGGAACAACTGTTTAACGTGAAATTGATTTGGCGAGTGATCCGAAGCACATCGTACGTTCGCGAGGTAACGCATATTAATCAACGCCACGATTCGTAATCTCATTCTGCACTGGGCCCAGCTTTGGAAATCCAAATCAGCCGTTCGCCTAAAATTCGAAATCGCTTTTGATATTCGAAGGGAATCACAGGGATATGCTATTGTGTTAGATAAATTGTACTGCATTTTACCTCGTTTTTCTATTGCTTTTATCGTTTTTATAAAATAAATTCGTGGCACATTCCTGACAAGCCTCCTGCTCTGACCTGCTGTGGAAATGTTTTCTCAAGTGTCTCGTAAATGTCTTGTTGACCTATTTTTATTTGAACTAATGAGATAAAATTAAATTTATAGGTCAGCTAAAGTATTTTTGATGTATTATTTTAAAAAAACGAATGGATCTTTTAGAGCACCTATGCCATATCTGCCATTTTATTATCACTCGCTTTTCATAATTGTACAGAGATATACACTTTAGAATAGTATGACTATTAGTCTGCAAGGAAGATGCTGTTTTATGCTACGTTAATGTTCACAGAACGAGTCCTTGTCCTGTTACAGGGTTACAACAAATGCATGGATACCATGTACAACAGCAACATTGATCCTTGGGAACCAGGCTATGGTCCTGAAAGAAGAGGTCATGGTTCAGACTATGGTGACTATCGCAATGAGTATGGAAGCAATCGTTCTCCAGAATATGTAGAGCACCGTGATACTGATCATCGTGAAAGAGAACATCGCAGTCCAGACTACAGGAACCATCGTGGGAGAGAAAGGGATCGTGAAAGGGATCGTTCCAGAGAAAGAAGAGAACGGAGTCGGGAAGACAGAGATCGAAGTTATAGAGACAGAGAGGATCGTTATGGGAGACAAAGAGATAGAGATTCTGTAGAAAGAGATCGAGAACGTGATCGTGATCGTGAAAGAGATAGAGATCGATCCCGAAGGGATAGAGATCGAGACAGAGATAGAGATAGAGACCGTAGAGGAAAAAGAGATGATAGAGATCGTGATCGAGACGATGATCATAGCCGAGAAAGCATAGATTTTGAGCACGACCATGGTCGCAATTATGGTTCGTCCATGGAAGGAGTCCACTACAAGTCTCAGTCTCCGAACAACACCATAATGATTCGTGGGCTCGCCCAGCATATCACTGAAAACGACGTAGGTTGTCAACTTAGTGGTCCAAGATAAACTGACCATGCGTGAGTTTCTAATTGCTCACATGAGTCACTATTATCATTCTGATGTGTCTATCACAGGTGCGGCAAGACATCCTCAACTGTGGTCTCATGCCAAAGGACATCAGGCTGATTCGAAAGAAAGACACAGGTAACTATCTCCAGCTTAAAGAACTAGAATCTTCATTTTTATTTTATATCTTCACCCTCCGACTATGCTGTTCGTTGACTCTGCAACTATCTCATCGGATTTGTGCACCGGAGAACTTCGTGTCGATTTCGTATTCTTATTGTCAGTCTAGGAGCCAAATATTTGTTAGTTTAATATGAGGAGGATCATATAGTAATCATTAAAAAATAAAGTATAATATCATTATTAAAGGTAAGTTCAGGAGCATTAGGAAAATACCATCATCCTGATACACGATACACTCCACATAATAAAGTATCTAATTTATAATTATATAAATATAAAATACAAAAGCAATGCGCTATTGATCCACCTCCATACTTATACGGGGCATTAACCGAATACGGCTTCAGAATTAATATCAGAAGATGCAAGAATAAATTTGTCACGCAGCAAGCATGTATTCAGATATAACAATTTTAAAAGCAACATCGACACAGAGATAACCAAAATCATATCCCTCCGGTGCTTTCCGCTTTTGATTTCAACTATTCAACTTGGTTTCACGATCCCGTGACTCACGTAGTCATAACCACGAAAGAAGTAAGCGAAAAAGTTAAAGCAAATTTTAAAAAAGAAAGCAAAGCTTCGGTGGTGATAATACTAATAAAAAGATACTAAGATCTGTACGAACTCCTACGAACAGTTCAAGTACGTTTACCATAATAAGGAATAAATTTCAAGGTACCATATATACATATATATTCCTCTATTAATTCCTTAATCGAGGCAATAATCTTGAACTGTTCCCAAGAACGAGTTGTACAGAGAGTTCCAACAACTAAAAGAGAAACAGCAAGAGACTCTATACACGTAGTTCTGTCTCTGAGGACTAGTATTTAGTTATGCTGAGCTTTAGGTAAACGGAAATGAAAATCAAGCGCCGAAACGAAGGAATTGCTTCGTTCGGAACTCAGTCTGTCAATGGTTGGTGCTGTGATTGACTGCCCTCTCTCAGAGTAGAGATACCCCCAGGCAAAACGTGGATTAACTTTGGATCTGTGTGTATTTGCTCTGTATAGGTGCTTCGCGAGGTTTTGCATTCGTCGAGTTTAACGCGACTCAGGAGGCCGCACGGTGGATGGAGATGAAACAGGTAGAAAGAAGTTCAGTCCAGATCCCAACCGATGTGTTGCTTGCGTGCCACCGACGCCCCGTGGCGGCAAGGGCACGGTAACGCAGCCCACTGGCCGCTCCATGGCCATGGCTCTGCACCTATCAAAGGCTACTTCAATCTACCATACCTAATTATTTATTTATCTAGGAACCACAACCCGTAAATCAACCCCCCGTCACCCACCTGACCTTCACTATCACACACCCTACAGATTATTCTTATCTCGTCCGCTCGCTCTATTTTTTTCTCTTTTTCTACTCTCGCTCACTCTCTTTTTCTTTCTTTCCATATTCTCTTTTTTTTTTTTAATCATTACACCGTTTCTTTCTCTTGACGCCGCGAATTCTTGTACGCCTTTTCTTTATCATACACTGTCGGAACTGATAAAGTATTTTTTTTTCAAATCTGTTCGTTATTAGCTGGGCTAATGACCTCACTAGTCAAACCAGAGAGTGAATAGACCTATTTCGCTAGAACTCCGATTCGCATATAATAACGTGTAACTTTTGTGATTAGTGGATTTCTCGGGAATTTTATCAAATGCGAATAAATTGTCGATTAGTGTATTGATTACGTTATCTTGATACAGACGAATTCGGAAACAGTCGTTAATCGATGTTTACGTTGATTGGTATGGTAGCGCGTTTTTTATTTTATATTATTTTCTCAGATTGTCATAAAGACTCTTTTTATTTTTATATAACCAATTATTGTTCACTACTCAAAATTCGCGCGGAGTCCACACACACTTGTACGGTATCACACGAAACTCGCAGAATTGTCTTAAAAATATTTCCAAGGAGGCTCGGTAATTTGTGCACGTGACTACCGTGAAAATGAATTTTTTTTTTATCCATACATATTACATAAGACTGACACTGACACGAGTGAAAGTCCGCCCACGTGTCATGCGAAATGGCCCAGAATTTAAAAACCACGACACTTCCATTATCGTTCGCTCGAGACAGAAAGCTATGAAGTAGTATATATTATTTCGTCAGCAAGAAGCAAGTTTAAGGGACGAACGGAGGCCTAAGGAAGATACTGGACGGGATAACACTGAAATTCTCTGTTTCAGGGCGTACTGATGCTACAGGACCAATATCGTGCCCTCATGCAGTACAGTATACCAAAGGATTGTCACGTGGATAAGCCACCGGCAAAAAACACACAAGACTGGCACTGTGTCAAGGTAACAATAATATTCAATTTTTGATTTAATAACGTATAATCTCCAAGGATTTACCCCGATAACGATCTTTTCTTCAATTTCGTAACAGTGCGGAGCTCATAATTTCAAACGACGAGAAACCTGCTTCAAGTGTTCAGCATCGCGAGCTGAAAGTGAAGAAGGTGGTGAGGGAAGTGACGAGATCAGCCCTCATCCAACAAATACAGTCCTCCTAAGAGGGCTTGATGTTTTAACAACAGAAGACTCTGTCCTTCAGGCGATGAAGAACCTGTCGTCAATGCCAATACGCAGTATCCGCATAGGAAGAGACACCCTGACCAACACATCACGTGGAGTTTGCTACTTGGAGATGGGTAATGTAGTGGACGCGATGTACTTGCATACCGCTCTGACCAAGCAGGGCTTAGTCGTCGATGGCCGAAAGGTCGAGATAACCTATTGTAAGCTTCACCAAGTTAACAACACTGGCACGTGGAAGTCAAACGAGAATCAAGCTCAGCGGTATACGCTGGACGACGTGGCGCAATTGGCTGAATATAGCGCAAATATGTACGCGAAAACGCCTGCGCAAAAGGCTCACTATCTTCAGTATTACACGCAATACTACCAGAATCAAATAATGCAGGGCTCTGCTATCACCCTGCCGTCCTTAAATCAAACCGATAGAGTGAATGCAGCTGCAGCTGTAGCGCAGTCTGCTATACAGCAACTGCAAGCATCGAGAAAGCTTGGCGATGCTGAGGAAATGAAAGGTAGGCCAACCCCTACGGCACCAACCAGCACCACTTTGGCCAGTGGAAGAGTCCCGGCACATGCCAATGATGGCAAAGTTTATTGTAAGTTCCATCACTGAGATCCGTATGGTCCTTTTACAAAAGTCTTCGTATGCTTTGTGTGGGCTCTTAATGGCTATTTGTGTTTTTCAGCTGTGCCTGATGTCAGCACCTATAACTACGACGAGTCGTCGGGTTACTACTATGACCCTAGTACTGGATTATATTATGATCCGAACTCACAATATTATTACAACAGTCATACACAGCAGTTCCTGTACTGGGACTCAGAATCTTTATCCTATCAACCAGCCAAGGTAATATCTATATTAACAAATAATAATCCTGTTATACATATGATTCTGACCATCACTACGATTCTCTTACAGACTAGTCCCAATGCAACGCAACCTTCGGGGATTGCTGGTAATTCCACTACAGTTACTGCCACTGCGAGTATCGACAGTGGCCAACAATCTGCTAGTCGTCAAAATCCATCTTCCTCCTCGTTGAGTAACGTTGCTCAAGATCCGTTGAAAGAAGACGAGAGCAAGAAGAAAGATAGCAAGCAGGATAAGGTAAAGGTAGCTAAGAAAATAGCCAAGGACATGGAACGATGGGCTAAGACATTGAATCAGAAGAAAGAGAATGCAAAAAGCAACTGGAACTCTGAGTTTGCGGGTGTCGACGGTCATCAAGGAAGCGGAAGTGGCGCTGCTGACGCAGGATACGCCATATTGGAAAAGAAAAATCTAGCCAACGTGTATCTCGAGGATGAGGACCCAAGCGGTAGTAATGGTTTGGTAGCAGCATACGGTGGTGGTAGCGACACCGACGAGGAAATCGAGGATGTCCAGCAAGAAGACAGACAACATACAGACTGGAGTAAACTAGCATGCTTACTATGTAAACGACAGTTTCCCAGCAAGGAAGCACTGCTACGGCACCAGCAGCTTTCGGATCTACACAAGCAGAACTTGGAGAATTGGTACCAAGTGCGAGGATTGGATCCTAACGATCCTCAGCAGAGGAACAACAAGTACAGAGACCGTGCGAAGGAACGTCGTGCCAAGTATGGTGAGCCTGAACCACCCCAGCCTAACAAATTAAAAGAAAAATATTTAAAAACAAGGGTCGAGGATATATCCGTCTCATACGAGGAACCAACCAGGGCCGGCATCGGTTCTGACAACGTTGGCAACAAACTCCTGCAAAAAATGGGCTGGAGCGAAGGAATGGGCTTAGGAAAATCGAACCAAGGTAGGACGAGTATCATTGAGGCGGAAAGGCGGGTTCCTACAGCTGGACTCGGTGCGAAATCTGCGTCTTACAGCGCACTACCCGGAGACACGTATAAAGACTGTGTCAAGAAGATGATGTATGCGCGCTACCAGGAACTGAATGACACGTAAAATATGCTAAGTATGAATATGACAAATTTTATATGTAAACATGTAATTTGTAATCAAAGGTCGCATAGGTATATATATATATATACATATATATGTATGACCAGGTCTGTAGGTATATAAACCTCCCGAGTAGCCACGATTTGTTGGTACGAAGAAAGTCGTAGCCAATCAAATTTAGAATACCTACGTACAATTCCATGCAGATACAGTTTTATTGCTTTAACGAGAATACAGATTTTTTTAATTCTCTTTATGCACTTTAAGTCAGGCAGTCTGCGAGGAATGACGTCAATGCTCCCCATTATTTTATATCTTACGCCAGACATCGAACCGATGTCAATAATACGCACGGTACTGTCAACCGTACCAAAACTTATCCTCGCAATGTTTAAAACTCTTTTCGCTTCATAATACAGTCCTTTGAGATACATTTTTAATTTTTACTGCGAATCAAGTTTCACCCATTTAACCCTTTGAGTGCGGAGCTCTTCAAATTTTAACGCTTGTCGAACATACATGCGTTCGTAGTACTCAAAGGGTAAACGAATTCCTTACGCAACGGCCCGTAGCGCCTACTGATCTTGTTCCTGGGCAAGAATTTAAATACTCGAAGAAGAAAGAGAAGGATATTTGATGATTTGACTATTTTCTACTGGATTTACAGTGCGCTAAGATAGCAAAGTTCAGACAAGACATAATTTCAATCATGATGATAAAATCGGTTCTTATCAATGTTGTACGACATATGGCGGAACGCAATGATCATGTCGTTAATTAACATTATAAAGTGTAAAAATATTTTCTTATAGCATCATCGTCGTCGAGGTGATGAAAAATTAATTTTTGAAAAGGAATGCAGCATATTAAATCGACAGTGTACATAGCGTTTCACGCATTTGTCGAAATTCTAGATCACTCGTCAACGCTCGAACCTAATTTTCAATCACAGTCATTACAGTTTCTATCGAAGATAGCAGAATCGCGTTATAAGGAGCCTCTGCATATGAATTTATCCTTTAATGACTTGTATTTATTGTGTACGAAAAATGACATTGAATTATCTGATGAATTTCTGAATTTCTTTATGATGTAATTATATCTGATGCTACACAGTTGTATTCCTTTTTTTTTTCATTGATATTTTTTTGCGGTATTTTGAGGTACATTTAATAATATCGGCTATACATACATGCATCTCCACAACCATTCTTACAATTTAATATTATTTTTTTAATTCATCTTGTGAGATTCATGTACTCTAACAGTATATATAATAAATATACACGTGGCACATTGCTTGTAAAAGAGGTCTACCATTGTTTTCTTATGCCATACATATTTATATGTAATTATTTGTCATCTATTACCAGCGAGGTAAAATATTGGTGTATATCATAGTGATTTATAAGCATTTTCTTTAAATGCAAAGGACTAAATTTCTCTTTACTTTTGCATTCCATGACGCATCATTCCAATGACAACTATATTAAACATCTTTTGCACGTGTATCTGATATGGAAAACCTTATAAACATTACTAATTACAGAGATTCATTCTTAAAGTTAGTGCCGACTCATAAATAATATTCTAATTACATATAGCAGATTCACATATACTACAAATATGTTTCATGTATTCTTGTAAAACAATTAATGATAAAAACATCATATTATTGAGATACATTGAGCTACTTATTCGAATTCATAATGATGTGTAGTGTTTCAGGATACATTTCTAGCCCTGTTATTTAAAGATATAAATTTTCTAAGCTAACATGACTTAAGGGTATCAACGAAAAAAGTAGTGAGCATCATGCAACTTATATTTTGATGTATAGAGTGTAGTGGCAATAACAAAATCACTTAGAGATTTATCAACCATTTAAAAAATTTGTTTAACACCTGATAGATGTTGCAAAAGATTCAAGTATAGCCATAGCTTCTGGTATAGATATTTTTGTAATTGCAACAATTTTAACTGCTTTTTATGCAGCCACAGGACGTTTCTTAAACATAATAGCATTACAAATATCATAGATCTGAAATGAGATTCTCTAATATTTTTGCCTCTAATGATGTAGCAATAGAAACTTCTTTCATTCTCAAAAAATCTTTTCATAACTGGCATTACCATTAAGTATTATTTTCCCTTTGACTTATAATTAAGCTTACTCTTTTACGAACAGCTAATGAGCTATCTTTGGAGGAACATGTTCTTAAGTATTGTGAAGTCATTGTTACTTTCCCCTTTTTTGTGATCAACGATGTGGATTACTTATAGCTGCCTGTAATAACACTACAGTAAGGCAGGATATCAATTGATATTAAAAAGTTCCAGATGTTTAGGAGCACGAATATGAGATTCAAACATCAGCTAATATCCAAGAGTAAAGAGGACGTAATTGGTGACTCAGTACACGATATTCCAAATTACTAATTCCATCTGTGTCATATCTGTTTGCTCCACTTTTCAGGTTGGCAAATCTTGCACTACTTGGAGGCTCTTTCTTATGATTTAACATATAATATTGTGCTATGTCTGGTCCAAACCGTGTAACCTGCAAAGAGGATGTAATATCTCACACACATACTTTCAATTAATATAATTACAAAATGTATACCTTGAAACCTCTAGTTTGCAATCGACTCTGAAAGTCATCATCCTCGCCACCCCACCCATAGAAAACATTTGAGAATCCATTGACTCTCTCAAACTGTTTCCTTGTTAGAGCAACAGCCCCACCGAATAAACCAATATATGGTAGATTGTACCTGAAGGTATTAATGCTAGAGCTCATATGACGTGGCATCTTGGTACAAGCGTAAAGATTGTCTGGATTTTGTGGAATCAGATCAATGTCCTGGAAAATGAAGCAGTGGAAGTCATTGATCTTAGTGGCCTCTGCATATCCAACATTAAACAGTTTTGCTCGGTTGAATTCACGCATGGGACTTTGTTCAATAACAAATATCCTGTAATCCAGATTTTGTGCTTGAAGAAATGGATGTATATAATTCATGAATATGGTCAATTGTTTTTGACGGTTGCGGTATGGCAGGATGATAGCAACGTTGAACAGTGGATGACAGTTCAGTGGCTTCCATTGTCCTCCTGGTAGAATGCCAAGACGACGTGCCAAAGCTACTGGATCCTCACGAGGATGTTCATCGGGATATAACAATTCTGAGAAGCGCCGTCCGCTCACAGAAACAGAGCAAGAATTGTCCCTAGAAGGATATGACCTCTCCATTTCGCCGTAGATGTCTTCTGTCTTGATGAAGGCATAATGCGGTGCAAACCTTGCTGGATGCAAGCAATAACAGAGGACTAGGATCGCGGTGACGATGTAAGACAAGCTACGAGCATACTCGTAGAGAAACACACCAAGCGTCCTTAGTACCGCGGGTATACCTCTCATAATAATCTAATCTTTACACGAGTATTATCATCACAATTTGTGAGTCAGTATTTGATACTCGCGCTTTTGATTTTTATCTTTAAGTCATTATAATTTCGAATTTATCAACCACGCTGTCCCGACAGAGATGAGTAGGGATATTGCCCAATATTGCCAATGAGCCGATTTTCATGGTCCAAGTTTTATTTCGACTTCGACGCGCCACCTGAGCGGAGGAGTCTCGAACAAGTCCCACGTTTGTGATTGATCGAACGTGTACTTGCTAAATTTATTAAAAATATAAAATTAAGGGTAAATCTAAACAGTCGAAAATAAGTTACGTTCAAATTGAAATATTAATAAATTAAGTGTTTGGAATATTAAAATAATGAATTAAATGAATAAAGTTGGATGTTAACACTTGAAAATCTGAAATACTGGCCAATTCATCGCGCAGGACTCGGCGAGTGGAGGGGCATTGAAGGCAGTGACTGGACTCGGAGGGCTCATTCTTCATCGAGCCGGTTTCCTATACTGATGTCTTGGAATCACCTCTCTTATGTATTTCTAACCTTCTTCTATTTCTATATTTATTTCTTACTTCCTTATTTCTTTATCTTTCATTTTTTACTTTCTTATTTATCTCTTTCCTTATTAGAATAGCTACACGTATAGACCAGCTCCTTCCGAGATACAGCTGATTTTCAAATTATATTTGGAATCATTTCATCGTAGATAGTTCACTATGGTTTACTAGTTCTTCTGCGATGCCATGTTTCTTACAGACGACAATTTCACTCTGTCATTTCTGAGATTCGAATGGTATTCTGCTCATGCGCAGAATGCCATTGTTGCTTCAATTTTAAATATATTCTACAATTTTCTACCAGTATTACAACCAACGCTGTGTTCTTATTCATCTATACGTATTTAAGAGAAATGGAAACACTTTCACACTGGTGTGAGTAAATTTTGGAATATACTCTTTCATTTTGTCTTACATATAATTATAAACGCTGTGTTGCGAATGGATCTATTTTCTCTTATTCTTGAAAATTACAAGCGATTGTTCGCGAAATTCTAATCACACAGCTGCATAAATGTATTTTAAGAAAGTAATTACCATTATTCCTTTGAAATTCAATTGCGACTTTTTTACAGCTTATTTTACGTTAGTCAACGTAATGGGCGAGTTAATGTGTTTCAGAAAAACATGAGCATTATACTTTTACATAATGTAATCGAAACGAACGTGTTCGAATCAATTTCTATATTGACTTCATGACCTGCTCGATAATATGATATTGGAGTTTAATAAACTGACACTTGTACTGTTGATAATGGAGTAACTATCGCTGTTAAAGCCATAGTATTAATTTGTAAGCAGCTGCAATTAGATTGTAGTTTGCAAACAATATTATTTATCAAGGCTTCGTGATATTTCTTAATAAGTCAATGATAGACATATTTTTGACGTTATATAATGCATTATGTAAATCAAGTATTAGTGAACTTGAGATATGAATAGCTCATATACGATAAATGTCAGTATGACATTTAGTATCAGTGGAATAAAATTGGACATTCGGAGCAAGGTCATAGCTATATATTTTAAAGACAGGTAGTTATAGTTATTTTAATTTAATTATTTTCCGATGAATATTCCACAATATGCGCGTTAAATGCTTCCTAGGTAGCTCAGTGTTTCACACTGTCAAAATTGTATACAACAACAATATTTATATATCACTTTTGATGTTAATCCATAACATTCGTCAATGAACCAGTATCGCATGCGCCATTTCGTTTTGCTTTGCTTCAACCTTGGGAATATTTAGGCGATGGAACACATCCAAAGTGTCGTGAACAAATTTATCCATCATTGGTTTCGTATGTCTTGGCGTTGGAGCCAACCTCAGTTTCTCCTCACCCTTTGGAACAGTTGGATAATTAATAGCTTGAACATAATGACCCTTCTCTCGTATCAAGGTGTCAGCAACTTGGGAACAAATAAAAGGATCTCCGATCTGCAATGCATAAAAATATATTATTTTGGATATATTGTTGAGATTATAAGAATACTCACTTTTATAGGAATAATGTGGGAAGGCGAAGGTTCCAATGGGAGCTCTGCAGCAGTAAGGATGGATTTCATGTAAGCTACATTCTTCTGATGTGTTGCTCTTAAGGATCTTCCTTCATCCGAGGCTAAGATTTCAACTGCAGTTAATGCTCCATACAACACTGTAGGAGGTAATGAAGTTGTAAATATAAATCCAGCTGCATAACTTCTGACCATGTCTATTAGCTTGGATGATCCCACTATATAACCGCCAACATTTCCAAAAGCTTTGCCCAGGGTACCAGATATTATATCCATTTTACCAAGGACCCAGTCTCTTTCTCCAATGCCAGCACCGGAGTAACCGTACAGTCCTACCGCATGAACTTCGTCAACAAATGTCAGGGCACCATACTTGTGAGCTACATCACACATCTCTTCCAATGGACAAATATCACCAGTCATTGAATGGACTGTTTCGAATGCGACAAGTTTTGGAATATTTTTATCCAATTTAGACAAGAGCTCTTCAAGATGCTGGACATCATTGTGCCTAAAAATATGCTTTGGAACACCACTGTTCCTTATACCTTGAATCATGGATGCATGATTTCCAGCATCTGAGAAAATTTGACAACCAGGTAAGCTCTTGGCTAGAGTAAATAGAGTAGAATCATTTGCTACAAAACACGAAGTGAACAGGAGGCCTGCCTCCTTCTGATGCAAAGTGGCCATTCGTTCTTCTAACATCTCATGACCTGTAGAATTTCCGGAAATATTTCTTGTACCCCCAGCACCAGCTCCAAACTTATCCAAAGCTTTTCGAACAGAATTCGTCACTTCTGGATGACGAGACATTCCTAAGTAATCATTAGAACACCATACTGTGATTGGCTTTTCACCCCAGGAATATTCCATTGCTGCAGGAAATTGCTCAGCTAAACGATTCACCTTTTTGAAAACTCTGTACGAGTGATCCTTTTTCTTTCGCATTATCTGCTCATGAAAGAACTCTTCATATGGGAACACATTTTCCTCTTTAGCTGCGACATCCAGATTAATCACATCTTCTTCAACAGCAGGGCTAGCCACTCTTACTGTCTCTGGTTCCTTAGAAAGAAACGGACACTTCTCCTCTGGTGTTACTACTGGCGACTCTTGTACTTGCTGATCAACTGACTGTGCCAATGAACTAGATAAACGAGACATCACAGGGCAGTGCTGACGATAATTCATTATCACAGATGTTCCATAGTTACGAACATAATTTGCAGAGAGTCGAGTTAAGAATGGGCACGGCATCTTCTCCAAGTGACCTAAACGAGATCAGAACCACTTTAAATATTTCCATCTATCATTTCTGTTATACAATGAAATACATATTGACAATTTAGGTCATTCGGTTTAAGGAGACAGAATTTTACATAATCTCTCTCATGTCTTAAAAACTCTTTTAAAGAGCCACCTTCGAATATACATCAGAGAAAGAATCATTACAAGAAAATACTCTAAAAGTGAAACTGAGAGAAAGTAAGTAGAAGTGAATGGTCAAGCCTTCACACAAAATGTGGAATACCTTACCTTTTCCAGCTGTGGCAACGTGACAACTAGCTTGACCAATTCTTTTGCGAACCAGCTGAAAGCAGAAAAGGCTCTCAACGATGGTGTAATATTAAATAAGGGCGGATGATCTGGCTAACAGCCAACTGAGTGGAGTGTACGAAGAATTTGACAGACAACCGTTCACCTCGACATACGAGTCTTGACTGAGCCAGTGAATATGCATACGTGCCTTATACCTGTCTCTACTAACCGTGGCGAATATGTCGATTTACCCAAAGTGTTATATATATGCATATATAGCATCAAAGAGCACTAATACATTCCCATATAACCTTCTTACATGTATAATAATCTGCGCGCATTTCACCACATATGTGTACGTTCCGCAAAAGCATCACATTCTGCAAAAGACACTTTAAACGTCACCCTTTGATCTAATCCTACTGACGGAATATCTAATATTTTTTATTTTATTTGCAGCATTGCCAATGATAAATAACCCTGTGCTATGAGAGAATTTTTGGATTGAAGGTAACCTCGACCTAGAAGACAAGTTTGAAATTCCTATGACCTATATTATCATTGACGTGCACCACCTCTTGCATCAATGAAATTGAGTTCCGTCAGATCTTTAATTGATAATCATTTATTATAATATGTATACTACGCGTTTGCTAAACACCTTTCTCATAATTACATAATTTTGATGTGATATATATCTCGTTTAACATACATATGTTATACTTTATAAGTATATGCAGCTTCAGCATGACAAACCCAACTATTGATATAAAGTAATATCACTTATATACCTAGTGATGATCAATAAACGTTCAAACTTATCAGTTTGCGGATATTTATATCAATATCGTTCCCCATGGCATGTGCATATCTCTTATTCACGATAATGGATGCTTTGGATAATCAGTGATCATACACTTACGTAAAAATAATAACAGCCGTATCTATGCGGTCATACTGTTTGAAATAAAAAACGTGACGACACATTGGCGGTACGATTTTATAATTCACGTATTGACGAACGAAGTAACGAAATGGCGCGACTACTTGCATCAATACATTCTCGACTTCCTGTATAAACTCATTTAATCAAGGAAGTTGTATACGCCTGTTTCTTAACGTCATTAATGAGTTTGCTTTAATCGAAAAAAATGACAGAGACTTATATACTGTCGAAATGATTGCGTGTCTCTTCTTCATTAAACAGGTGTACTTAAATTGACGTAATTAAATTGAAGTGCCATTAAGGACAATCGAAGTGAATTGTTACCCTGAAGGCAATTACATTCGAAGCCTCTTATTTCTTCATAGTCGGCATACAAACTATATATTAATCGAAATCGAATTAAGCATTCAAAATGATGCGTTCGGAATTGGAGCACTGATAAAACATGACGTAAAATTATATTTAAATTTACTGAATTACTAATCGATCATATGAAATTTTTGAATGAAATATAAATCGTTTTTATCGTTCACTGCATATGATTAAACTGAAAGTGCAATCATCAAAGATAACAGTTTGATTCTTTATCCACTCTCGACTACTCGATAATCTTATTGATCTAAATCTGCCAAAATATCTTTTTCATATTCTCCAACAGGGTTACCATCTCTGTTCTAGTGATATTTTTACCTGCGGCCTAAAAGAAAAAACAAATCTCACCATCCAACAAGGTAGAAGGGATTGAAGAGTCGCCATTGTTATTCCATCCACGTAAAGAGAGCAAGTTAATTAAAAAAAAAATACTACTGACACTGAAGTTTCCGTATGGAAGAACGAGGGGAAACTAACTGGTGAATGTTTCCTGGTGAGCTCTTAAATGCCAGAGAAGGCGCAGGAGTGATTGTGGCGGAGGAAGTAATTATTTTTCTGCGAACTCATTCTTATTCGACGCCATTGCCACAACGTAATGGCGATCGGTATCAATTACTTTTGCAAATTAAATTGAACTGGCCTTAGTACACTCGCGCGTAACGTGATCGTAGTACCATTCTACCTGAATTGCAAAATTATATAGGTTCCTTTCTATCTTCTCTTGATTAAAAGAGAGAATGGAACCTGCAACTTTGATTTTTCAACATTTTCGGTAGAAATGAAAAATTTTAAAAAAATGAAACTAAGTAAAGTTTTGCATAAGTTTTGTCTCATTTCACAAAAAAAAAATATAAATTTCCTACGTTTATAGTCGCAGTTTGTCAACAACCTTGTATATTTTCCCCGTTTAGGTCTTCAGAAAATGAACACTATACTGTCTATTTCTTTTATCCGACGAATGAGATATCTCGGGGAAGTACAGCTTGCGTAAACCACATCAGTATTCTTCCCGTTGACAAATCAGTCTTTTTAGTTACATTTATTATAGTCGTATAGAGTTTAGAGTAATACTGGAAAAGTAATTTAGTAAATGCTTATTCTACTCCTTCTGGTCATCTCACATCAGGTTCTCTCAATAATGCTTTCTATAATTGCTTTTACCATTGATAGGGCATTTCTACTGATCATTGATCGGGTGCTTGTATCTATTATCAAATACAAGTTAAATAACTAGTCACGCAGCATTTAGTGACGCAAGCATGGGACAGAGCAAATGACTATCAATGAATTAAAAGTTGGAGTGAAGGTCAATGAAAAGCATAATTATTAGTCTTAACGTATAAGGAGCTGTCACCTACTGTTATTAGCTGTTAACCTACCTGTGATTATCCAAGCGATATCTTCATACTTACTATACTTTTGTGAATGTAAGTTCAATTTTTATCATTATATCGTATTCTCTGTATCAGTAATTAAACCAAACTTATTATCAGCAGGAATTAAAAAATTATACGAGTAAAATAGATTTGAGTCAAGTCAGCAATCACGTACTGAACAATCGATTGTAAATCATATAAAATCCAATAAATAAATAACCAACGTACATTACTGTCACTTACAGATCTTCTTAAGGTCGACTGACACTGATTATATCGCGTACTGAATTTTTGAATGAGTAAAATTCCGTTTTTAAAACTTACGTACTTAATAACATCCGTGACTTTTATAATACTGATAGTAATATGACCTATTATGTTCCTCGCATATTCCATTACAGCCACGGTTGGCATTCCGCCTGAAAACTGCAAGTACTACGTAATTCGAGTATGTATTTATCACAGTAAGACATGTAAATGCATAAGAAACTCCTTAAGATCGTAACAAGTAATGTTATGGAGATTACAAAAGAAAAAAGTGTGATTTTGTAATATACGTCAATGAATTCGAAAACATCGTAAGAAGCGACATAAGGTAAGTGCGGTTGATATCGGAACTACTCGTATTCGAATAAAAATAAGAAGACGACATGCATATATCGTAGTTTCTTAAAGATATTAATATATACTTTATTTATCGTTTGTTTAATGGTATTTATAATATTTATAATAACTATATCCCATAGGAGCGAGAAACAACTACATATTTGCCTTACTTTATATATACTACTTAAAAATAATTAGAGTTACCTTATTCATAATACGTCACCCCCTAATGTGACTTTCTAATCACGCGATAACTGTTATTCATACAAAATGTACAAAATGAGTAGGTATGGTGCGCCGTTTTGCTTCGTAAAGACGATTAGAGAATACTGTGCACCTTCGCATATACATTTCCCTTTGTTTTTCTTTATTAGCTTAAAGGGACTTTAGAATATGGCTTAAGAGTGATACCGGTATAAGAAGACACGGGTCGTTTACGACAAACGAAACGTAAAGGTTCTATAGCCTTGCGATTTGGCACCGATGAGCCTTCCAACGGATCCGCGTACGCAGCGTCCATTGTCCATTGCATTCAACGAGTTTCGATCACGTACGAATTCTCATTAATCGACGCTGCCCGATCTCGGCGAAGATCGATCCTCAAAATCGATCGAGCGTAGTGAGTAATACTGGGAACTTTCCTCGTCGTTATCTTTAACCTGATATGGCCATTTTTATTTTCCCATTTAAATCTCTAGTTCTTACAGCCATTTATTTTTTTCTCAAATTTCTATTATTGTCACACGCTCATGCGATCGATATGTCGATCATCAGTTAGAATTTACCCGCGAGTTTTAAAAATCTCTTTGCAGCCGCATAGTCATTTCACGAGGTCTTGTAATTGTTTTCTTTTTTTAAGGTTATGAAATATGAAAATTAAAGCTTTTCGGTAGGAGCACAGGCTGCGCTTTATTGACGATTGACAAGATGCTAAAGATTTCGATATAAACCAAGGTCTACGAAGCTTAAGAATTCTTGATTCAATTTTCACTGTCGTAACCTTGCTGTTCAAGAGCTTTGGCTTGACTAGACGAAAACGGCCACGAGCGTCTCTCCTTCGAATTCGAACGAGTCTTGGCTGCGAAGTGAGGTCAGTATTTTTAAATAATCAAATAGATTTCAATGAAAACTCTTAGCCGTGTGAGACTTTGAAAGTCCATCAATTTCACGTTTTCGCACTCGATGAAGAGTCGATTGAAAAATTTCTTAAATCGCGCGCTACTCTATTTTCTTCTGGAAGTGGATTGAAAAGGAACCGTTATAATTTAGGCAACGAGATTTACATCGGTAGACTATATCTACTTTGCGTGATATTTCTATAATATAGAAGCTCCTAAGTTCTTTTATTTTATATTTTTCTCTTTTACAAATATCCATCATAATCGCCCTGGTTCGACAGCAGGAATATCATTTTACGGCCAAGAAAGCGTTTCCCGTTTATTTTCAGTGATCGATTCGATATGCCGACTTTTATTGAAATTTAAGAAATTCCATAAATCCATCAGGATCAGCTGCAGCCATTATCAAACAGCAGCATCATTAAAAATCATCCATTTAAAATACTCTCAATATTTATCTCCACCTTCCCTCTGTCCAATTTCAGGAATCAAACGCGACGCGCATTACTCGCTCTACTCCTTACACTGATTTCTCCCTTTTGAATTATTATTTTCTTTATCTTATTCCTCACAATCCTCCGTTCGCTATTTATATAATGATAAGACATTTTTTTTATCTCTTTTAAAACGTGATTCGTATATTATATACATATATTCATACCTTCCTCCCTGAAACATCGATCCCGTTACGAATCGATATATCTCGATACATCTTTCGTCGCTCGCGCCACTCGAAATTCACATAGTCAATCACGAGAAAAAACATTCGATAATCAACGCGTTAAAGTGAGACTTGATTGAACTGTATAAGGAGTTTTCTTTCAAAGGAGTTATTAAAGACTTACGACGTCTCGTACGTAAATTGCCAGCCGTCAGTATTTCGTTCGGCCATCTCGTGACAGAGAACAACGTGCGTCATATTGCATCGTAATATTTACAGCGTGCGAGTGGTTAAGTTTTTTCTCTTCTGTTCACGTCGTAAAAGTCTGTTGCGAATTGCTACGAGTCGAATACAATTCTTAACAAGGATCGTTACTACCACAAAAAGGCATCAACGCTATCGAAAGCAACGTAGAATCCAGCAGAATTCAAACGTGGCATTCTGTTGTTCTGTAGTCGAATGTCAAGAAGAGTGATAGGTACTATATGAGACAGAGAGAGAGAGAGAGAGAGAGAGAGAGAGAGAGAGAGAGAGGTTGCGGCCGAGGGAGAGGGGGTGGTCCCAGGGTGTCGGCAACAGCTGTGAAATGTTTATGAAGGCCCGACTAATTTATCACACTCACACAGAGTTACCACGCGTGCTGACTTTATCACACTTGCGCCATGCTTATACACGAGGGAGAGGAATCGATACGCCGCTGAACGGAAACAATGCGATGCGTATAAATCCGAGGAAAAAGACCAGCCGACCGAGCCAGTCGACAGGAAACTAACGCGTGAAGATATGACGACAAAAGCAAGAGAAAGAATACCTATAAAGGACAACACAGATCAATAGTAGTACTAATAAATCACAAAAAAAATTTACGAAAGCATCCCCCTGAGGAAATCTAATAACGATAACGATTTGGTGGAAAAAAAAAGGTAAATCAAACAATTAAATAAAAATTCGATAATCGACGGTGCGTATAGTTTTTCTTTTTGTTTGTTGAGAGGGGGTAAGAAAAAAAAATTGAAGTAGTACTTTGTAATGAGTCAGTGTACAAATAGATAATGCGTAATCGTGTAAATACAGAACTTTCATTTTTATTCTGCCAGACCCTCTTCTATGGTTACAATTACATAAAACGATTAAACACTATTCTCTACCGTTCGAAAGAATTATCGTAATATTGCAATATTTCACGGGCGATCGAATCTCTTGCGACGTCCCATATATAGAAAATATGTCTTGTTTATATGTACAATATGCAATCCTTTAATACTTCCGCTTTGAAAAAAAAAAAAGAGACTTCTCGATATATATGTAAACCTCGGACAAGTATATTCGTTAAATACGCTGTACAGTCATATCCATGGAGTATTATCATTCGTCCCAATGATATCGATCAGTGTGACACGTATATGTCTATAGATATTATTTTGCGATTCTGGGCTCTTTCGAGGACAAAAAAAGAAAAAAAAAGTCGCTCACCGACCAGACGCCGTACGCCGTGCCAATTATTTTTGTTCCATTGACGTTTCGCTACCCTTTTAACATCCGCCGGCTCGTGACGAATTTGTGCATCGTTTATTTTTTTTCTCTCAAAATTTCCACTAGCGCAACATCCATGCATTCCCTTACTATAAATTCACACATGCGTGCACATTCATTCACGTGTGTATACATATGTATAGGTAATTTCTATACCATATTTAGAGTACCAATACCGGAGTAATATGTTATTTTTTTTCCGCCGATTGCGCAATCTTAAATATATATATATATACTCTTGCAAATACAATTGTTTTTTTTTCTTTTCCTTACGCGTTTACTTAAAATTAGAATAGTCGTACGCCTAAAAAAAAAAAGAAAAAAGAAGTAATCATATTATCTCCCTTATGCGTTACCCCTAGGATATTTTAGGTATGTACAGAGCAGAGCTTGTCGATTGCGAATTCTTTTTGGGCATTGCCGTACCGTTTCAGTGTGCTATTTTTTGCATGCTGTTTTTTTATTTCGTTTTTATCCTTTCCTCGCCTCTTTTCTCGAGCGTTTGTTTTTTTTTTTACTTTTTCTCGTAATTTTATGCCGAATCGACTGTTAACGATAATCGCAAGATTTCATGATCAAAGATTTCGTTCTACTGCACGCCCGTCATTTCTTTTTTTTTTTGAATCTCAGCTACGTAAACTATGTCGCTTTATTTATCTTTGCTTTTCTTTTTCTTTTTGCCATGAGCTACGCCGCTAGCCCCAACAAACGCACCTTGCAAAGCAAATGACGCCCGAGTCAATTTCGACGGGTTGTACGTAACAGCAGCTTGAGTAATACGGAATTACCCTTCCGGAATTAATTCTTCCCGTCGATAATCTGAGTTCTCTTACTTTATCTTTCTCTCTCTCTCTCCTCCTTACCCCCACCTCGCTCCTTATAAATGCTGGTTTGGTACGACTAACGAGTGTTAAACGACAATTAAAAAAAAAAAAAAAAAGGATTCGCATCATTGTAGAGGCGTAAAAAAATTTTGCGATCTCTCAAAAAATACTCCTCTCTTATTTTCCGCAATAAATCTTTTCTCAAAATAAATAAAAAAATTTCATCAGGAGACCGGTCATTTACGCTTTGTTTTTTTTTTGTATATATTATATAATATATAAATATATGCATGTATATATTATATCATATATGTATACAATTTACAGGAAGATAGAAGGTATGCTTATTTTTACGTTTTTTTTTTGTTCTTGTCAATAATCAATAATCGTTACCCGCGATCGAATCCATACAGAATTATGAGACAGTAGTCACGGTTGCATCTCGTGAAGTCGTGATACGGAGAAAGAAAAGGGAAAGGCTCCATCTATCGACACACGCGGTTACAAAATTTTGCGTTATTTCAGAATTTTATGTACATGCGTGTGTATATATATATATATATATATATATACCGTAGCGACGTCATGACGGTGAAACCAGTATTAATAAATTAATTAAAAATCGATCGTCTATCGATACGTACGTGAATCCATTTTAATACTAAAGCGACCCCGTTACTTCCCACGGTCAGAGGTAAATGCATCAAAACAATAAATTAAACCGTAAATGAGGTCATATAAATACACAGTTTTATTGAACTAAAGTAATCGTATAATGAGATCAGAAAGGATTAAAAAAAAAAAAGATTTTAAAGTACATAATTTTTTTTTAATATTACTACTTCGTAAACGATATAAACAGAGTGGACGTTATATCAATGGAACGACAAAAAAAAAAAGGAAAATTACACATAAGACGAAAATGCGTATCTAAAGTTATTATATAATAACGTAAATAAAAATTTGCATCTCTTTACCACTCGCGATGCCAATTCGGTGTGAAGAATTTCAATTGGACACAATGATTGAAATTAGGTTTCACCGCCTAATATAAAAGTTCGCTTTTTTTCTTTTAACATTCTTTTTTTTTTTAACAACCCCCTTCCCACCTTCAAAATTCCCCCGCCCACCAAGCTTCATATTCGTAGTACGTTATCAAAATTATCTTCATGTAAATCGCTTTGAGGTTATCCGAAGATAATGGATTTTATCCGAATCATAACCTTAAATTCGTATCGTCATCCGATGATCTCCTTGAAGGGACTTTGACGAAGGTTAATTTAATAACATACTGCAATCAAGAGCCCTGAACTTTCCTAACCTCCCGTCATCATCATTCGTTTACAGCCACTCGATCTTTATTAACATACTTTATAATTAATTGCAGGCATTCGCACGTTACGACGGTGCATATGGAGAGATGATAAGAACCTGTCGTTTCAAGTAAGACGAAGCATTTTTGTACTAAAGTGCAGCGATATAACATTATATATTTTTAATGGATTACCTACGGTAGACTACGTAATGTACATGTGTGGGTTCCTTTTTTTTTTACATGCACTACAGCGCGGTGCAATCGGACCGAACGCGCTCTGAATGACTGATGAATTATTTGGAAGTTTTATGGCTCTGCAATTAGTAATTGCTTGTTTGTTTTTAAACGAGAAGAAATTTCCCGCTCTTTTTCACGTTGACGCGTTTCACGGCAAACGTCGCAGGAGGGAAGTTTTTTCACAAAAAAAAAGCCTTTAAGGGCCAGGTAACAATTGCGACTTCTGTCGGCAAAATTGAAAAGTTCACAAAGGAGGTTTCTTACGATTGCGTCAGTAACAATTAGCTTACGTCGATACACTCGTGTATTTTCAATCAGATTATTATTAGATAATAATGGTCAGATTGTTTAAGCACAAATCCAAGAATATCCAATGGCGACAATTTTCATCGTGCGCAGATAAATAGAAATGCGGCATAAGACTGTAAGTGCGTAGACAGTGGAGAATTGATCTTTTTATTAGCGAACGAGTACATTTTTTTTTTTTTCGTCGGGATGGAAGGAAGAGTTGATCTGATAAATCCGGTCCGATCGTGACGCCACGGTAGATACAATATATCTCTAATACGATAGATACTGTAGGTAGAGTTATAAATCTGTTTTTTTTTCTCTTTCTTTCATCATTATACTTCGTAAAGAATCTGTACCGATCGACATTCTTAAATCATTTCCTTCCTTCTTCTCATTTTTATATCCCATCTGGAGCCTCACCCTCTGACTAGATTGCATTTCTAATGTCCTTAAATGATTTAATCTAAATTTGCCATCCATAATGATCTGTACTATCATTAGTATCGTTTATCGTTTATAACATCTAAAGGGATTCGCTACTCTTATTGAGAACTGTTAATAAATCGTTCATCTGATCTTACCAGCAAATATATTTAATATTAATTTATATACCTACGGAGAACTCGTTTATTCTTGCCCAGTCTCGCTCCGAACAGTCTGGGAGAAAGTAAAGCTTGTCTTACACTCATTAAGCATACTAGTATTTACAGTATGAGTTTGTCAGAGCTTGGCCTGCGAGTCGCGCGAGTTTCGTACGCTTATGAGAGAGCGTCGTGGCGGAGCGCGTCCTTTCTTATACTCAACAGTGCGTACAGTGTACTTGTCTATTCGTGTACAGTGTAGTAGAATGCATAATGGAGATACGCCATCAGAGGCCACGCACGCGGGAATCGACCATCAGCCATCGGCCATTCTTGCTCGGAAGCTTGTTTGTTTATCCTTTTAAACGTCGAGGGGTAAAATTTACAATTACAATACAAAGAGAATACTCAAGCGAGAGCTTAATCGCTAGGACTACCTTTTCTTCCCTAACTGTTTCGAAGCTAGTCTCTTTTTTAGCTTGTGGTCCAGCTTAACTGACTTTTTCTTGGGTCTCTCAGGCGAACCGTTGCAGCAGGCGCAGCCTTTCTTTACGTGACCTCGCAAACTGGAGCGTCTCGCACGACAATCCGGTTCTACCGATGTGGTATTGCTTGTCTCATCGTCAGAAGGTTCCGAAGTCTTATCGCTGGAAACTACAGCAGACTCTAGGATCAAATCACTTTTTGTACGGCCCGACAACACGCTTTTCGCATCGGCACGATTTAAAACTACCCGCGCATTCACCTGCAGCTTTCCCTTTCTTTTCAAATAGACGCAACGGTCGCCAGCAGAACTTGACTTCGCTTTATCCCTGGCCATTACGACGGACTCGTCCAAGCCATTCGTTATGACGTCCTCGGGCTGACTGCCTATGGATTCGCTGATACTCGAATCCTCTTCCTCCTCTTCCTCGTCGTCCTCCTCATCCTCGTCGTCGTCTTCCTCGTCCTCCTCTTCTTCGCTGCTCGATCTCGTTCTCTCGGACATAGGACTCTCCCAGGAGAGGTAGTCATTCGCTCGCGTCACTTTTGAAGCTCCACGCTTCTTGTTTGCGTAGGTGTATTTGTTGTGTGTAGAGAGCAGAGGACCCGCAATTGGCGACAGAGGCGAAGGTATCGTCACGTCAGCTGTGTTGCCGCTGAGGAGTGTAAGGCTCTCGTCCCCAGAACTCGCCACCGAGACATTGTTCGCGTTCGTCCCTGCTGGTAAGGACTCCGCCGAGTCTAGGTCTATGTCCAGCTTCATATTGGATGGTATACTGGACGCACTGCTCGGTGAACCTTCTTTCGAACCGTTTCTAGATCTTACCTTTGCTCGGCTTGAATCTTTTGAGAAATCATTCTCAATCAATGGCAAAGTTACTGGCGAAAGTCTTGAGACGTCGGAGTTACTGTTCGACGCCTCGTCCTGACTTAAATTCTCCAGGCTCAGTCGTATGTGCTTCGCGGGATTTCCCATTTGCATGTCTTCGACCTTCTCTCTCTTGGCTCTCTTCACAGTGTCTTTTATTGTTCTTGTACGCTGCACGACATTTTTTCTTCGCTCGTTCAGCTTGAAATCAGCGACTGGACTGGCATCCCGACTGCCACTTGATGAATCCAGTGAACGGAAGTAGGAGGCGTTGTAGGACTTGAGGCCGAGAGGTTGGCTGCACGAGGCATCCTGTGAGGAATGATCAAAAGATGGAGAATGATTGGTATCAAAGAGTAAGTCTGCTTCAGGAAAGAGATCACTGGTACTTGGCTCATCGACACCCAAGTCCTCGCACTCCTCCGAGAGGCTCTTCTGCAACCTTAATTCTCTTTCTATGGCTGCAGCTTTTCTTTCCATTCTTTGCTGTAACAACTCCCGATCCAATCTAGGGTTCGGTTGTGCCTTTGCCATGCCGCTCTTGTTTGAGTATTGCTGGAATGGCTCCAGGGTGTGATTCATGAAGTACTTCTTGGCATTTGTTTGATACACCTGACCACTTGCCATTTCTATACCCTGACCTTTGTTTATTATCTGAAGAACATTGTGCACGTTCTCGGAACTGTCACCCTCCCTGGAGTACACTTTTAATGGCTCGATGCTCAGCTGATTCGTCGACGTTGGCACGTACCTCCATGGTGTATCCGGAGAGGCCTTCCTCTCTGGCTCCCAGGCCTCCTGAAGTCTCGCGTTTCCGCAGAGAATGCCATTTCCTACTTTTGACGCAGCATCGATGCTCTCTGACGATTGTTGAATTGATGACTCCTGGCTGTCCGAGCTGCTCGGACCACCCGTTACAAGAAATTGTCCAGACGTATTATCCATACTTGATTGCTTCGTAGTTGCAGTCATCACAGAGACAGAATCTGCGAATAAAATGGAAATGATCCTTGTCAATAACGATTTCGAGAAATTCAAAATATTAAAGATCACTTATTGCCATTAATTTACTAATAATTTACCTATTTCATTATATATTTATAGAGCCGATGTCCTTGTATATCCTTACCGTGCTTTGTAGCATTTTGCAACGACGTCACCACCGTCGAAGACACGATAGAATTTGATGCGATTAAAGTCCTCGGCATACTGTTAACTAGATCCGCAGTATCATCAATTTTTCTCTTTACAGTCTTGGGTGAGATGACTTTGTCATCGGTGATGATCTCCGTAGAGGCTTCCTTGGTTTCTCGCTGTTGACTATTGCTTATTGAGGAAACATCAGACTGCGGTGCAAATGCCAAAGCAATGGTAGCAGCCTGCAGAGCAACTGGTTTCTCGGACTGCACATTCTCCTGGGCTGGCTTTTTCTCCGGGGATTGTGCTATCGCAGCTGACGCTACACAAACAACGCTCTCGGTCTTCAAAGACCCGGGTGACGACAGCTTTGCGATGGAGGAATTGAAGAGCCTCGTGCCTTGAAGAGTCAAGCTAGGATTGCTCGTGATGACGCCACAGATCTGCTGATTATCATTCAACTCGTTCACGTTGATATTCCTTTGAATGAGTCCGATCGTCGGCGTTTTATTAACCAGAATGGCACTTCCACCTGATTCGACTGATGATATTCCGGATGTGACATCACTTTTGCCGACAATCTCGTTAGTAGTTTTCTCGGTAGACTCCGCAGCGAATTGCGTACCACTTGTACTAGTTTGCGGCATCACTACTGATGCATTCTGAACGTTCTGCGCTGTCAAAGTTTGATTAGTTGTTATGGTCTGTAACGTTGGTAGTTTGACTTGCTTCACCTGGGTTGGCTGCGATATAATTTTTCCTGCCTGATTGAGAAAAGATTGCAATACCAGGGCATTCGAGACCCCAGTCGTACCGGATGTTCTGACAGTGGTTGGAACAGTAGCCAATAGTTTGGAGCCACCAGAAACTATCGTGAATTGTTGACCTCCCTTCATTAGGTTCATCGGCAGAATATAATTGGTACCAGGCACCAGGACAGCTGTGCTGCCCATTTTTCCAGTAACCGATGCTAGTGCTTCGCTTACACTGACCGCAGTAGTCTGTACAGCTTCCTGGACGATGACAGCACGAGGTTGACCTGTGCTAGGTTCAGTGAAAATCAGATTCCGCCTCTTGATGTTAAGCTCGACACCATCATTCGAATCATTCAAACTTCTGGCCTCTACAGAGGCGTCCACGTTCGACGCGCCGGAAGGTTCCTCTGAGGTAGAGAAGCCTGCAGGACTGTCCTGTACATGAACAACACCAGAGGATGAATCCTCGCTTCCCATTGTTCTACCAAGATCATCCGTACTGGGACTTAACTCTGACGTTTGTTGACCGACAGGTTTCGATTTACTTGAGTTTGACTTCTTCCGCTTCGAGGATTGACTAGGATTCGTCGGTGGATTCGAGCGTCTCCTGGGTGCAGGTTTATTATTAAGATCCGGCGAGTTCCTGAGCTGTTCGGCATATTCATCTAATATCGCATAGATCCTTTGTGCGGTCTGTTCATCTTCCTGGGGCTTTTGCTGTGGCTTTGGAATCGGGGATGCTTTAGACGTATTGGTCGCACTTGTTTTTACGGTCTTTGGTGCTGTCTTCTTGACGGTTTTCGATGACGGCGTCGGTGGAGTTTTACCTGCAGCAGGTATTGGTGCGGGTGCCGGTGTGACGCAAGGACTCGAAGAACTTTGCGAGGTGACACTAAGAGCCGGGGAAGCTGCCGGTTGACAGTAACTCGTTACAACAACGACCGGAGTCGAACTTGTAACTTTGGACCCGGTAGTCCCGGTACCTTGATTTACATATGTCAGCGACACCTTCTGCGGAAATACATCTTGTTGTTGCTGAAAGGTTACAGTATTCCCATTGCTAGGAAACTCTGTACTACCCGGTGACTGCGTTGGCATCAGAAGCTGTTGCGCCAGAGCGCTAACCGAAGAATGTTGTTTCACTGCTTGTGCCTGCTGCGTTGTAGTTTGAGTCTGCACGGTCGTCGTTGTTGTAGTTGAGGTCTGATGCTGTGGCTGAATGGTACTCCTTTCTTTCACTTGTTCCAGGACACTCTCGAATTCCCTCAATTGCTCCAGAGTCGTCGAGCTCACCTGGTTTGGGACTTCGATAGGTGAATTTATTAAGTTCTCCGCCGTCCTGACGGTTGACTGTTGTTGCTGAGGCTGTTGTTGCGGAAGTCTGGGCGCTGTTAGCACAGCGATGTTTTGCTGTCGAATTGGCGTACCTGCTCTAATGATGTTTAATTTAACGACCGGCGTCCTGTTTCCTGGTATCGAATTGGCGTGTGATATTGTCGGAATGATATTCAGCTGACTGGGATTCGTAGTGGATATCGTTACTGGAATTTTGTGCGTGTAGATGACGCCAGGTGAGGCGTTTTGTACGCTTTGTACGAGTTGGGTAATTGCCTGACTAGTTGCATTAGGTGTCGTTACGCTGGTGTTACTAGTACCAGAACTCTGGACGATATTAAGTATTTGCCTACCAGCTGACAGTTGCAAATTTGGAATGTTGGTGATCGATTGAACGTTCATCGGTGCGTTCGTCGATTGGGCACTTTGAACGGAAGTTTGTACAGCCTTCGAAAGGTTGCTTGATGTTTTCTGTATGGTACTCGGTTGAGAAATGGTCTCCGTTGTGGCAGAGGCTGCCACAGTCGTCGTATCCGTTGATAAAGTATAAATTGTTTTACCAAAAGCTTGCTGAAATTTGGGTAAACCTGTATTTTGACCAGACTGCGGGGAAGCCTTGACGGGAATTAATCTGTCGTAGGTATTCCTGCTCGACGTTGTCCCAGAAGCTTCGGAGGTACGCTGTATCTGTCTGGAGAAACCGATACCGGCATCGTCCAGATTCTGCAATGTCAGGACGTTTCTCTGACCAGAGACGTTTGGATTGACTGAGGCCAACTGATACGTCCCGTCAGGTTTACATACTATTTGCAACTGCTCGGACGTTATAGGCACCGACGTTGCCGTCGTCGACGGCGATGGAGATTTCTTTGGCGATTGATTTTGGTTTGTTCTCTGATTAGTGTGCGGCCTGGGACTGTCTGGTTCTATTATGTTCGAGGCATTCATCAGACCCGTCGGAGGAGTGTCTGGAGGTTGGTTAGCCTCCTCGCCAAGGTCGTGCATGGCTGATCTCGGTGGAGGAGTCTGACCTGCAGGACTCATTCCTACACCGCTATCGTGACCACCGGAGGAAGGAGTGCCTGGTAACTGAATATTTCCTGCGATGGTGGAAGTCCGATTTCTCGGAGGTGTATTGCCACTGTTCACTGAACCCGAATTCGGGCTCTGAGGAATGTTTCTGGAGAGCTGAACAACGTTAACCGTTGACTGTACTCGAGGAGGTACCATCATGTCCAAGGAGTTCAGTCCAGGAACATTTTTCGCGAGTATATCAGAGTCTCTGACTGCTTTAGCCAGAATATCGAACTTGGATTTACCCAGGTTGGACTTTACAGAACTAAGACGTCTTCCGTCGATCGAGCTCAGGTCACCCTTTGTAGCACTGCCAATACCCACTTTCTTTTGCTTTTGTTTCTGATACGTTCCGATTGCATTTTTATTTGGCGAGAATGGCATACTTTTTTGTATGTTTCTGAGCTCGCTGGTAATGTCGCCAGCGCTGAGCTGCTTTTTCGATTGAGCCAATTTCTTATCCACCTCGTCTGCTCTAGTTAACACAATCTTGGGATTGAGGTTTAGTGAGCTCAGCATCGGGGCAAACTTAGTAATATTCGAATTATTGCTGACGTTATTATTATCCTTGTTTTTGTTTAGTAAATTTTTCTGCAGAATTTGAGCGATCCTCGTTGGTTTCTTGGCGTTATGCGGCCTAAACATTCTCAAGGACTTGAGGACAGCTGGATCGCTTCTCTTCTCGGAGATGATCAACGGACCCGCGGACGCATATGCAGAACCCTTTATGGTTTCTCGCTTGTTCTCGTCCATATCAGCAGAGAAAAGGGTGATGATATCATTGCTACTCATGTCCGAGCTACTGACATCTTCACCTGGATGTCTAATATTCTCGTTGACGAGCATGTGGAAGTGTGAAACGGATTCCATAGTAAGTTTCGATTTGCCACGTTTTTTATTGACTTCCTTAGTCACTGCAATGTTTGGTTTCTTTTCATGGCGGCAACCGTCACTACCCAGACTGTCTGTCTGACTGTCTTGTGTGTTGGTGTCGCTGTCAGATACGGAACTCGTCCGACTTCTGAAGTGTTTTGGTTTCCTTTCAGAGCTGTCATAGTCGCTCTCTGACGACTCTAATCTATGAACTTTCCGTTGCCTGGCGGTTCTTCTTACACGAAGGACACTTCCGCTATCCGAGTCTGTCGTATCGTCGAGGCTTCGTCTTGTCGAAGATCTTTTATAAGGTCCAGCTGGCTGAAAGCTGCCAAATTGTTCAGAATTATCAGAAGGTAAGTCCGCCCATTGCTCGTATCCCTTTTCGATCCCGTAAAAAACGTCCTTCGTGTCATCCTCAGAGGGCCAGTCCTTAAACTGTGAGTAGTCGATGTTTAGGTACTTGAGCTCCTTATTCGTATTGCGCATCTCCTCCGCATTCTCGAGGTATCTCTCGCACAGGCCATTCAGTTCCTTCCAATCCAGTACCCAGCTGAGCATATGATACCTGGGACTGCTGAGCACAACGGCGAGGTCGTCACAAAGTTGTGGTGACAATCCCAGTTTTTCGCCATCCAGCACTTGATTCGGCACGCACTTCTCGTCATAATTCGACGAACCTGTCATAGCTCCTCCTTGTATTAAAATAAGCGCGTCCAATGTCCTCTCGACATTAGACACCACCTCTGGAGTCTTGCTGCGTGGAAGTTCAATTCCGGTAAACTCACCACAATTGAAACAGAGTTCACCAAGTGGTCCATCGGAATCAGGATTTCTTTTAGGATGCAAAAGGCATCTGTCACTGGCTGTATCGCTTTTTCTTGGAGACGTCAAGAGACTTTTGAGCAACTGATCGGTTCGCTCGAAGGTCTTCGCGATACCGTTCTGAAAACCAATTCCTGAAGACGTCGTTGTCGTCGATGTTGTTGTCGACGACGTCGCAGTGGTAGTTGTCGTGACTTCCGTTGCTGTTGTCACTGTTGCCAAAGATGAAGTCGAGGTCGATTGAACTGTACTATCGAAATTTGCCGTCTCTGCCCTTTGAGAATTGTCAATCCTCTTCTCACTTTTAACATTGTTTTGACCCGTGTCCAGGACATGTTCGACTGCCTCATTCGTCCCATCTTGTTTCGCTTTGCCACATGATATGGCCATCTCCTTTATCCTGTCGTAGCATATTCTGGTAGGATGAAGGGAGAACGCAGTTAAAACACATTCCCTAGCGATTCCAACATTATCCACGGCATCGGCCAACTTAAGGAATTGCGTACTAAGACGTTTCGCAGTTTCGCGAACTTTTTCCTTATCAGATTTTGCCTTTTGACTCTCCAGCTCGTTCATATCAGTCGTCAAGGCTCTGATATATAATTCTATCACCAGTGACTTAATGTTATCACCAAACTGAAACGAGACAACATTTGTTAGTACATTATAATTAACATTAAATTTCATAATAAATCATTTCATTAGTTTCATCCAAAGCCGATACTCACGTGCTTCGAGAGTACAGCACAGAAGATATATATGTGCTGGGCACTTTCAGCAGGTTCGATGAGTTTCCGAATCATTCCAGGAAGGGTAGGCGCAATGTCCTTTAATTTTACGTGCAGAAGTGCCCAAGAATTTAGAATTTGTTCGAGGGTACTAGCCCCGGTTTCCCCAACTGGTCGAACCATACCAGCGGTGACGAGGTACTGGGCAACCAATTCGGCCGCTTTTATCGAATTCCTCCATACGCGAGCAGTTCCGTACTTGGTTGGCTTTTCTCCACTGAGCCTCTGCACCAGTTCGAGACCGTCGCTAAGGTCCATTAATTTTAACTGCAATGTGAAAGAGCATTCTTTAGTCATCGCCGAGGAGAAGCCACTCTGACCTAAAGTGTAGCCAAATTATTACTTGAGCGAATATGTCTTGCGTGCGTTTCAGTTTGTACAAGAGGACAATGTATACGTCAATCATATATTGAACATGATGGGAATCCGAAAGCGAACGTAACCGATCGCTTCTCCTGAGAGAGCGGACACAGGCAGCCGCGAGGTTCACCGCTATGTCCTCGCAGCGGTCCTCGCATAGTATTTTCAGCCTCATGGTCAGCAACTCTCCCTTTTCCGAACAGCAGAATTCTAAATGATCAATCACAATGGTAATAGGATTTAATATCTTTCGATTTAAACATTTTCTTTTATCCTCTGAACTTACCGTCCTCATGTTCGGAATCTGGTTGACCGTTAAGTATACTGTCGAGGACAGGATGCGTCCATGGGTTGTGCACAAGTGCGATCAAGTCTGTACACCTGGAAGCTGCGGGGTGTTGCACCAGGTGTGTCGCGCACCTCTGCAAGGTTACGCTGAGGTGCGTCTTCGTGGCGGGTGACAGCTTCGGCCACTCCCCGCGTAATACAAGTTTCAAGGTATGTCTGAAAGTAATTTCAGTGATTAAACATTTTATTGCCAAATTATATTTAAGTCCGCCTTCCTTTCACATGTTCCAACTGACATTGTAATCGTAATCAGCTAGTACGTAAGCGATCAAAAAACTTTTGTACAGAGTCGTTTGATACAAGAAAATTATTATCAAAATCTGGATGATGGTTTCATCTTAAACTATCCGTGTATCCGTCAAAGATGAATTTTTTCAACGACTCTTTACTCTCTTCTAAAAATTTATATTCTCCTGCACACAATTCTCGATTGCTGTAAGATACTACAATTTTGACAATGCTGCTGAAACAGTGATGGCGGATAAACATAAGATTACACTTTTTAGTATGCACTCACTTGTGAGCCCATTCTATGAGAGACTGGGTGGCCTCTGGGGTTGCCGCAGGAATGAAATTGGTGACATGCTCCCAGGCGGACAGAAGTGCATTCACCTTGTCCCCGTACTTCTTTTTGCTGTCACTCAATGTCGCTTCAAGCCCCTGTAAATCCACAAGTGCGCAAAAGGTCAGCAGGAAATCGTTATGACATTAGCATATGAATTTTTTAGTCAAGCATGCCCGTTCTACAATTAATCCTCGACAAAGTTTCCAAATAGAAGCTTTACACGGTAAGTTACTAAGTCAGTAGCTTTATAACATGGATCAACACATTAAGTCCAAAAATTCGCTTCACCCTACTCAAGTCACCACGACTGTATAAAATATTGTTATACATAAAATCCATCTTGACCCATGATTGCACGTTGCTTCAAATCCACCTTATTCTTATATTTACAGTATTAGCCTCGGATGAGAAAGAAAAATCAACAAGGACAAAAGACAAGTTTGCACTGCAGTAGGTGCTGCCGATGATGTTCTTCCTGGTGGTTTACTCCTCATTTCCCTCACAGTGTCCACATGCCGGAAAGTTTTAAAGATTAATTTTCTTACCCCGGTGAATCGCACAACTGCGAATCACCAGTTCGTTGAACGGACCCTTAATTATTCGGTACGTAAATAAATGCGAGAGAACGAAGATCAAGTCATGGAGGAATCGACTCTTGAAGCGGGTGAACCAACCCGGATTGTTTTCTCCGTCGGTGCGAATTAAGAGAGACGAGTAATTAAGAACTAAAGCGATACGACTTACTTTAACTTAAAACATTAACGTAGACCATCGCTCGAACTAACTTTGCTCCCTTTGCTCGAAAAGCAACGAGTGAGAATAAAATTAAAGCATTCACAAAGACGTTCACCCACCACTCGACACAACTTAGTAACATCCGGAGCTTACAAGATTACAATGTCATACGCAGTGAGACCTTAAGATGGAAACTTGGTCGATGATTTTGGTTGACTTCTTTTTTCTTAATAATAATTCCCGGAACAAGTGCCGCCATCTTACCACGCACGACTTTTGGATGTGCGAAGACATTCAGAGGGGTGTCGAGCGCGGCAGTACTTTAGGTATGGAAGCCACTGGGGTGTAGAGCTGCAAGCCAGCTTCCTAGTTCGTCTCAGCCAATTTGTGCCGTTCTTGCCGTTTAAATGTTTCCACGTGCACCACCTTCTGGAACGGGACTGTGACGAGCACCGTGCTGGAGCAGAGGCAAGATTTGTGGCGGACATCAGCAACCTCGCCAAGCTTCTCCAGCGAAGGTGACGTTTGTCCTCCTCCGAGAGTATCTCAAACCCTGTCACAGTCTTATCCACTCGAGTCTCCTATGTCCTGCACTCCACTCGCTGCACCTCTACCCTCTGTAACAAAAGGATCCTTAAATTAACTTTCACTGGCATTAACAATTAATCTACTATCGGGCAAAAAATATTGAAAAAAAATTAATTAATAAATAAATCACAAATATTCTTTTCATTATTTCCTGCTTCAATGACTTTCCACAATGGTCCTACGCAAAAAGCAATACAAATACTCTACATAGATACAATTAAAATAAAAGGAACAAAGAAGAGGGCAGGAACAAACACATGCCTAACGTCCATGTAATTTTGATTGTACTGTCTTTCGCAGGTGATTCAGTAGGAACCGGAAACGAGTCAAGTCAATGGGGGGAAAAAAAACCCACAGAGGAACCTCTTCGGGCGATTTCTGTTTTCTTGCAGCAAGTAAATTCATCTCTCGAACCGAATGTAATCTAATCCTGATTATTTCTCTTCGCTTTTCAACCGCGACCTGTCTCTCAAGAACTTTTATTTTTTTCTCTTTCTCTACGCCTACACGGACGTTCGTAACAGGCATAACCGTAGACACTCCTGTTTACAAGTCTTTCTGGCATACATACGTAACATCCTTGCGAAATCGACGGAGAGTGCTTACCTACAGAAAATCAATTGATTACAATCCAAGGAAAGAATCAAAAAAAGGAATCTTTTTTTTTTTAACAAGCTAGATATTAATTTACTATTTTCTAGATACCAGCGATACACTAATACCGTACCCATTATCCACAGTATCGTCTTACTCGTTTCATAAAAAATATTCGCCCTTAGTCTCTTCTCCATTCGTTATTGCCAACCCCAACCAGAGCAGCCATAGATTTTTCCCATTACTTGAAATGGCCAAGAAACTCTTATGTGCTCGATAAGCTTGTAAGCCGAATTGAATAAATGAACGAAACAGAAATAAAGGGACAAACAGAAGTGACAGGTAGGAAGAGGAAAAATAGAAAATAAGAAAAGCTCGTGAAATGGCTTTTAAAATTGTTCGAGCATGGGGGGGAAAGGAAAAGTTCTTAATATCACGGCAGCCATGGGACACGTGCCTCGTTACGCTATGGCAACGCGAGTCAAGCTAATCCGAGGTGGCCTGAGTCAGGTTAGGTTAGGACAGGTTAAGGTGAGGCTAGGTGAGGTATGCAAATTACCAGGAAGCTATCGAAAAGAGCCCAAGAAGGTGGCTATTGGGCTCCGTACGAATTTTCTTGGTGTAAAACTTGCATAGAATTCCCGATGGCTTTTGCCGGATGCTCGAGTGCTTTTTCCAATTATCCAGCGTTATCGTGAGCTTAGGTCGCCGATCTATCGGTGTGAAACTACGTTTTCATCCTTTTACGTGTATTTATATATCCTAATCATCCTCCGACGCCGTTTCCTCGTGTTCCAAACCGACTCGGAACTTATCTATCGATTCGTATTACTTACATAGTTAAATTCCAAGAGGGTTTCGGGTACCCGAAAACCTTCGAAATGAAAGGTGGCGTTGGCAAATAGCAAATAGCGAGCGCACTCGTGGAAAAAAGATCGACGAAACCATCGGGAGTTAATGCGTTAAGTACGCGAAGCAAAACGTCTTTAACGACAATGCCATCGCGATTTGTAATTTCGATCGAAATTTCCCGTCGATCAAAAATTCACCGAGGAATCAGGCTATTTTTTTTTCTTCTCTTTTTTCAAAGCAATGGTACCTTCTGCAAATAGACAGCCTTGCCCGCAAGGTGACTAGAGAGTAGACCACCAGAGCTTCGAAAGCATCAGGAAAATCCTTTCTGTCGATTCTCATCGAAATTGGCCCCCACGGCTTTTCAAAGTTTCCATAGAGAATAGAAACCGGAATTTGAGACTGGTTCCAAGGAAGCTTTCCATTTTTCCTTTTTTCTTTCTCTTAACAAACTCATGACTTCTATCAACCGTAGATTAAATCCTTAAGGGGGTTCTCTGGTTTGATGGGTTCAAAAAATCGATTTTTCTTTTTTTGCATAAATTGTTTCCTTAATATGTCTAGAATATGGTGGTAAAGTGATTTTTCAAAATTCGAACCCATTATAAAGATACAGCAGTTAGAAGAGGCAGGTGTTCGGGGCGCTGAGCTGAGCGCGCATTAATGGTAAGTTAGGATTTTTATAGTTGTAACTGTACTTGAAACTTCAAACGCGTTTTTCTCAAAACTACGTTTTTCAAACTTTCCTCCATCATATCTCGAGAACGGCTTGGCCGATTCACTTCAAATTTTTAGGGTCGACTCGGCACATATAGACGCACGGAATGGTCTATTACCACCCCAAAATTTAAAATATTTCTATTTTTAACAAAAAGTTAACAAAAAATACATGAAATTCGAAATATTTTCTTCCGAAATCTGTCAAAAGTCCAATTTTCAAAATTTTCTTATCATAATAATCCATTCCGTGTATTTAAGCTTACAGATTAAAACGTGCCCGATTTTTTTAGTTTCAGATAAGCCAATCAGCTGATTTCGTGGAGGGAGTGAGCGTCCATTTTTTCGAGGCAGGTGTCTTCAGAGCGCTATAACTTTTGTTCTAATGAATATTTTTAGCTAAAAATTTATATGTATACTCTTGAAACACTTATAAATAAACGATAAAAATTCCAAAGTTCTATCTCTTCATTGGTCCTCACAAAAAATCCCAAAAAAATGCTTAAAAATCAGACCGTCAAACCAGAGAACCCCCTTAAAGGATCAAATGCTCGATTATCGGTAGAGATCCGGAAATTCAAGATTGGGAACCATGAAGTTCCATTACATACAATGAGTGTCTTTCGATTTTTCAGTACTATTTTTTTTCCAACCCCCAGAGATACGAAGGGTTGTTCGTCAAAAGGCTAGCACGAAGGATATCGCAAAGGGTCTGTAAGGTCGACCTTAATCCCTTAATGGGAGCACAATAGGGACCTATATAGTTGCATCAAACTATTCAATTGTCGAATTCACATTGAATCCCTTTCGATCTCATACCAAAACCTTTAACCTATGATTAGCAATAAAGTAAACAGGATATAATTATCGTACAAAGTATCTGCGAACATTTTTCAACTTACTTGAAGAGCCCAAATTTTTTTTAACGTCAACTCTTCCGCTAACGGTTTAACGAAATTATCTCCCCCATCTTACCTCTCACCGTAAATAATCCGTCAAACTTTTTTCAACACACGGGACCACGTCTTTCAAGAATTCCACGTGGAATTTACAGTTTCCGTAAAAAAGCATCACAGAATAAAAAAAAAAAAATCTTTCTGCCAGCAATCTATCGCAACTATACTTATGCAATAATTACATAACGTTAATTATTAACGTTACTACAATACATTCGGTAAGGCCCCAAAGGGCCCTAATTGGGCACAGTATCGATTAATCGATCCGTGTTACACGTTGCAGCGTGGTACAATGTAAACTTGGTTCACTTAAATAATTTATGTGGAATTTCTTATTAAGTAATTTCATGACTACTGACACGTCTGGAAGGCGTTCCTGCCACGTCCAATATATCTTAGCCAGCACAGCTTAGTAAGAGTGGTGAAGGTTATTGAATCTAAAAAAAAAAGAATCAGTACCTGATTATTTCGTCCCTATAATCGCTGCTCCCCGTCAGCTCACTGTACAGAAGGGTAATCGGGAGTTTACGGCTTAAAAATATAAGGCCTCAAAAAGGCCTTGGTCCGTTACGAAATTTCTATAAGATAGATTAGCAGATCAATGAAAAGTGGAAGTTACTTAATTTAAGAAGACGTTATCACGAGATGGATATTCGATACTTTTAAGAAATTATCCCTGAAGCTCAGCAAAGCGGTATAACGAGTTGCCAGAACTTCCTATCAAGGATGCGATCTTCCTTCGAACGAAATTTTCTTGGTTTTGCACGCTATTGAAAAATTAAACGCGAACGGTTACATAGCTTTCGCTACTACGGCTAAACAATTTTTTTATTGCTCAAGCATATATTTTCTTATTACGCAAAGTCCGCGCCGACCGATCAGCTTGAGTGTGTAAAAAATAATGATTTAAATAACCCGCCAAAGTAACGCGGAACCTTTTCTCCTTCGATACTGATATATTTGAAATTAACGCCAAATTTGCTATTTCCACTTTTAATTCCCCTAAAATCCATTCGTATGAAATACAAAATCCCGCTTGACCCCACCTCCCCCAATCAATCGAAGCTTAACTCAACCCACGCAAATTCAACGAACAACACGATACCACGCGATTATTTTATTTATCTGCCATCCCTCGCAGTTTGAATTATTTTACAATTTGAAAATACATGTCTAATTACTATTTTTGTTTGTTTGACAATGATTAAGCTGCATGAAAATTTTAATAGAATTTAATCGGGATTAAATAAAAGCGAGTTAAATGTACTATGTGACAAGTAGTAAAAAATTATATCGCTGGTACGGAATGCTAAGGGAACTTTTTTTTTTACATACACTCGTAACGTTACGTTGAATACCTTGAAAAGATTGACAATGGTTCCCTGTTAAGAGTGCTACGACAGTAAGTAAAGGCACCAAGGGGGTGCAGTAACAATTAACCGGGCGATGGAGCGTTACGAAGCATATTTCAAATGATTTTTTAAGGGTCGTAAAGAGATCGATAAATGAAAGAAATACAGAATGCCGTAGGTGTAGCTTAGAAATTACGAAAGATATCATAGTTAAGGTCGACGGGATTGTTAGTAACGTATTTGAAGAAATTCGTATTACATATCCGAGTGTAAAAGTAAGCTTACGACACCATAACAATTTGATACGTCGTCGCGATTTTCTCCTTATTCTTCTTTATCCCATAATTCGAAACGGATCATAAATCCTACTAAAAGTTTACCGGGAGAGTTTAAAAGTTGCGGTAAGATTTGAAATTCCAAGCTAGTTCGAATTCCTGGGAAATAAAAAAAATAAATAATCCATCGAATTTCTCCGACGTTTCCGACTCCACGGAGATTCTCTGTAACAGTTTGAAAATTTCAGCTAGATGCGCCGCGCAAAGTGTACAATGTCGTCTGAAGCTTCCGACAATCATGAACGTTTCAAACCTTTGACCCCCTTTTCCGACACCCTTATTTATAACGCGTCGCGTATGACACTGTGGAATTTAACCTACAAAATGGAAAAACCTATAGCACGTTATGAGCGTAAAAAATAAATGGGACGACGAAGAAGCGTTTACGGTGTGGATTTTCGAATTTTTAAAGCTCCCAAAAATCACGTTGATCCAAAGCTTAAGGGTAACGGAGCTGAGAGGCAGGGTCGAGGTATGCGTGTGGCACGCAAAACGTCAATTGGTGATACCAACGTCATAGTAAGAAATACATCGCAGCCCGTGACGATTTATGTTATTTTTCATTAATTATTTATATATCGTACTACCGAGAACAAGTATCGCATAATGATAATTTTTGTCCTAGACTTTCTTCTTTTTGGTAAAACGGAAAGAAAAGAAATGGCGAAATGTTATCTTCGAGACAGAAGATAGTTACGCCAATGAGTGGTACGAGGGCTTCACTTATTCCGATATTAGAACTTGGTGGCAAACGCCTACGTAGCGGAGGCAAGTGACCCTACGATTAACCCAGGGCAACTTGCGAGATACACTTTTTCCTAGTAATCTCATGCTGGTGCTCTGAGAAGCGTCGGGTTTTGGCAGGGAAAATAAATGGTGCGGTAGAAGACTTCAGGTTATTGGAATCGACATTCCCTTTAAACTCACGTGCCAGGAACTAAAGGAGGCGCAGTTCCGTTAAGCGTTCACGATTTTATCTATAGTAATGTAAAGACGAGAAGCAACGCTCGTGTTTAGTTAAGGAGCAAATAATATTTTTAAATTATAAGAAGGCCATTTGGATTCTACACGGTTCGAAGGATTTTCAAATCCGTTCTGAGAATTTTACGTAACTTGGTAAGTGCCATTATGTGCCTGAAAAAAAAATTCCCTTGAAAATTTGAATAATAAACGAAAAGAAATCGAAGAGAACAAAGGATCATAGTATCGAATGAAGAAAAGCATATAATATTGAAGTGCATCTTCCTTAAAGTAACACTCACGCTTGGGACTGTATTAAATTTCACAGTAACGGATCTTTCGATCAGGTCGAAAAGTGCGTGATGGATTATTTAAATCTAAGTATTATCCTTAACGGTCCAGAATTCTCAACGGTGCCCGTCTAAGCTTTACTACTCTATCTACTCTTCCCCTTCGCTCTAAGATCTCCACGGACACGAATAGTTCTTATATTCCAAACGGCATTAATTTATTGAAAAAAAAAAAAAAACTAATGTTATCAACAGTTTTATAAATCTTGACGCAAGCTATATTATAAAGCAGGAGCTTCTAGGAAATAAAAACGAAGTCCCTTGATTCCCGTCGAAGGTGACGCCGCTCATTAGGCGGTCGAGTTTTGTTTTGACTGCACGCTTGGCTGCCTTGACAATACCCCATGTACATACATATATATATATCCTACAGCCATCGAGAGTCACAGGACTACCGCATCAACCCCAACTTGCAACTTCAACGTTCTTTCGCCACGTAAAACCACCCCCTCTCACGCCATTGCATTAGCTGTCCCTTTCACCCTGGTCTACTGGAAACACATGTCGTCATCGCAATCGGCATCCGAAACATATGCACTGTGTTCCAGGTTTAGGGAGACAGTAAACCGAGCTAGGACGAGGCCTTTGAAAAATAACCCGCTGCCCGGAAGTGGTCTGGAATAATTATATTGTTATAGAAGGGACATTAGAATTTCTCCAAACACAATTCGAGTACCGACCTCCTCCGGTTGCACTGATAACTCGGGAAGTCGATTGGAATTTTACCACTTGAACCCGCATGACGATTGAGATACTTAATTCGAATTTAAAAAGAACGTTATGAATTTTTTGAATGGATACGAATCTATGGTATTCTTGATATCTCGTTGTTGTACTGGCTTGAGACAAAATACGATATTTGAAGGAGTGTATTTGAACCTGTTGAAAGTTTGAGGAATTTCCATAATGGCGGGGATTCACGATGGCGCGAGATCTCGTTAACGCGCTGGTATTATCGATGCCTCGAACAGAAATCGAGGTGAAAGATGCGAGCATGCGGAGGTCTCTTCATTGTCCTGACAATGCAACTATTCACTGAGGTAGAGTCATATCAGTTTTTTACTAGATGTCACGACTTATCTCTTTCCTTTATTTTTCTTCTTTCTTCCCTAACAACAAACATCTTGCATATTTCAAACAGAGAATGGGTAACTTTGACGTATTAGCTGATGAACAAGAATTACAAATGAGGGAGAAAAAGAAAGTCACTGGATGATTAACTATTGGCATCCCAATTATCTTCTTTCAGAGTTGCCAATGATTAGAACGAACAACAAATGTCCTCAGTTACCACCTGTGGTCAAGGAATATTGATATGATTTTGAAGTCTTTTTTCAATGCGTATTTGCTGAAAGAAAAATCCCTGGAGATTGTCTCAATGGTTGCCACTAGACTGATCTTATATAAGGTAGTCCATAATTCATGTTCACTTGGTTCATATATAGGATTCTTTTCATTAGAAATTTATCCTGACTGCAGATAAGCCATTTGCGGTTTCAAGAAACGAATGTACTTTGCTGAATAGATAACGCGCGTTGTAATCTTTCACTAGATATTCCTTATCTTGAGATGGGATTTGTGATAATCTTATACAATTCCACAAATAGGTAATAGTGATATTTGCAAAACTACCATTTATATTTACTTGATAAAGTATTTAGAAAATTGTCAATTTTTTTGAATGAAATAAAGGATTTTTAAGAAAATATATTGAGTGATGCATGAACAAGTAAAATTAAATATGGATATGACAAGAATATTAATATTGAAGCATATGGAAAAATCGTATAAATGGTATAGAATATTTGTAAAATGGCCTATTTATTTCTATAATACGTAATGGTTATTAGGTACTTATTTCCACCATTTTAAAATGCTTTCTGTAACTATTAGAAAATTGGAATTACTAGAAATTTGTATTGTAAATTAAATTGTATACCTGTGCTTTAATAACCAAACCGCCAAATAAATAATATAATTCTAAGTAAGCACATGGACATTTATCAAGCTAATCAGTCCCAAAAATCATATTCGTTAAGATAAATATCCACCATTTGACTTATCTAAATCATTTCATACATGATAAACATTCATTCCTATAGACCATTCTATCGATAAAACAAATTTTGGCATTCTATTTTCAAGTACGTTGAATGGAGAAATCGTGACAAAATTATAATAAGCATTATCTTGGGTGAGAATTAATTTCTTTTTCGGATAAAAAACAAGATCTACTAATAAGATCTATAACATCGATTTCCACGTCTCAATATGACAAAATTATTAATGTAGAAATATCATTACCGATAACTAATTTTTTAAATCGAGTCCACTATTATTTCAGTGTGTTTTAATAAAACCTCAAACAGTGCTAAACATCACAGAATACAAAAGATGCTACGTACAGAGTAATATCGAAGATGGAGTACAAAGTTAAAATATATAAAGCTGTATGAAAAGCGACAAAAAAAGGAAGAAAGAAACGTGTGATGTATATACTGTTAGAAATAACAAATGGAGGAACGAGGGAGTAGACAGGCGAGTGGCAAGCATGCTAGATTGAAGTGAAAATGTATAAATGAAGGAGGTGAATGAAAATATGAACAAATGAACGTATGTGGCAACAACGAATAGAGAAACAGATGAATAGACCAATGATCTAAAATACAGTATTAGAAATACCAAGAAGAAATGAACCAACAAACGTACGAGGGGATAGACAGACGGATGAGCGGATGAAGATAAAAACCAAATAGTATGAAAAAATGAGCCAGACATAATAACTACATGCAATGTGTACTTACTAGGTAAGTAGCATAGGGCCTAAGGGTGGTACGACCGTAGTCTAGAGAGAGAAGAGGCACAAGAATAAGCTGGCGGTGCACGAACATCAGGCAAAACAAACAGCGGCGCTCGACTCGTTGTCGTGGTCGTCCGTGGCCGTGTTGATAGCGGTCGGATTCGGCACAAGGGGCGCGTTCGTCCACGAACCGTCATCCGCTCGGAGGGACGCTGCGATGGATGCTCTCATGAGAGAGCACTCAGATTTATCGTAGCACAATTCCAGTGGCGATTCTCCCGTGACGGCGGGGCGCCGGATTAATATGGCCGTCCGTTTACACGAATGTTCAACTTGACTGGCGTAAGTGTGTCTCGTACACGGGCACGGCTGCGCTCGCGAATCCGTCGTCCTACGTGCCTGGACACCGTGCGAGCCGCTCGCATTTGTTTTCTCGCGGCTCGCTCCTGTTAACCCCTTTCTCACTCTCCTCCTCCTTCTCCTCGTCGTCCCCCTGCTTCTCCTCGTCCTCGTCGACGTCGTCTTCGTCGTCGTCGTCGTCGTCGTCGTCGTCGTTTCTCGCGGCGCGCGCTCGCCCGCTCCTCGCGCTACGGGCCGCCTGCCTTTCACACCTCACGCACCACACACGGCACGCACTCGATCCTCTCACAATCCTCTCAGAGGACACGTCCGTATCCTCCTACTCTTCTTATATTCTCTTTGATATCCTCCTTCGTCTTTTTCACGCTGCTATGCTGACGCGAGATCGCACCAAACGACGTCAACACCACCGTAAGCTGTCGCAGCGGCCATCTTTTCGGGATCAACCGACGTAACGCCGTCGACGCTCGGCACGTTCGTTCCCACACGCACGTATCCGTACGTTACTTACACCAACGTAACCACCTACAGATAACCAGCCAGTCAGGCCAATCTGCAGGCAGACAGAGTAAACTAGCGGACACCGCCAAACAAGTAAACCGACCTTCCGTGACGGACACACGGGAAAACGCGGCGCTAGCGTCAATCTTCGTGCCGAAAAAGTCACCCTCGTTTCACGATACTAGCGCCACCGTGATTCTGCACACGCTGATCCGTTTTACATGAGAATATCTTCACTGTGACTGAGAGCATCACGCAAATATTTCTATACTGGATGCTTGTGAAGCTGTCAAGATTCCCGGTTGCTCTACTCTTATCCTCCGCGATACGCTGAGCGCGCGATCTTGTCATCCCCTTCTTCATCCTAACAATAAATGCGCATGTGCGTGACATCTTCTGCCGAACACGTTGTGCCACCAACCAGTGTGCGGTCACTGGTATATAACACAATTCAATGCACCTCGTGCCTTTGACATGTATAGATGTTCAGAATATTGGAGTGAGATGGATTGATTAGGAACACAATTAATGAGGTAGGAAGATGACGGGTTATGATAATAGTAATAACATCTTTAGTTTTAAATGTCATATTGACCTTTAGAGAAACAAATTTACGAGTTGCGCACATTTTCCCCTGTAGAGTCAGCGCAATACTTATACAAAATGCACCATATCAAAGTGATTTACACAAAAAATAACATAGTGTATAAAATATATATCTTTGTATATATATACATATATTTGTATATAAACTATTAGAAAGTTTAAAGACTCAAATATTCATCGATATGATCAAACAATTTCTTATTAAGAGTTCCAGAGGACTAGTACGGAAATTCATTCTGAACGTTTAAAGTATCATTGAACCTGTTTTTAGTGAAATAAACACTTGTGGATACTTTAAGAAAAGTTAGATTGAATTTCCGGAAATTTTAGACGAGTGCGATGGACTTGGTCCATCGTGGTTAAGTTGTGATTATCCGAGGAATGTGTATATACGGTAGCGCTGACCATCAGGAAAACAGATATCATCGAATTTACTTTGTACTGCTGATTCACTGGGACTCAATCAAATCTTTTAGATCTCGAATTGAGCAAATTACCCATGAACTAAAATGGATGAGCGACTCGAACGTTCATTGAATTATTGGATTCGTTAAGTTGGTACTTTGTTACAAGCAGTAATATCAGTAGTACTTCAATTAGAGCTTCAAAACTTCTTGTACAGCGGCAACAATGTTACGAGCGCTAATACCGAAAGCGTCAAGAAGAACATTTGGTGGTCCAGAACGAGGTACCTTGGGTACAGCCAGTTTCTTCAGAATAATATTTCTCTCGAGTGCTACAGCTGATGCCACGGCTTCTCCAAGACCACCCTCTGGGTAATGATCTTCAACGGACACAATTCTACCACCAACCTCCTTGGCATTTTTAATGATAGTAGCAGCATCTATAGGCTTAATGGTGAAAGGATCCAGAACGCGCACGTTGATTCCAGCCTTGGCTAATTCCTCCGCAGCTTTCACACCCTCGTGCAGAGTAATTCCGGCACCGATTACAAGAACTTGATCCTTCGGAGAAGATTTGACCACCTTAGCCTTGCCGATGCTCAGAGGTTCGTCGTTCGCGTAAAGGACCGGTGTGTTAGGACGTGATGTGCGGATGAAGCAGATTCCCTTGGTGTTGGCTGCCAACTCTATTGCACGTTCCGTCGACACGGCATCACTTGGGTAGAAGACAGTCGCACCAGGAATAGAACGGAACAGAGCAATATCTTCTAAACCCATTTGAGAGGGACCATCCTCACCAATGGAAACTCCACAATGAGAACCGACGAAATTGACATTCGACTGTGAGATGGCACCCATCCGAATCTGTTACCAGGACACAACAGTTATTAATTGTTGAGAAAAATTACACAAATATATATATAAAAGCATTCGTGGGGATGTCATACCTGATCGTAGGCACGCGTGAAGAATGTGGCAAAGGTCGAGACGAAAGCTACGGTACGATCTCTGCAAGCAGCTCCAGTTGCAACGCCGACAAGATTTTGCTCAGCGATGTAGCATTCGACGTATCTGCTTGGATCGACCGTTTTAATTTTCTCAGAGAACGTGGAGTTTTTCGTATCACCGTCAAGGGCGATAACGCGGTTATTATTGGCTGCAATCTGTAACAACGAGTAATTCCAGAATTTTCCTTCTACCCATAGAGGAAGGCAAATTCAATAAGTAACTAGTGTTTACCTTGGCAAGAGCAGTTCCATAGGCTAAGCGAGTGGCAACTTCTTCGCCGAGCTTGTAATTTGGTGGAGTGTTCAGTTTAATGTTGCTGATGTCCACAGCGGGAGCATCTTCCACGAGAGGTTTCTGAGGATGCAATCCCAAGGGACCAGGATTTACCAGAAGCGAAGTAAGATGCTGTGAAATAAAAAATATTTTGTCAATTACACGGACTAAAGCTGATGAATATTGAAATGTATAAACATGATTGTATATACCTGAATGACTTCATCAGCTTTTCCACCAAGAGGCTTGCCATGCCAATTCTCAAGGTCTTCGATATTAGGAAAATTCTTTCCTTTAAATGTTTTAGCCAAAAGTGCTGTGGGACGTTCTTTGGTGTTTTGTGCCTCGTGGAAAGCCTGCGGAATGGTGAATCATTTAATTCCTCTACACGCAGTAGCAAATTGTAGGCTTATATAATGTTAACGTACCTTAGCCAGCTCCTCAACATCATGACCGTCAACGACCAATGCATTGAATCCAAAAGCTTCGAGACGCTTACGGTAAGTCTCCATGTTATGCTGAAGAGCCGTCGGTTCGCTCTGACCAAGACGGTTAATGTCGATGATCACACAGAGATTATCCAGATTGTAATGAGAAGCAAAATGGAGTGCTTCCCAGATAGAACCTTCAGCAGACTCTCCATCCCCAACAAGACAGTAGACCCTGAAAACAATACGAGTCTATTGTACTAAATAACGTAGTAATATTTCAAGTATCAAAAGTAAAATCTATAATACCCCCAAGAAATTACATTTGAAAAATAAAGTAAGTAAATATTCCCACCTGTAGCTAGCCTTGTCATAGACCTTGCCCACGTAGGCCATACCAGCAGCAACAGAAAGACCCTGACCCAAGGATCCAGTTCCAACGTCGATAAAGTTTAATCTTGGGGTCGGATGACCCTCGAGGTCACTGTCGAATTTTCTCAAATTCAACAGCTCGCTCGTTGGGAAAAGTCCAGCTTCTGCCCATGCTGCCCACAAAAAATAAAGAAAAATCGTTAACCAACTAAATCAGGAATCCTTCAAACATATAATCTTCCAGATCAAATTACCAGCATAAAGAATGGGGGCTGCGTGACCCTTGCTCAAGATAAATCTGTCGCTGCTTGGATCCCTGGGAGCTGAAACCTTGTACTTCATAGTATGGAAGAAGAGGACTGACATAATTTCGGCCATGGATGCACATGATGTAGGATGTCTGTAACAGAATTACAAAAATCATTTATAGCTTTAAACGTAAATTTTTGTTTTTTAATCCTCTGTTCAAATTCCTATTATCTGAAAAACACGTTTAGGACGTCGACGTGGCTACTTATAAGCATCTTATCTGCTAGGAATTATATTTACTAGCAGGTGGCAAATCTAGTAAATACCGCCCATATATATATGCATACCAAGCTATATGCATACCTTGACCATTTCAGTCAACTCAACTTTGAGTACTCAATTTTGTATATATATCTGTAGATGACGTACAGGACAGTCAAGACCAAAGTCCTTAAAGTATAAGCGCAACATGTTAATTAGGATGTCACGTTACGCTAATTACTAAGTATCCATTAAAGAAGTATAAAAGTGATTAGATTAGAAGATAAATCATGATTTTAATATACAGGAAATATGTTCGAATATGGAATTTTTGGCTATTATTTGGAATATTATTTTGGCTATTTGGAATATTCGCTGTATAAAGGCATATACATGAGTTTTCTTCGATGATTCATATGATTCAATTACAATATTAAATTATAATTGATAAATCTCATAATAATCCATGATAGAGCTTCATGGAAGGTTATATAGAGGACATGATAATGGATTTAATAATGTAGTTCTGCATATATATGGGGACGATAATAATGTGATAAAAATTATGACCTTAGCTCAAATGTTTAATTAGTCTGAATTTACGAAGCAAAAAAAATTAATCGAATCGATGCGGTGCTTATGATTGGTCAGATAAAATACAGATAAAATACCAGATAACTCGTAAATGTTCATTCGGACTAGATTTGGCTTTCGGGCATTTTAAAAATGATTTTTTAATATACGTGTTTTCTGGGTACAACGGTACAATTATTTGATGACGCTCTACCGAGATTACTCAGACAAAATTGTATGAAAATAGAAGAGTCAAGAAAATGTTCATGAAAGCGTTAAAAATTTCGCACTTATATTTCGAGTGGTATAAAAAAAAAAGTCAACAAAAAATTACCAAAGTTGTACACAAGATTAATAAAATCCTTGGATTTTGACCGGTAAGAATAGGCCCGAGTTAGATGGAATAATCCGAATCATTAAGTGTCTAATATATAACTTTATCAACCTTGAATGACCTTGCTTCGATAAATCACATTAATTCAATGAAAAAGAAAGAGTCCACGTAGACTTTTTAAATGATTTCTATATAGATATATAACTGTGCACGTTTCTCCTCGCAAGGTAAGAATAACTTCGTTCCAAAGGAAAATAATAGATTAATTTAAATTCCAAGGAGGTACCCAACGTTCAATGACTATTAAAGTCAGGCACAGCTGTTTCCGTTACGACTTAATATTTACATGAAACGTATGAAATTCCGTGAAACAGAGTATGAAATAAAAATTATATTTTTAATTTTATTTTAATTATTCCCTACCCACTCTTACTGGCTTGTGTAGCCTGTATACTAAGTATACGAAGCTTATTGGCCTGATCCTTTAATTTCTGTAGATCAACTTCACGAACCATTTTGTTTAGGCGAACCGATCTTACTAAAATGAACAACGAACCGTTTCCTTGAAGCGTTCAATACGAACTGCTGCGAATTGCTCTGGAGTCGCTCTACTGCGCGGCGATCTTCTCTATTGACCCTACAGGACGTATCGAACCACTCGCAAATTCAAGACTCCGAATCACATTAACGAAACCCCCACTGATTTGATCATGTATATTTCTTCATTTATTACTCTATCTCCCTCTCTCTCTTTCTCTCACTGATCCACGCATTTTATTCTTATCTGTTTCTTCTAAGTTTCCAGATTATTCAGCAAATGCACACCACCAACTGAACTAATATCGACAATGTCGCGTGATTCTGTTTTATATTCTAAAAGAACATAAGAATTTGCCCCTTGGCCATTTTCAATCGGGCGTCACATATCAGCCGATTAAAAAGTTTCTTTCACTTAGTCTTGTATTAGGCGTAACTGTAAATTTCAATTGAATTTATTGTTCAAACTGTAAAAAGGAATATGAACTGTATAAGAAATATATGATATTAATTTTCGAAAGTATTAGCGGTTATTTTATAATTGATCAGAAATTAAAGCTCCAGGACAACACAGATTTTAGGTTATATATGATATCGTTATGTCTGATGTTATATAATATATATATAGTCTTCGGTCAAGTTATCACGTCTGCACGATGCTCTTTCGTGCTTATCTGTAGAAATGTTTAAAAAAAGGAAATGCTTTAATGGCGCTATGTTGAGGAACGTATGATTCGCACTGACGTTGCACGTGTTTCGTGAACGCTGTGGCGGGTAAATTTAAATGTATTCGAATTGGTAAGAAAAGAAATGTGATTTGCAAATTTTACCAAGTTTCATAGACGTCGTTCAAGTCTTGCGGTATAAATTTACGTTTCATTAACATAATATTTATACGACTAACGTAAGGATGGCGTAATTATTATGAAGATGTACGAACATGAGGCCTTGAACCCCAAGTCATTAAAGAAATACACGTTGCCAAGGGAATATGAACAAATATAATGTATCGAGGATATCATATTTTTCCCTGATAATAGTACCTTTTTAAATAGACCTCGTATATATTATAATTGTAGCAAGAAGGAAAATCATTTTGAATTTATCGGGTCTAAAGTCAGTTATTCACAGTTCTAAACTAAATTACAAGAAAAAATTATAGATACTATCTCTACAAGTTTTAATATGCTATTAAGTATTATCGTAAGCGTGATAACAAAATTTTCTAATCAATTTCACGTATCGTGCGCATACGTTGACTAGAGTAAAAATTACTAATAATACATGTACTAAAAAGTTAGTTATCACAAGAAATATCTATGAATTTCTGTATTACCAAAGTTTGTGATAACGAAAGGATTAGAATTCTTTTGGACACTCATAATCATCCCGGCACTGGTAATTCTAATGATTTTTATCGGTTCTTTTTGCATTCATACGTTGGTAACATTCTAGTGATAACGTATAGAAGCCGCGCAGCAGGGACGCCACTTTAAGCTAATCATGCCGGTTTACTTACCCAGATTTGCTAGCTTGGGTGGCTCGAATCGAATGGATTCTAAGCTTATTAGCGATATCCTTCAGCTCTTGAATAGCCTTAGATTCCGGTTTGTGGTAATTGACCATTTTTCTTTTAGAAGATGTAATGAGAGTAAGGAATGTGACACAGATGGCGGACACAGGCTCACTTAAAGGATATACAGATGCCGAAAGGACTGAAGAAGGAAGAAATTCGTGTACGGGAACGAGCAACGGAGCAACAAGTGGGAAACTAGATTGTGTAAAGCCGTTACTTCAGACAAATGATTAAGCAACATCATGACCCCCTCTACTTTCAGTCGCTCTAGCTTCCCTCTCTCAATTTCCAGGTCTCCCGGCCCTCCCGGCAAACGTTATTCATTTTCTCAGTCCGTGAATATAGCAACGAAACTCCTTACTTACGTACCGTTGGGCCTAAGTGTATCAGGCCCTATATTTATCCCTAGCTGCCTTTGTTCCCAGTCTACGCTTTCTTTGTTTCATTTTTAGTTTTATTAATTTACCAATCAAAGGCTGTGCTATACATATATATTTTTGAGAATATTCACAAAATATCGACGAATTTTTATTAGAATTTCTATTTTTTTAATGACACTGGTTGATTGCGCTCATAATTTTTTTTAAGTTACATAATTATGGCATGATTGGAATTTCAAATGAAAATAAAAAGGAGCACAAGGCTTGCAAGATGATTAAGGAAATAATTATATGTAACATAATCATTGGGTATGATTGTATAAGAGTAAAGCCCTAGAAAATTATCCTCTTACCATACATTGCCCTGAAAAGAAAGTATAACTCATTGTAGATTTTCGAGTTGTAATAATTTTTATTAGAAAAAAAAGATTTTATTCATGCCATTACATTGTTGTACATCTTTAATGTCTTATAAATATATTTACATCGTTAAATAAACTCGTTCCATCATGGGATGCATTTTACTTCTATTATTCGGACTCTTTACTCATTTATTAATCAATCAGCACGATACGTACCGTCAAAATAATTTTTAAAAAATAATTCAATCATTTACTATACACCGAGACAATCTCAATGATTCCCTTTAAACTTTATACACTGTCGATAATTGAACGTAATTTGTATTATGCTTTTATTAAAATGTCAAATTCGAAATCTGATGATAAATATTTTCGTTATTACGATTATCTAGGTTATTTCAATTGGTTACGTTTTGTGTAAGGAACTTGTATCACTTCAAAATTTCATTACGATCTTGTCAAATTCACAGAAACAAGTTTACGAGATTTGATGGAACGTGAGGCGACCAAAATACAAATATCGACTTGATAAAAAATAAGAAAATCCTAAACTTCGACGAATATTCTGTACAGTAAATCGATCGATTGATAAAATACCGGGATATTAATTCTATAAGAAGTTAAACACATTACGGAAACGAATTTGCATATTCTTTTTTTTTCAGAGTGTGTAACGTTATCGATTAACGTAAAGTCGGTCTACCAGATTCATTTTTTTTGCCTGACCCAAAGCAACGAAGTCTAAAGCAACCGACACGTGGCTCTGCATATCATTTTACATACAAAATATGCACGTACACGGTTTTGCAGTGAAATACATATAATTTTTCAATTATAGCACATATATCCATATCGTTATGGGAAACCACGTGTGAATTGCTGAAGAATATATTGTTTGTTAACTGTCGAAAAAAACACATTGAATTCGTAGACCTACTACAGTAACAATGAACTGTACCTAACGAGATACTAAATAATAAATTAATTATAATGAGACATTGAACGCTACTGATATATTTAGGTTCGAACTTCGATTAAATTATGTACAATAGTTGTTGGCCCTAGGTAGTAGGATCTAATAAAGATAAATTATATGAAAATTGCATTTAAACGGTAATTTCGGCGTCTGGAAGTTCTGAACAAATGAAAATGAAGAAAAAAAAAAGAAAATGAAAAAGACACACGGAACGAAGAAGTGTCTCAAACAATAAAATAATAGCAAATTTGGCAACAGACAACGCATTTCCTTTTCTGTCCTTTCTTATTCCATTTTATAGTAACCGCCGAAAAGACCATGAAGCTTTATTCTCAATCTTATTTAAAAGACATTAACTACTCCTCCTGTCGCTCAGTGTAAACTCAGTTGCTAACTGCAGTACAACGACACCATAAACGGCTGCGGTGTTTTGGTTCCGCTTATTACTTTGAAACTCTATCGGATCAGCACGTCAATTTACACTAATTATAATCGTATCACATAGCAAGTTTTACTTATTTACAGCAACACCACGTGTCTCGCCTGGATCATCAACGATCGGACCCTACGGTTTATCATGCATGCGTCAAAAGTAATGGAAGAGTGCGCGATATAGTGTATTCATAGAATCCCTTTTTTTTCTTCTTTTTCATTTCATTTTAAATAACCTCATTGAATTACTCGCATTGTCGCCCGACAGGGCATCGAACCGATAATCAATCTTTGCGTTATTTTCAATGACAATGCAAAAGCACGAAACTAGTCTTAAAACTTCTCTTGACGTCGACGAATAACATCTTGCTTCAATTTGGTCTCGATTATAATCAATAATGCCAACCTGATTAATACCGTGACAATATCATTATTAATACGACTTACGAATCAGTCTAAACCATCTCCTGAAACGAACCTCACGTTAAAGTACTCACTTGATCGCTCTTACTTTTGGGCTATCTCTTTTTCTTTTTTTAATAGTTCTCAGTTCGATTCGATACTCTGCTCCTATTAGGAAACACCTGGCCAACCCTTATTTTTTTCCTCTTCGCGTATAAGTAACGATGATAGTATCTTACGATCTATTTATAACGATAGTGCCTTTCCGAAAGAGAAAAAACAGGAATCGTTCCTTATCCTTTTTTACTTTTCTTCGAACATTTCATTCCTGACATTTTCCAGTCCTTTGTGAAATGCAATAGGATTAAGATGGACGTGAAATGGGGATGGCGAACGATCAATGGCTTCCTCCGATCGTGTAGATTCTTCTATCGTGCCAATAAGGAACATCGATTTTCTCCGTATAGTCATACAGGCTTTGACAATTGATCCATAGGATTATGAGAAGAATGATTTCTTCAGAAATCTAACAGTCGTCCAATAATCTGGAATGCGGACATCGGAATAAGTAAAGTTTACTACGAAGTATAACGTGACATATAAATAAATAAATAAATAAATTTTGGCCGCAGCGCGAATTCAGCGGAGAGCGAAACGAAAGTTTACGAATAAGTAGAAGAAATGAAAATGAATGCCACGCCAAAAAATGAATTTTGTAAATGATATTGATTGGAGTTAGCTTGCGAGTCATCAAAACAATTGAAATCTAATTGACAGCTACTTGGTGTGAATATGACTTTACGGATAAAAATGAATTTGGTAGATTCGATTGGTAATGTACATTCTGAGCTAATTAACAAATTTGAGCGTGAGTTTGTAAACGGACTTTTTTCTATAAACCAGGATAACTTAAAAGCTAAAATGATTTTCGAACGTACAGAAAGAATTAATTACGAACTAACGTTATGTAACATAATCGATCTATATATTGTGAAAGATCCCTAAGGAGAACTTACCTTGTATTTCATTTATAAGTTCCTCCTCTACAGGTTCCTCTTAACATATCGTACGAACCATAATGGTCAATGGTAATGGTAAGCCATGAAAAGTCACAAGACCGATGAATTTGGTAGTCGCTGTAGATTATGCGGCTGTGGTTCAACCTCCCTATGTAATTTTTTTTTTCAGTCTGAGTTCGCTAGCACCCATTACTCAGATCCAGTAGATTCATCTATTAGATAATAGATGCAGCTGATTGATCCAATGTCAAGAGGATTGAATCAATCGATCAATAAGTTACACTGGCTAGCCAAAGTGGAATCTACTGAATAGAAGTAAGGAAATATAACGGTCGCTTGTTCTGAACATTTCAAAAGTCCTTGTAACGATGCTTCAATGAAGAAACAAAGAGCGTTACCTTTTAAAATTACGCAGATACGACCGGCGAAGCAAATCGATCTGGCAACAATCTTAAACCCTTGTCAAATAGATATCTAGGTGAAGATCGAATTGAAGTCTAAAGCACCGTTATGGAAGCCAAGAGGGGGCAACACAAACGGGCAATAAAACGTCGCTCGAATATTAGTCGTAATCGAGAAAGGCATCCAGGGCGAAAAAAGCTTCGAAGTCATGCCACTAAGAATATTAAAAAGTTATCTCTCTCTATTGATATCTTAGTAAGTTAATATCACAAACGAGCACGCTACGAAGCTTTCGTATCCCCCAAGGCATTCTTGTCTCTCACGAGCACCCTCTCCGACATCCACGTCTTTGAATTGTCGCACGCCGTCACGCTATTTACAAGTTATCTTGTACGTATCGAGCTACCCTTTAAATATTTTTTGAACCGTTTAAGATCGGTTTAAAAGGGCGTTCGTTAAGCTTGAGTTATCTCAAGCAGACTTTGCGATTTTCCTCATGCCATGGAGATGGTCACATTGATCCCCAGGTTGCCATTGTCGGCGAAGAGCTGAGCGATCGTCGTGTCGAACACTAGACAATCCGAGTTCAGGATAGCTGATGAGACGCCTTCGTGTATGGAACGTGGCATCGCCTCCCACGTTAAACGTCTTCTGTGTCCGTTCAATTCCAATCTGGAGTAAGGTCGTTAGATAGAGAAGAGATATATGCAATGGATACAAGAGTCATTGTGGGATATTTTGTGGGATTGGTAATTTTCTAGTACTTTTTGTTATTGTTAAAATTGATGCTTCTCTATTTTTACCTGTATGCAAAGTTTTCCGCTTGTTTTCTGGAACCAATTAGTTGCACGATTGCGAAGAATTGTTGATGACCATCGTATTTCTCTTGTTTTTCAAGGACCAACATGAAATGATGACCAAAGCATGACTGCATCATTACCCAATCGACAGCGCCGGGCAGATTAATGTCAGTTGCCAAAAATACAATGTCTTCACCTATAACAGCATGAGAAAAGTAAAGTCTTTACTCCCAATAGAGAATTAACTTAATAATGAGACTCTGAATCTCTTCGCTGAGCATACCTTGAAGAGTGGTGATACTCTTGTGACTCATAACGAGGTGTGGCATTACTTGTTCGAGGGATCCTTGCCATTTACAAGATGCTCCAGGGCATGGACAGCTGTACGGACGGAATTCGCAGGCATCTTCGTGATCTGGTTTCTCGGTATGGACCAAAGACACTGTGCACCCACTGGTAGAATACTTACATGGGAACATTACATTACTCGCTACCTTTTCCATTGCCAGATTACGAATGTTACCTGTTTATTTTTATAATAAATTATATATTATTCGTGTAATATAATGTTTATAAGTATTTAGTGTTATTAAAGCTTTACCTAAGGGTCCACGGCAAGTTGGACAACAGGTGAGCTTTGGTCGGCAATTACTGCAGACGAGATGTCCACTTTGACACTGGAGGATAGGTGGGAGTACGTAATCAAAACAAACTGGACACTCAAAAAGACTGGCTAAGTCGGTCGAGGAACTTAATGCTGACACGGTTGATGCCGACGTGCTTGCAACGCTCCGCCCGCGCTTCCCTATACTCATGGTTAACTGGGACATGGTTTTAGCAAATGTATACACCAATGTCAAATGCGTCAGTAATATAAAAACAAACTTTGGTCTGGAAACCTAGTTGAAACTACGACAAGTCTAATTGAAATTGTACAAATCGAGGAGACATCCAGTTCACATCTGTAATAAAACAAAGATATTAACATAATTGCAGAGTGTAAATCAGTCATGTCAAGAAACACAAATTAAGCAAGTATACACATTGAAACTATATAGTATGTAAATATGCATTACCCTATAACAAAAATGAACCCTTAACATGATTGCATGATTAAGAAACCACGTATATAACTGAATATTGCAATTATAGAATAGATAGTTAAAGGGCTGTCATTAAAAAAGTAAATGAGCTCAATCAAATAAATTTTACTATAAAGATTCCACATAAGAAAATGTTATTGACGTTGAAAGATAGTACAGCATTCTTTTTCATTGACTGTATGATATATAAGTTACGGTAGAATGAATAGAGAAATTTCAATGTTATAGCAACAATAAGTTGAAATAGTTGTGCGCCGAGCCCTACTCAAAAATTGAGTGATTATTCGCGCACAACTCAGGAAATGGAAGTTCAAAAAGGGACAAAGCTGCTGATTTGAATAAGAGTAAACTGATAGCAAAGAATCTCATGCAATCATAAGGGTGAAGTAAAAATACGGAGGATAACTTCATAATAAATATTAATATGACTTACCCGAAGAAAAAGGAGGCGAGCAAACGTGAGAATTGTTACGTGATCGAAAAAGGGAAAACGAAGGTGGGTAGAAGGCACTCCAAAGAAACGACGAGGATGATCGAAAGGGTTGCCACTGTTGTTGCAGTGGCGACGACGACCGCGGCGGCGACGGCGACGACGACGACGACGACGACGACGGCGACGGCGACGATGATGACTTCATGCGATCCTGTTCCAGGGCTCGTGTGTAAAACACGTTATTCAACGACTTTAAGTTCATCGATAAATAAATAAACAAAGACTTTGGAACGGCTACATCGCGGTTCCTCGCGATCGCGATCGCACCGTGATGCCCGTTAATGATCTTCTTGATGACGATAGAGACATAGCGTTTTCCTTTTAGCCTATTCAGTTCCCATCTGCACTCGTCAACGCCAAGCAAAACAGTACGACGACGACAGTGCAGCCATCAGCCATGATGTAAGAATCCAGTGAACACCAGGCGCTCACATCATGTACGGAGATATCAGGGCTGTGTTCCAAAATTCAATTCGGTTACACTCTAACGTCGTTTTATCTTCGTTCAATGCTGTGATACCAAGAAAGACAGAAATATATATGATTCCATTGAAGAGAGGTTTTGGAACATAGGGATATTTCTCAACGCGAATAAAACTTTCCTACCATAAGCATCTGGTAGCCCGCTAAATTTGAAACACGAAAATAAAACTATTACTTCGAAAGTCACAAATAATGTCGCTTGCACAAATAACGGAACTAATAGATACTTTGAACTCGTAATGGTACTAGAGTGTAATATTAATTTGTATTTTTTGTATAAAGATTATCTGAAGACTTCAAATAGTACGGATCAGTATTCAGAATAAGATTGTTTATAATTGATAATATATTATTTTATATTCTCCTGTACGGTTCATTATCAAATCTCAAGCAATTGCGAACATTTCCAAGCATATAACATGAACTTTTAATCAGCAGTTATGACCTCATCGCTTTCGCAGCATTTTTCCAAGGAAAATGCCGTTTCGACATTATTCGCCAAGCTTTATATAGTACGTATAAAAAAAATGTCAATCACTGCAGAATTTTATACAAGCAGCTGTGTAACGCGCAGAGACTTTCACTATGAATTAGTAAAATGTGGTTATACGGTTTTAGCTATTATGAGAAATTGCCGTTACCCAACAGTATCGGAAACGATAGAAATAAATGTAAAAAGTAAATTAGATAATTACTTTTATAATTAACAAGAGAATACTCTTAATTGTATAAAATCACTGAACAATAACCGCAGTCCACGATACAAATTATTTCGAAAGCTTAACAATTGAGGTGAGAATTAAAACAGATAACGAAGAATCAAAGGCGACTTCAGATAATGGGCATTTTATTTTTTGTTATAATTAAAATATACACTGTGTCATGGGTGAAACAACCGAATAGTAATTAATAGTAACAAAATATTCGTATTATCTTCTTTAATTCCACACATCGTTTTTACTTCCTCTCATATTTGTCTCGCACGCAGCAAAAATTCGGTATACATAGTATACATGTTGAATTTCAAAAGCACGGTTAGCTTGGCTTAAAATCTCAAAAAGTAAGGAATCATACAATAATCGCACATTCGCCACGTCGTTAATCATTTCGTTACGTTTAAGCCAAACTGTTAATACTTTTGTAGTATCTGAAACAAATCTTGTAAGTTTTAAAGCTCGATCAGCCTTACAAACGATATAATTTCGTTATTTCCTAAATGTAGTTTACCACGATAATTTTCATATTTATAAAGACGGTCTACAAAGTATCGACATTTTTCAATCATTTTTTTCTCACTTCCCTTCACTTTGTTCGCCAAAATTTAGTCTGCAGTCAGAATTGCGATCGCAAGTTTCCCAAGTTATCAAAAATCTGCTACGGCTTGTATATACATAAATATCCATAGACATTTACATATATATTTTATCGTGTCAATTAATGCGCTACATCTGTTTACAGTCTTCTCACGATATGAGGAACAGTCTTCGCGTATTGAACGGGACTTGTTAATCAATACAAAATGCGATGGAAGCCTTACGACAGTCACGAAATAATATCCAACCGTCGCGACGCGTCGCTGCCCTAAAGAAAATGTGCGATATCTCATACATCTTCGTCTTGCACTTAAGGCGACGTTATTACGCTCGTTGCCGCGAGGTTCCAGTACGGCAACAATTCATTACTTTTGCGTGAAAAGTCCAGCTTTCTTCCGAAATAATTTACCACCACTCGCAAATTTCTTCGGTACCCAGGTACATTCATATTTTAATTATATTTTCGTATTTTCTTCTTTTTTGATATATAATTTTTTTTCTTTCCTTTCTAAGGGGTTAAACGTTATGGGCTTATACGCGCGCTTGTATAGACCCACGCACACACGCATGAAAAAGACATGTGTATACATACATATATACATACGCACGTTCATTTTTTTTTTACATACCACTAGGGTAAACGGAAACCGGTGTGTACATGCGCTTCCGCATTTGCATCAGGATCGTATCTCATATAATTCCTTACAAGTTACAAATTCTTAGTTTTAGATTAAACAATTACGTGAGAATAGATAATGCATTTTGGTTATGATTTTATAAGGAGAAAATATTGTTTCGTTCATTGTAGCGTGATAACTGCTCAGCCTCCAAGAAACATTATACGCTACGATTCCGTCTTTCGGTACTGATGATATTTAACCAACTTAAAATGCGTATCGGCTGAAAAACTTAAACGTTACATTATTATATATCCATTGATCGTCGAGTCGCGGAGAAACAGAGAGGCGATAATATAATAACGAATACTAATACAACTTAGAATCCTAAAGAAAATCATTAGAGTATTAAATAATTAGGGCGTACGAGTTAGTGATTATGAGCTATCGAAAGAAAGAAAAAAAAAAGAGAGAAACAAAAAGGGCCAAAATTGAATCGTTATGTTCATTGTTAATCGGCGCGCGCTTGTAAAATATGCCCGTGCCACTTTTCATTAGGATTTTTAATTGTCGCTACGCGATCAATCTCTTCCAGGCCACATGCATCTTAAACAGGCTGTACAAATTTCATGTTTCGAGTCTTTGCCATTGCGAGAAAACGCACTGGAACTTTGATTCTCGATAGCATCTCGCACAGTAGGAGGTACGACGCGCGACGTTACTCTTTTACGTAACTTCTTAATACAATCAGACTCACTTTGAACCCCTGATGAATTTATATTTCCGTCCAGAAACGTACGTGACGTTTAAGCGGATAGTGTTAACGTTTTTTTTTAAAGACGTACGTAGCACCGAATTTGAGGTCTCGTTAAAGACTGTTAAGTATATACACGTATATGTATATACTTGTGTTAAGAATTGTAAACACTTTGTTCAGCGACACTCCAAATTCGGCTCTGCATTAGCAACGTCGCCCGCTTTACCACCTGCTGCGCTCTTGATTTATCACCCGATCCGTAATACACATAGGATTTTCATGCATTGCGATTAGTAAGGTTGATGTCTTTGAAATTGACGAGGACCCTGACCATTTCCTCGAGGTTTACCCTGCTGCGCGTAACCCATATTTTCATAGCCTTCACAGCTCGTGTAGTCGTAGTTGGCGTATACGTCGTCATAGCCTCCCTGGTAACCATTACCATACTCAGGAATGTAGCCATACCCTCCACCATAGCCATAACCATAACCTGCTCCCCAGAATCCTTGGCGGTTTGGGTCAGGGTTTACTTTAACCCTTTTGACATCTACTTCTTTCCCATTTATCACTTGCTTCGGAGACTGAAGTAACTTGTAGACTACATCCCTCGAGTCGAATGTCACAAAGCAAAAGCCTTTGCGCTGGTTCTTCAATTTGTCAAATGGTGCTTGTAACTCTACTATTGTTCCATACTGACCAAAGTATGACTTGATATCTTCATCTGTAATTTCAGGCGTCAAGCCACCAACAAATATCTTTCCATGTTGAGGCTTCTTACTGACACGCTTAGGATCAACCTGAAAAATGGTTTAAATATATATTATATTTTTATTATTCCTCTGAAATTTTTTGAAGAACAGTTAATCATTCAGACTTTCATTGTTGTTTAATTTAAGTGGTATTTCAGGGATACTTTCAACAATCAAAGGATAAACTTATACCTTACTGTATATGAATATAAATACAATAATATTAAGCACAATGTCTGTACAAATGTCACATGGCCATAGAACAAGCCTTATAAATCTACAAATACTTGTATGATATTATAGCTGGTTGAGTAGTAAATGTACAAAATATTGCCAATTTAAACAAAAGAAATAAGAAATACCCTGCTACGTCCTTAGGCGTATTATCAAATATACTTTATATTATAAGTTAATGTACTCCAATCAAACAAATGCCTGCAATTTGACATTGCCTATGAAAAGCCTATTGTTTGACTAACAACATGTCCCATATTCAAAGGATCCAAAATGAACTTGTAAAGGGAAATTTGTATAATATTGAGAAGAACAATGTAAAAAGTTATAGTATTATCTCTGAAAACATTTTACACTTAAGGAGCGCTATGCCTTTTACTCCAAATTTAAACAATATAATATTCTCTAAAACAAATATACCTTCTAACAAAGAACAGAAATAGTACTTGAGCAATGGAAAAATGCTAATTAATAGAATAAGCTAAATACATATACCAACTTTTTTGGGAGCATTATAAGCTAGAGTAAATCTAAGTGTAAAATATGTAATAAAACCAGTATAATTAACTAACCTTCCGTTTGTTGATGTAGTGTTCGCCAGAAGCCAGCAGCTTGTCGATGGTTTTCGGATTGGCGAAGACCATGAAAGCAAAACCCCGCGGTACTCCCGTGTAGGGGTCAATTTTCACGGAGATGCTTTCAATTTCACCAAACTTTCCAAAATGCTCCCGTAGATCTTTGTCGGTAGTATTACGAGAGAGTCCACCGACAAAGAGTTTTCGTTCATCATCTTTGCCTGGGATTCCGGCGGTTGGTTGCTGTTGCTGCTGCTGCGGCTGTTGCTGCGACTGCGTTTGCTGGCTAGCACCTTCGGGCTGGGTCTGATTTTGATAATATTCAACGGTCGCCATCCTCGTTGTTTCTTATATACGGAAGCACGTTACGTATTTTTGAAGACTGCACGAAGTTAGAGACTCGCTTATTCGGCAAACTGCGTACCAGAAACTCACCTCGTAGCAGTTGGCACGCTCTACGGACGGTTCTTTCGGTGAACCGGCGCCGGCTTGCGCCTGAGAGAGACAGTAATGTGTTCCAATCCCCCTTTGCCGTTCTAGCACTCGTGATTGGCTAATTCCTCTGATGCCAATCCACATCGTCCAGTCTAATCATCAAATACAATGGAAACTCCCGGAAATTCCAAACACACTGTCAAAGCTTCCGTTAGTCGTGTCACGTCTATCTCTAGATGAATCTTCTTAATTTTTGGATTCGTAGAACACTTCTTATGCAGCTCCATTTCTAAAATTCATAAAGTTATTTTCCAATAATTTAATTAATCGTGCACATTCAAATTTATGACTTTAAGTATTAAGTAAAGCAGTTGTTTTCGTAGGAATTCTTCACGCAGGTATTTGGCAAAAATATTTCACCCAACGATGATGTCTTGCCATTCAGTTTCTTTTGTTTCTCAGTACTTTACTCCAAAATGAAATACGTACTTATATCGAAGTATGCGGTCTCCATGGCAGTGTCATTCGCTCTTTCCGCTGGAGAATTAATACAGGCCAATAGGAAACTCTAGTATATAATTGAATGGCCCGGAAACGTTAACCTTACTGCTACTCTGCAGGAACGCATGGAATATTTTTGGGCATTGAAAGAATTTTGAACATGTTGTACTTCTATTATCCTTGTCATCGTATTATCTATTGCTCCAATAATACTTGATCATCTCTGTGATACAATATAATCCATGCAATGCCACTCGATGCCAGATATTCTCATTACAAATAATGACTTCTCCTATTTCATATTCCCGCCAAGAAGTCATTTTGCAATCTTTACCGCATTTTCACATGGTAACAGAAGCGATGTGGTTCTTTTTTTAAACGCTACTTATTTCCAATCTCTGCTCCAAAGTTAAAACTCATTTCTGTAGAATGAAGAAACTGAACGCACCTGAAAAAGAAACATAGAAAACAGATATAAATTACACTTTTAACGACTAGAATACAATTTTTATTGAAAATATTTAAAAAAAAATCATAAAATAATCAATGTTACAAGATTGGAGTATTATTATATAATTATATCGTATAATATAGAGTAAAAGGTATTCGTATATCCATCTGCATTGTGCAGTTCTTTTTAATTAATTTATATTTAAAAATGCACTATCTGATTCAAATATACGTACATTTATTTAAAGAGTAATTCATCGTTATCGATCGACTCAAAGCGCCATCACGTGGTTTCTATAGGCGGTAAAATTGATTTATTGCATGTATTCAAACGTTCAAGATGTGAGAAACTCGACAGTAGATACCTGCGAGGTGGAGAAGAGCATATAAATAAAACACAGTCACTCGGGAGACTCGGCTTATCTTTCCTCTGGCGCGCTGAGTTAAGAATAGATCCAAGTCCCACAAGCATATATCTGACCCATTAAAAATAGATAATTTTTTCATGACAACTAATCCCTGTATGGCGAAGCAGATTAAGCTAGAATAAAATCAAGGATGATCAAATGTTTAATTAAAAAGAACAAAAATATTTAATTAAATTATATATCTGTTGATTCGAGCAAGATTGTGTATTCCCGAGTATGCATATCTACAATGGGATTTCCCGAAATATGCACTTAGAATGTACACTTTTGCTGACTTTCAACGTGAAAATTCTGTTTTACCGTAACTTGAGTCGGTAGTTACTTGATGTAAACGTTGACCGAGGAATGGCGCCATTGGTCCTGAAACTGCTACGTCCCTAACCTACGATGCAATGCTACTACCGTGAAGAAACAACTTTTTGATGATTGAAATAGAATAATGATTTATGTAAAAACCTGTTTTACAAATCAATATGTATAATGAAACATCATTGATAGCGAACAAATTCAAACTAAAATAATTTAATTTACGAATCCGAAAATTCTCGATTAATGTATATTTTTTCATGGACTCACCGTGTTCTGTCACTTCTTCGTTATTCACCATGGATAATTTTGTTCATAGTTCCACAAGATTGATGTGCAATAAATGTCAAAACAACACATCACATTGCAACACTGAAATCATACTAGCATAAAGATCAAATGATTATCAAGTTCATCTCGAACAACTTGAAGAAAGAAAAGTCCTTTTGAAAGCTTAAAAAAAATTCATATCACACACGACGACAACTGGTAAACCCGTTTCCGGTCTTCGAATGGGGTTGCTGAAGGATATATGGAAGCGCTGTTAACTAGGTTGTTAGGTACGCAGATAGCTAGGTTGATAGGTACGCATTCAGGTGGGTATAGGTTGTGGGTAGATAGATTCTTGGGATGTGTGTGTAGCGTATACAAGGTGGGGGTGGGCGTCGGGACGCCAGGCGTCGCTGGCGTCGAACCGGCGAGAAATAGACTATAGCTTAACGTGTAAGACTACGGAGTAGACGGGAGCCGCGACCCGAGCCTATCCTAGGTCCGGCGACGTATAGCCTGGCTTGGCGGTGGACGTCGTGAACTCACAGTTAGAGTCAGAATTCACGGGCGTTCACGTCCTCGGGCAACATCTACTTGGAAATATATTATCGGGTCCAGCATCCACGAGAACTGGAGGGAGAGATTCGTAACAGGAGCATCGCGACGCAAGCGTGCAAATTGATTGCCGAGCCAACGCGGAACCAACCCTTGAAATAACCTAAAGCGGCAGCCGTGCCCTTACGCGCGACCCACCTCCAAGAGACACGACGAGGATCCTCGACCCTTCGATCCTCTGGCTCACGTATCGCAAGCCGCCCTCACTACGAACAACCCAGGGATACGATAAAAGAATATAAATAATCAAACGCGCCCAGATATCTATTTATAATTGTTCAGTGAATACGTGGCACGAGAGCGTGCCTTTTCACTCGTGGGATATTCGTCGGGTACCTGTGAATATAAAAACATAATAATTAAGGAAAGCCGCGAATGGACGACGAGCGTAGAATTTATTTTGTGATTCTGAAAGAGATCGTACGAGATTTTAAGATACGTTGCAGTGTGTGACCAAGTGCGATTCTCGGATATGACGAGCGGATACGCCCGGTTCACGTGATACCCTCCCTGTCGCCTCGAAGATGCGGTAAGTTCCTTATATTCCTAAAATTATGTTTTCTTTTTTATACGATGAGCTACCGCGTCTGTTATTTCCTTGAAACAAGGGGAAAAGCATCAGCGGCATTCACCCACTCTAGCCATTGTGTCGTATCGTTGCTCCGATGATTCTCGTCCTCTTGTCAAATTTCAATGATTCTCAGCATATTCGTGCTTTTGGGAAATATCTGAGAACTCTTCCATTATTCCCGACCTGTCCCACGGATCATTTACATCTTGGTAGAAATGTCAGCTTTCGTGGGAATAATTTGTGAGCGTCGTGACGAAAAGGAGCCAATGATATTTAGCGAGCGGCTTAGATATCTCAGGTTTCTTGAGGATTCCCAATAATCTGACGTTTACGTAGTAATGTTTTACTAGATAAAGTGAAGTGCGTGACAGTTGAGTAGATCGGAGAGGAAGAAATTTAATTCGAAATGGGAGAGATGGGGAGGTCAAAGACCAGCTTGAGGGAAAATTCATTAAGGCATCGATCAATTTAGAGAAGCTCCTTGACTCGCGTTCCATCAAATATCTTCTTTGATGTCAAGTGACGTACATCACTTGGAAAATAATAGGAAGTAAAGAGAATCAGGAGGAAAGTGAGTAGTAAGCGGCTTTCTGGCCTTCCGCTTCCGATAGCTTTTAAGTAGTGAACTATAGGCAGTTCCAAAATTATCGGGCTAGGAAACCCTAGCGGCTCAAAAATTCTCATGTAAATCGTGGACGAATGCCATTCCAGCGTGCCAAGTACTATGAGGTTTTGAATTCTCTCAAATGCTTAGCAGTCGAGTTCCTTCGAACCCAACGAGTACTATCCTCGACACACGTGTCCCGTTCCGGATGCGATCGTGTTTCTATATCCACAGGACTTTACAAAATTCTTTTATAGATTGTATGCGAATAAGTTTAATAGCCTCGCTTGATTGTTAAGTCACACAATATTTCTTTTCGATTCTATTGTGATTATTAGTTAGCTTTAAAACAACAAATTGGCAATCAAAGATTTGTTATTTTAACCACTGTTTTTATACATGCCTAAATTCTGATCGTGATCCTCAATATTCCATCTTGGTCTAACATGTCAAAATTATTATTATTTCTATGACGATTCATAAGACCATATATATTTTTCTCAGCCAGTTTCTACGAATCCTTCTAATTTTTATGATAATCAAGAGCCGTCCCATTTACTACTGACGACCTATTTATCTGGCTCTGAAGCGTCGTTTTCGTCAAATGCCAGTTAAAAAAAACGATGCTGTGTGGTTCAACTTGATCTCCTGAGCAACACTGCCAAAATAGTACCCCTTGGCTGTTACAATGTTGGTACATACGCTGCATAAAAATATGTAACTATCGGATCATGCTAGAATCATTTATCCTTTTATTTCATTTTTTTTTCTAAAAACTGTAAGCTGTCACAATGAAATGCATTTATTCTCAATCCATAATTCATCCCCCGATATCGGTCTTTAAACGAAATGTTTCTTTCCTCTCCCTCCGGATCAACTGTCTTCCTTAACATTTTGTGGGAGAAAAAAGTTTGCAAGCGAACTTAAAATGCGATAAGGACACGACAAGGCTCTTGGCGTCGGACAAACGTTATTTTGTATCACTGCTAGAGCCAGTGATACTCAAAGTCGTAACAAATCGTTAATCTACCTCACACACACGCCCAGTAGTACAGTCAGTACAGTCATTCGACGACGTGTCAGGATCGCTTGAAACGTGGGCGAAGCATCGTTTATTTTCATTTCCTCATTGGTTCCCATTTCGTACAGTCTACGTTGTGGATAATGCTTCAAGAGGAATCATCGTCCGCCATCTCTTTCTCTCTTCGCCCCTACAGTCTTTTACGAGAACAAAAGCATTCGCTAAGAAGTTGGCTTATAACCTAGAAACCTTTACCACAGATGGCGCACAACCTGAAGTTACTCCCGCTTGAGTTTGATCCTCTTGCACGTTGCACGAAGTTCGAAGCAGCAAAGTTTTCCCTTTGAAAGAGTAAGAATAGTGCCAACAGTATTATCGCCATTTCCGTCGCAACTAGCTGCAGTCTCCAGAGCAGATGCTTTTAAAGTGTACTGTAAGTGTTCGTAGTACGGATGTAAATTCTATGCTAGTCAAGCTCTAGTCTTTTTTTAGAACACGAGAGACAAACAGTTCGACCGAGCTGACGTTAGTCGCAAACGCACAAGTGAAGTAAGTGCGTGTACGCGTCGTTCGTGGCACTTTATTACCCACGTAACATATGGGGGTTTGTACGCCGACATTTTTATATCGAACGACAAAGATGATACAGTATAAAGTGAGTAAGAGGGTAGATAGCATCGTAAGAAAATTTTTCAGTTTCCCTCAGATAATATCAACGTCACGTTACATAAATTTCGTATAAAGATTTTCGCGGAGATGAGCTGAGTCTGGCGCCGTGCTTACCGAACCCATGAAATTATTACCAAATTTCTTCCATCGATAAATTTGTTACGTCTTGGAATTCTAAGCTGATACGAGTTGGCTTTGAAGGTTACAAGAGACATAGGCAAAAAGCTTTAAGCACCATCCAGAAATATCCACATTCATTTTATATGCGTATAAGCATTTGTGGAAGACATCTCGAGGTTTATGATGACTGGGTAGCTGAGGATTCGAAGCATTTTTGAAAATTTTCAAGCATATACAACACGTCTTCCGTCAGCTGCGATTCTTTAATTTTACTTATTTCTTTCTTTTCGATAACTCATTTTAGCTTTGTGGCGTCGAATTCAAATCGGCAATTACCCAATCTATATTTTAGATAGTCTAAGGCCTGATATTAGGTTCGATTGGTCTTACTTTTCGAGAGTCAATTTCAAAGTGATGTTTTGAACCATGGATTAGTCGAAGTCCACTCGTCGTCCAAATAAAGCAAAACTATTTGTGATATTTTTAGTTCTTCAACTCTGCTTCAAACACATCGGTATGAACTCATGTCGATCTAACATTCGTTTGAGACAGTATCTTTCGTTTTCTGCTATTTTTTTTCTTTTTACTTTTCTTAACCCTCTGTTTTCTCTCTCTGTCTCTCGTTTTATACGTTTTTCGTTCGCGACAGCGATTTATCGACAAGGACCAACAGCGGTTCTCAGTTCATAGTTTATCTCTTGATCTCTAACGCATTTAAGAGAACTATGCTCTTTCACCGTCGGCATCTATTCCTTTTATTGATTCACGAGGAACTGGTATAAACAGCTCGAATGTATCCGAAGTAGCCTTATGTCTGCAAACCTATATTAAATCGTTATACTGGCAAGTCGTGTGGTTACGCGGAGACAATAAAAACAAGTCTACCATACAAGCGCCACAGTATGTATTTAATAGGAAACAAAAATATTGATCCTAGGTAATGCTGTAGCAGCCACAAAACAGCGGAACATATACGTATATGGGCGCCCGAAGAGTCTTACTAAATATTCAATACTGCTAACATACTGTAAGGTTAAAATTAAAAAAAAAAACGAGAGATGCGATAACAAAAAATTGTATAATATTTTTACAAGTAATTTTGATGTACATCAGACGCAGCAATGTATCTATTAATAAAACGCAAAGTACAAGGAAGCAATTAATAAGCTACCAAGTAGGTGGGGAAATGACTGAAATAATATTTGATCAAAGAAAGTGCAGAAAGAATGGACAGATAAGGGTGGCAATCAGAAAAGCGGGTCAATGGACACGGATTGTAATAAAGAAAAAGGAAATGGGAAGACAGTAACGATGGTGCCGACGATGGCGATCCTGACCATAATGTCTTTGTGTTCCTTTAGAGGAAGAAAGAGAAGCTAGAGAAATATTATTATACGCCCAGGCACAAAGAAATGCACAGTCTGATCCAGTCATAACAAACGATCCTTATCGCGATTCTTGTGTCGCATCGTTGCACAGGAATTTGGAAGCCAAACATTCAGGGCTTCCAAGCCCCTGGTTGCCCCACGGACGTTGGGTCGATATTTTAAAAAAGCGTTATGCCCTTTTACATTCAATAAATATGCCATTTCTCAAATCAATGCGTATCAACAGTAACCGGGAATTTCGATTGGCCTTTTACGAATCCCCAATTGTACACGGTTAAGTATGATACATATATCAGGTCTGTCTGATTGTTAACGACGTACATGTGCTACGAGATCGTAATAAAATCCTAGCAGATGAATTCAATGAAATATTGAAATTTCATTCTCCAAAGTCTCCTTGTGTACTTAATCGTTCACCGTGAAAATAATAAAGCTCAAAGGCCTATTCAATAGCGGTTTACTCACTCCAGTTTGAAACGTCATGACATCAGAATTATGCTTTTTGTTGCCTTTCTCCGATTTATATCTGTATACACGTAGTAAGTAGTTTCCTCAAAGATCCTCCTCTAAATTGAATATTACAGTCGAGAAGGAATTATGCACGTACCAGAGAGAAAAACAGAAAGAACTCGAGAAATTATTACTTGAATTATTTCTCGTTCGTATTTAAATGCTCTTGGGGACGTATAAAAAAATAATGTCCACGATTCTTAATAATTCCGAGTTGTGTACGCCTCTGGAATTTAATCAAAATGACGCCGGGCATCAGACGCCGCCTACGTGATATAAGGACTTGCAACGTGAGTCAAAAACTCGAAGTCTTTTATTAAATAAAAAATTTTATGCTGCAAGGCTTGAAAAATATTATGATTATTCACTTCTTATTATTTCGTCTACACTTGTAATTGGTTGTAACGGGTCTTCAAAAAATATTTTCGGGATGTCTATGATGTCTATCCCGAAGGAGAGGCCCTGGCCAGTGGACGTACTTAGCGTGTGGACTCTGACTAAATATAACTCCTTAGCACCAGTCACTACCGTGCTGTGTCTTTATAGTTGGAACGGTCCTCGAATTGTCACAGCCAATGATCGCAAACTAAATTAACTTTCGGTGAGTTTAACGACTGCGTGGTGTCGTTCTTCTTCTGTATAGTAGCTCGCTTACCTTTTGCGTCGACCTAACCTAACTTAACTAGTTCTGATATAACGAATTTTACCTGTCTCGTTCACTGGGCCACGCCGAAACACGATCCATTTCTCGTCTCCTCGTATTCATCTACAACTGAACGCCATCTCGTAGACGGATCGGAAGGCCACGAGGGTATCACGCGACTTATTGAAAATGCCAAGAGAGTTTGTGTGATATTGGAACTTCTAGATTGAGTAGTCATATATAAAATAATTGTATAAAATAATCTATCTATGAGTGAGTTACGTGCTGTCATTTTATTTCTATATTCCAATTTCCGTAGGTTATCTGATACGTCGTGAAATGCATTTTATAGGTTATGTTTGGTTAGCATGCTAGATAGTTGGACAATGGGATTGGAAGGTGTCAGAGAGACTTTAGAATTGAAAAAAATAATTCAAGGAAAATGATGGTAAGAAAGTATACCGTACTTTGTGCTATTATTTTTATTCATTCTCAAGCATTCTAGCTTTGGAGTTATTCGATTTTCAAAGGACGCTCATAAAGGTGAACAGTCGTGACGGGATTTTTTGTGTTCTCCAGTCTAGTCTCCCGGCGCCCTACACTGAAGTGTACGTAATAGATTTTAGACTGCAAAGGACAACATAACCTCGAAACTGTACGTCAGGATATTCGCCAAGGTATTGATTTCGTTCCTAGAATAACACTTTTATCTAAACAAGTAGACATAGCCGCAAAGCTACGGAGGGAGAACTGAAATCCGATTTTCTGTAATGAAGTCAAGATATCGCAGTGTCAGCCGATCTTAATGCTCTTCTCACTGGTAAAGTTTGCTTTAGGCCCGTTCATCCTATTTGATATTACGTTAATCAATTCCCGATAAGTGAGGATTTCTGCCGCTAGATGGAGAGGACAAAAAGAATAAGCGCCGTATACATAAATCCTTTCACTCTGATACGTGGGAAATTGCAAGACTTGTACTAAGAGCCAAATGGAAAGCCATTGGAAAATAAAGAAGATCAGGGCGCCAGGTTGCCAGACTGGCATCGTATACTTCTTTGACGATAAGTGTCCTACATTTTTGCCAAGTTCACGCAGCCACACGCTCAAAAGCGTTCGCCTGCAGGGAGAGCTTCGCTAGTATTTAGGCCCACTAAATATAGCAGACCTCCACTTTAAATCCCAGGCCGCCAGCCCAAACGAAACCATCGAGCTACTACTCTTGTTTCTGGATCTACTATCCTTGAGGAGTAACCTTCTGACCTTATATCCTTAACGTCCTCAGCTTTTGCTCTCATGTTCGTACAGTTGAGTAACAGTCAATTATCTTCCCTTAACGTCAATTCGTCAACCATCACATGTTTTGTATATGGTCCCACGTGGTTCGCTGCTCTGAAGTTTTCGCTGTTGTGAAAACTTGAGATTCCTTATGATCCGTTAAATTTCAAGTGAATCTAGCGAATGATATCCACCGCTATCTTTGAATTTCCTTTAAACTTGTAAACTCCGAAACTGATACCCAATTACGAGTCTGAAATTTTTTATGTCGTTTTTATGCTCTTACTAATCTACCTCTCCTAATGGCTAAGGTATACAGATATACAGGTGTATACCTTTATACGTCCTATAGGTAGAGTGTTAATTATGAACTTCAATTTTATTGTAATCAACAAGGAGATGACCCCTTACAATAGGTCAATATTGCACTTAGACTATGCCATCGTGGAATTAATCAATTTTAATTCCTCTCTGCTCTACTTTACATTACACGTATATGTATTATACGTAATTACTACTTCTAACAATTTTCAATACTCTTTTGACACGATATCTATACTATTCATTAAATAAAAGATAGTAGCCATACCAAATATCGATTAACTTTTTCAAGTATTACTCCTCTATACCAACATTCAGATTGCAACAAAGGTAATGAATCATTTTAATCTCTCGTAGCTACATCAGTATAATTATCAGCATATTACGTTATCGCTATCATAGTAATTATTTAATATCATATGACATCGTTCGATCATAGTTCAATAAAAAATTATAGAAAATATCACAAGAAATATTTGTATTATCGATAATTAATAGTTTCTTAGTCATAGATATATATCTGTAGATACAGAAGGCGATGCCCTCGGTTAGCACATGTGCGAATAGTGACCACGCGAATCTTGCGTACTAACAAGGTCTGACCTCGCACTCAACTTGTTCCACTGACCGAAGTAGATATATAGGTATGTGCAGTCATTAGCCAGACTTGGGTGACTTTTGGAACGTTACTATATAGTTATCGATTGTCGGGCATCGACATGATAAAAGTTTAACACGACAATATGTCCAGAGGTTACAAAGGATACGAGCTGCGGAAACCTTTGTCCTGTAAAGTGACAGCTTTACATTTTTGTTTATAAGTAATCGGATGCGCCACTGTAAAGTCCTGTTCTTTGAGTTTCAAAAATTTCATAAGGAACGTTGTTCAAGTTCCTTTGGATTTTCTTAATGAATAAATTTACCGAAAGCTGTTTATGAACTTCATTAGGCTTGTGGTAACTTTCGTACAGTACTTCCTCCATGTCAAAATTGTTATTCGTTCATTCGACTTGTAAGCTTCGAGGATAATGAATAATCCTGGAGAGTAGCAAGCATCTGTAATTTATTATTTGAATATATATAAGTTTATTGTTGTATTATCGAAGAAAAGTTTCAGAGCGATACAGTGTGTTAGCTGAAGAAGAAAGTGATGGTAACATGAACAGTAGAACACTGAATATTTATATATTAATCGAAGTTAGGAGTTTCTTCGAAAATAGATTCATGCCTGACACTAATTTTCGATGAATTTTAATGGCCGCTTAGTCATTTATACGCAGTTTGATAGTAGCTGTAAAGAATGAATTAAGACCTAATGGAAAGTATGACATTTTTTCTATATATATATGTCACAGGGCACAGACGAAAAGAACAGACGAACCATAGCATGCCAGCCATTTGCAGCAGCCGCGCCATTTCGTTCCTGCGTCGATTTCCAAATAAACGGCATCCAAGAAGTCGAAAGCGCTTGAGAAGGACACAGCTTGACACTAGTGACCGATGAGCACGGGGGATGGCGGCACGGTGTTGGGCCCCACGGGCGGGGCCCAGCCCACGGCCGCGACCCCCTCTACCATCCAGGAGGAGAGCCAGGCGCCGAGTCAGGTCCAGACCCAGGGGGGTCAGCCAGCCGGCGGGCAACAATCTGGCCCAACCGCTGGAGGTACCGGAGGGACGTCCTCGGCTGCAGCGAAAGCTGCTGCCCCAAAGCGTCCAGCACGACGTGGTGGTAAACCACCACCGGACAGACCCATACGGGCCCTTTTTTGTCTCCCGTTAAAAAATCCGTTAAGAAAAATGTGCATTGACGTCGTCGAGTGGAAGTATCCTTTTCTCGTTTTATCAACCGTTAATGTGTTAACAGCCAATACTCTTTTTTTCCTAATAATTATTTTATTGATTTTGTAATCATTATTTTTCTTAACGATCATCTTTAACCGTACGACACAGACCCTTCGAATGGCTCATTCTCATGACGATATTCGCCAATTGCGTGGCTCTGGCCGTTTACACACCCTATCCAAACAGTGACTCCAATCAGACGAACGCCTATCTGGTAAGTAATAAGAAGTCGATTGTCTGGAGCCATAACGGCGGTTAGCTTTGGCTTGTTTTCTCAAAGCACATATCGACACGAGGTTATATTTTCACGCTCTCAGTCACCGAACGACCGGACTTACAGTTGGGACTGACGGATTCACCGGCTTCGATAGTTTGATATTGATTTTCAGTTAGAGGGGTTGGTGGACCGAAACTTACTAGAGCCGAAAGTTCAATAATTGTTCAATCTTCGTGGCAGCGACGTGCATCGCACCGCATCCTGTCGAGCGCTTGACGCACTCACGATCTACGCTCCACCGATCACGCTCGATCGTACCACTTCCATTTTCTCAGCCCTCACTTGCCCTATATATCCTACCACCCTGTATTATCCTTCATTCTATACTCTGTATATATGTATGTATACACTCTACAGTTTTATATGCTTCACTTACATTTCGTTTCCATGACGCCTCCACGTGTTATGGCTCGTGGCAACTGAGAAAATATAATGTCTATTTTATCGTTTAATATTCTTCCCCGAGAGCTTATGACTATTTTCGTGTTGCCATAATACTAATGTCGGCCAGAAAAAATGTGGCGTTCACCAACATCATTGCTTTTACAAATTCATCGACTTCGGTTCTCTCATTTTCTCGAGTACTGCCGACTCGCGTAGTCCAAGCGTTCGTTGGTGCTTCCAAATAGTGCGGGAAATTTGAATGCTGCAAAGATTCTCAGCACGATATTGCTTTACTCGGTAAACATATTTAGCAATGTCAATAATTTTTTTATTTTGATTTTGTTATTTCACCAAAGTATTATTGACTTTATTATACGTTTAAAGTCTTGTACATTCTGGATCGGTTGAATTTTCTATATTACTATTTACGTTAGTCGTACGTATCTTGCTCCTCTATAAATATCTTAATGCATTACCCCCTATCTTTAATCAAATAATCCATACGGCACTTGAGATGTGACTTCTTTATTTGGCAATCTCTGTCTGACGACTTCATAATTTTTGTACAAGGTTGATATTTACTGAGAAAGTAAATTTTCGAACGGATAGAAACGACAAATATTATCATACTATATGCTCCTGATATTTCATTACCTTATCCGAATCTTCGAGTTATGGAGTCTTAAAATATGCATGAATAGACATAAGACATTTTTCCCAGCATCTTGCTAAATAAACTCTGGTTTGACGATCGATGATATAGAAATAGTATATGACGCTCTCATTACTCTCATTGAGGTCGTGACCTAATTTTACGTATTATGTTAACGAAAAATATTTTATCAAATTATAAAGTTCTTTTTATTTTACGTCAGATAACTTTTATGAGACAGTCACGTTATTGTATTATCAGGTCGATTTTACCGTGTGTATTTTTCAAAGCCGCCATTATTTTCAAAGCCAAGATCGATTTAAGCTGTCGGATGAATTTCAAAATGGCATCCGTGATTGGTACATTTACATTTTAACTGGAGATTGAGAATACGGGAGTTTTAAATTTTCCAAAAGTCGTAATTCCCTTTAGGAATCTCAACACCTTTCATTCGGAAAATGATAATTTATCGATTTGATTAATTATATAATTCTACTTTCACTCGTTAAAACGAACTGATTCTCTTTCATCTTATCTGAGAGGTAAAAGTAAAGCAAGCCTAATACAATATTATATTCAGGATATAATAAAAAATTTGTTTTTAATAGTACATTTTCAAATTCAGTTTAAACGGAAGTAACAAAAAACGGGATACTCTCTTCACTATTCAACGTCCAGCTCTTCTTCTCTTGATCTTAAACTGATCCTGATCCTGACCCTCATTTTCTCGTCCTCCGATCCTCAGACTTTTATCATTCTTACAGCTCGGTCATAAAATGACAAAATCCCATGAAACGATTTTCTTGATGCTTTTCAAGCTCTTAGATCGTCCCGAATGACTCGAGTTTTTGCGTGAAAATTTCTAAAAGTCAATTTGCTCCATGAGGCTCTTTTGGATAACTGAGTTTGACAAAAGTTAGGCTGTTCAACTGTTCGTACGATATTTCCGCTCAATATGTTATTTGGGTTAGCTCGTCTTGCTCATTGACTCAATAAATCTTCCCCGTGGGAATACCTACAGATTTAACCCTTCGAGTTTACTAACACTCCATTTTGTTTTTCTTCACAGGAAAAGATCGAATACATCTTTTTGGTAATTTTCACTGTGGAGTGCGTCATGAAGATCATCGCCTATGGATTCGTGGCGCATCCTGGTGCTTATCTTAGAAACGGATGGAATTTACTTGATTTTACGATAGTCGTCATAGGGTAAGTATTTACTCAAAAAAAGAACGGGTTCTTGACTCTATTATTTATAAACTTTTCAATAATCATTTTGATTCTGCACAGAAGCATTATAAGCAAGTAAATTAAACAATTTATTAAGTAATCCAAGTTATAAATCGGATTTCATCGTATTCTTATGCATCGTTAATGCGTCTTACTGAATACTCAACGATTCGTAATGGAAAACATTCGTTAGATACTCGAGGGTCTTCTGGGTTAATCGATTTGGAATTCTTATTACACTTGTATAACCGTTATGTCTATATATATCCTTTCAAATACGTAGTTTCGTTTTAACGTGTACGCAGGATTGCACAGATTTATTAGAGATTTATTAGATTTATTAGAATATATGGTCCTTCTTTTTTGTTTTTCTTCCTACGGCAATTTCTATGCGAATTCATTGTACCGTATTTCATGAAAAAATTGTCTACCCGTCCACTTGACGTATGTCTGTATTTATTCTTCGTTTTTCCACCGTCCTTAACACTAAACATATCGACAATTTTTTATAAACGTATTTTTGGCTTTAAAAGGGTCAAACGACCCGTCGATGGTACGATCAGTGTTAAGTCGATCCTCTTGTTCGGGTTTTCATCTGAAAAGTAAACATCGTGTAACCTGTACGCTTTCATTTACAGAATGATCAGCACAATTTTAATGTGGCTTATGAAAGAGGGATTTGATGTAAAGGCTTTACGAGCTTTTCGAGTGCTTCGGCCTCTTAGGCTCGTATCCGGTGTTCCCAGTAAGTACTTTATTATTATTTATTTTGTATAAAATTCTTGTGGGATATCAGTATCTGTCTAAAGCACTGGCAAGTGATTTGAACTTAAAAAAAAAGGAAAACTTGGTCTCTCGCCATCCTAGAATTTAATTGACACCATTATTTTAGGTCTTCAAGTGGTGTTGAATTCGATTCTACGGGCGATGGTACCTTTACTTCACATTGCTCTGCTCGTACTTTTCGTCATCATCATCTATGCCATAATCGGACTTGAACTCTTTTCTGGAGAATTGCACAAAACCTGCTGGAACAATGTAACCGGTAAGATATTGCTATTTGATAATTAAATATCTTTGTCACTAAAGTCTCTTGCTGACGATATTTCGTATAACCCCGAAACACACTTGCCACATTATAGTTTTAGACATGATTCAGCTTTGAAACGTCTTATTATTCTTAGCACCAGCGTAGTGGACCGTGTGTCCCGTAAACAGCTGATTCATACCGGACACGCGGATTCCTTTTGCAAGTCCTTATGTGCGAATCATTTGAAGGGAATTTGAATTGTACAACTTCATGGTAAATACGTGTTTGTTACAGGCGATATGATGGACGATCCGCATCCCTGTGGTCCAGAGGGATTTCAATGTAACACCCTTGGTAATGAATTTATTTGTAGTGACAAATATTGGGAAGGTCCAAACTACGGTATAACAAATTTCGACAATTTTGGGCTCGCCATGCTTACTGTGTTTCAATGTGTCACTCTGGAGGGTTGGACCGACGTATTGTACGATGTAAGATAGAAACTTAGTTACTCTAGGAATAATAGAGGGTATCCTTAAGAGAACAATCATAAAAGTTTTCTTACATCTACAGATTCAGGATGCAATGGGAAATAGCTGGCAATGGATTTACTTTATCTCGATGGTTATCCTTGGTGCTTTCTTCGTTATGAACCTAATTCTTGGTGTGTTATCCGGGTAAGTTATCTCGATGTTTTGAAATTAACGAAGCTGAAGATATTCTTTTTCAATGTTTCCCCGTCAACAATAATGTTTCATACTTCATTTATCATTGTGATTTCACTTATCAGAGAGTTCTCCAAGGAAAGAGAGAAAGCTAAGGCTAGGGGTGACTTTCATAAGCTAAGAGAGAAACAGCAGATTGAGGATGATCTTCGAGGATATTTGGATTGGATAACTCAAGCGGAAGATATCGAGCCTGATGCTGATGAGCCTCAGCTTCAAGATGGTAAACGTAAGTACATTATATGTAAAGTAGCTCTTGGAATGTTTGAAGAGTGAAAGTTAGTTGAAATACTTGGTAATTATCGGTAATTATTATTTTAGAAAAGCAACAGAACGAAATGGAGAGCACGGATCAATTGGAGGGCGACGAGGAAGGTGTACAGCAGGAATCCATTTGGAAAAGGAAACGCCGGGATTTGGAAAGGTAAATAATATCAGTTATATTTAATTTATATACTTTTTTATTTTTTTAGTTGTTATCGGCAAAGGAAGAAAGTATTGAAAAACAGCCAAACGTTACTGATTTGCTTTAATTTTTAATTTAGGGCAAATCGGCGTATGCGCAGAGCGTGCAGAAAAGCCGTGAAGTCTCAAGTTTTCTACTGGCTTATCATTATCTTAGTCTTTTTGAATACTGGGGTTCTGGCAACGGAACATTATAAGCAACCAGAATGGTTGGACCAATTTCAAGGTATTGATTTCTTTCTGAAAACCACCAATAACATTGATTAACGAGACATTAATTGAATGACTTGATATTACAGAGGTAACAAATGTCTTCTTTATCGCACTCTTTACGATGGAGATGATGCTGAAGATGTACAGTTTAGGTTTTCAGGTGAGTCATAATAATTTTTAATCTAAATGCAAGATTCTTTAATACGTTGAGTCATTTTTTTTTTATACAAACTTTATGTAAAACTCGATATATTCATACTGCAACATCAATCAAAGATATCTCCATTCTTATTTAAACTGAATGAATTCTAAAGATATTTATTTTATTGGAGTCCAGGGTACCATTCTCTTTCTCATCTTGTGGAAAAGTTACAGATCAGTTTAAATCTGTGAGGGACAGATATTCAAAAATAGAAAAAGTCGATAAGAGGCATTCGCGAAATGGTAGACTATAAAAACTGATTCAGGTTGGAAAGATAAAATGTTAAGGCTATTCATAGAAAGTAAACCCATTGGTTGACATTTTCAGTGAATTAAACGAGAGTTCTTTAGAGTCTCCAGAAATATTCGGGTCTTTAGGCTTTGACATTTGAGCCATTTCCACTGTTCCTAAGGAGTTCAGTGAATGCATCATTTGTCCCTTGGTCAAGTTCAGTGGCTCGTAATAATGAGCCTAACGTCTTTTTTTAGGGCTACTTTGTGTCACTGTTCAACCGTTTCGATTGTTTTGTTGTCATCGGATCGATCACCGAAATGATCCTGACGAATACGGACGTGATGCCGCCGCTCGGGGTTTCCGTGCTCCGTTGCGTCCGATTGCTCAGAGTCTTCAAGGTTACCAAGTAAGTTTCTCCTTCATCTTTGTAAGTATAATCAATATTTTAAATATATAAATATTTATGCATATGCATACTTATGTATACATTTCTCTGTTATTAGATATTGGAGATCATTATCAAATCTTGTGGCTTCACTCTTAAATTCCATCCAATCTATTGCCTCTTTGCTTCTTCTGCTTTTCCTCTTCATCGTCATCTTTGCTTTACTGGGAATGCAGGTAGGTTTATGGATCTATAAGATTGATCGATCGGCAGGTCTCTGCTCTGATTTCGTTGGGTTCATTATTCATGATGCATTATCCTTGTAGGTATTTGGTGGCAAATTCAACTTCGATGAGTTTCAAGATAAATATAGGAGCAACTTTGACAGCTTCTGGCAAAGTTTACTCACCGTGTTTCAAGTAAGCCTTAAGATCTTTGCTGGCCATCAGCTCGAGTGATCTAAGCTGATTAATTAATCGTGTTACTAGTACCTAAATATATTTTAGTACCTAATAAAATATGTAGTATCCAAATATGTACAAAGTATGAATCAAGGTAATATTGATTGAATATAGATATTAACGGGTGAAGATTGGAACGCCGTAATGTACGTGGGAATTCGTGCCTACGGTGGAGTTTCCAGTCTAGGAGTTCTTGCCTGTGTTTACTTCATCATTCTCTTCATTTGTGGTAATTGTATCCTTTTGATAAACTTTTGAGAATATTTGACTATGGCGATTTACCGTAAAAGACACTTGGTACTATTTTTGTTATCAACAATAATTGCGATATGCTCCTTAATCGATATAATAGACATCCTACTAAACGTCTTCTTGGCTATCGCCGTCGACAACTTGGCCGATGCTGAATCTTTGACTGCTATTGAAAAAGAGGCCGAAGAAGAGGCAAGACTTCAGAATTTTAATTAGGCTTTAATAAAATAGCAAAAGGTAGAATAAAAAGATGAAAGTATTCCACTTTTTTAGGCCGAGAAGAATAAATCGCACAGTGGTTCACCAGCTCGCGATGAAGTGAGTGGTGAGGGTTTAGACGATGGAGGCGAAGGAACTGGTGGCGAAGACGAAGAAGGTGGCACTGACCTGGAGCAGGATCCTAATGAGACAATGGAAGATTACGAGGCTGCTCTGGATACGGAAACGTAAGTGCAATAAAAAAAGGGAATAGGTTAGGTTCGCTTTTTTCATGGAATCTGTTCTTTAGGTCTGAGAAAGGTGAAGATGCCAACAGCCACACTAAAGTAAGACTGAACCTGGAGTCCGACGATGAGGATCTCGAGGCAGAAGAAGAGGAAGATGAGCACACAGAGATACACGGTACACCTCGAATACATTTTTTAAATACAATTTTAAAAATCAAATTCTTATTTTGTGCTATCTGTATGAAAAAAAAAATTTGACCTTCACATATATTAGAGGATGGCTTGGGTGAGGAAGTGTCTGCAAGACCAAGAAGAATGTCGGAATTTAATATGGCTACGAAGAAGCAACCGATTCCTGCTGGATCTTCTTTTTTTATTTTCTCTCAAACGAACAGGTATGAAAGTAGTGTTTCTCTATCTTTAAATTTGTATCAATTAAAACACAGCTGATATATTAATTTAATAATTTAAACCAGACATTGTAATAATTATCATTCAATTATTTGACTTTCAGATTTCGTGTTTTCTGTCATTGGCTGTGCAACCACAGTTACTTTAGTAATATCATTCTCGCATGCATCATGATCTCCTCGGCTATGCTTGCTGCTGAAGATCCATTAGATGCTTCTTCATACAGAAATCAGGTAAGAACAAAGACATTACTACTATAAGGAATAAAGACATTATGTTCTACTGATTTTTAAATTCCTTCAGATCCTCAACTACTTCGATTACTTTTTCACAACCGTATTCACCGTCGAAATCTGTCTAAAAATGATCTCCTATGGTTGTATCATTCACGACGGAGCATTTTTACGTTCAGCCTTCAATGTACTGGATTTATTAGTCGTTTGCGTGTCCCTGGTCTCCATGTTTTTCAGGTAAAATCAATTTCTCTAAAAAACAGAAATAGTGATCGATTAAAACGAATATACGTTACTCGCTTAACAAGGCTGTGCCTTAAAGAAATTCTATTAAAATCATTTAACATTTTCAGTTCCGGTGCCATTTCCGTGGTAAAGATCCTTCGAGTTCTTCGAGTACTGAGACCACTTCGTGCTATCAATCGTGCCAAGGGTTTAAAGGTATTATGCACCACGTTACTCTATCACACAATTTTACCCATAACCGCGTCCATTCTGCGACCCCACAAGCCCTGTCGAGTCATATAGGTTTGAAAGTATTTTCACTATTTTAATAGAGACTTAGAAGCCATATACAGCAATCTATCCCAACCGGCTTTACTGCCGTAGTTCTCTTCCAGAAAATATCATGTGAAAGCGAACTGAAGTAATGGCCAATAATAATTCATAAAATCTAATGTTTTCCATACGAATCCTCTTATAAAAGTTAGTTCGCATTCCACGAAACGTTCAGTATGTGTCCCGGCAGTTATAAAAATATCGTTAAAACCCTCCCACCACGACCCCAACCCCAGTACCGGATATAGGAACTCTGCCAATAAAATCGACTCGTAAAGGTTCAGCAAGCTTAAGAAACTTATTATTCGAAAAATGACGATAATATAACAACGCCCAATTATCTATTGTTTGCCGAACCTTTGCGACCTGCAAAAGTAAAAAACAAGAGAAAGATACAAAAAGAAACAAACAGTTAAGGGGTGCAACTAAGCAGCTACGAGAGATGATATAAGAAGCTAGTGAGGAATTACAAAAAAAAAAAGAAAAGTTTAATAAGAGAGTACGAGTGGTTAAGAGAACCACGTGAATAATTTTGGAAATCCAGTAAAGAACAAATGTATAATTAATGTTGAAACCTAGCACGTAGTTCAGTGCGTCATCGTAGCGGTAAAGACTATCGGAAACATAGTCCTCGTCACCAGCCTCCTGCAGTTCGTGTTCGCTGTGATAGGCGTGCAGCTCTTCCAGGTAGGACGCCAAGCTGAGGGCCTGAATTCGTTCGACCTAGTCATTAGCTATTCTCTCCCACCTGGCGAATTCTTTCGTTGTTACCATTGAACGAGTATCCATTCATTCCTTCGTTCATTACAGCACCCTCTTCCTTCTCACCAACTTCCGGTATCATTGTACTGAGTCACTGCTGACATTCCTAAAAGCAATATCAACTCCATTCTTATCGACTCCGATCATCATTGTATCGTTCACGTCATGATCATCATTGCACCAGCATATACCTACCTACCTCGAAATACCTTGCTCGAGCTCGAGAGTCTTGACGACCTTTATTCGCTTTAATGTACACGGTGACTCCTCAATAATGGATAGAAAAATTGGAAGAATCGATTGTGTCAATTGGCTCGTTGCTAATAAAGGTCGCGAGGCTTGAGCACCAGGCGGCCGTTGTTTTTCCGACCGATGCACCTCTGGGTAGACCTGAAAGCTGTTTTGAGAGTAATTACGTTTCTTTGTCTCTGGCCTACAACCTTCGATCCGACACCTCTTCTCCGGAGCGTGCTCTCGTACATTTTCAGAGTGTTTCGCACTGCTTGTCGTTGACAGCAGCAGCTATGCCGCTTAAATTTTTCTGTACCCTGTAGTGTGACCCTGTCGGACACCATAGATAATTTTTAATCACCTTGTATATTATTTTAGCTTTCCACTTAGCTCCACTGTACTATAATCTTTTCTATTGCATATTCAACTTTTATTCTCGTTTACTCTACCTTATCACACTTTGCTCTACCCTTATTTCATTATGAACTTTTTATCTTGCTGGACTCTACCTCCCTTTTACTTCTTTTGGGGAAATGTTGAACAAGTGAAAAAGAACTAGTTCACGTATACGTACCCCTATTACTGGCACCTCATACACTGTTTTTACCTTAGCGTCACAATATTTTCTAAAGCACGTCGAGTACGCTCCTCTATTTTTTTTGTTTATAAATCTTATAAAACTTTCATCTCCATCATCCTCCAAAGTTCCTCCTTATAGCCGAGCCGTGTGTTCGACTGTCGAAGGTTTTAGAGTAAAGCCTACAAAAATGCATGCTTTGCCAAACTAGCTGTTGCGGTGGTGTGATGCTATTAACCCGTCAAAGGTTAAGTGTACGGTCAAACGAAGGAGTGAAACGAAATTCAAAAATAATCTTTTCGGTAGAAAGAAGGAGAGAATTCACAAGTGAGAGCACGAGTGCGAGAGTGATTGTACGTGGGTGAGCGAACGAGAGTGAGAAAGTGCGCAGTGAATGAGACAACTGAGAATATCGGAGAGAGAAAGCGAGGCATCACAAAGAAAATATAAACACGTGGAAAGGATCCGTGAGACATAAGCTGGACCATAATTGCTGCAAAATAAGCATACGGCAACGTCCTATCTCTCCACTCGTTCTCGTTGTCACAATAGGAGCGAGGAATAACAGTGAAATGCTCGACTAACCTCAAAACCTAAAACTGGTCGATCCGAGATGTCACTTTCAGTCATTGCGAGTCGACCAGCTCCTAACCAATTCAGTGTCAAGCCGTAACACATCTAACCATCTGATATCAACATTTTTTAATCATTCACTTTTAAAACATCGAACGTATAATACGTACCAGAAAAAACCGTTAATCATTCGTCAAGCTACGTATGCAGTAGACGCGCGTAGAATAGACGCCTCGTAAGCGCCGATCTCAATTATCATACTTTTATTCACCAATCAATATTAATGTCAATCGAACGAACGATTATTGATATCGGCGACTACGCAGGCATATATATATTTTACCATATGGATTTACTCGTCTTTAGCGCTTAGGAGATTAGCTCACGTCTGTAACACTCTAGACGGTGTTTTAGCTTGGGCCAATTAACCGTACGTTGAGAAGTCCATTTAGTCGGACGTGGTATCTCCTCGCAATTAGTTTCTATGTGTATCGATCGTTCTATTAACTTCGTGGTAGCAAGAAACACGTCGAAATAGTATAGCGGACGAGTCTCCGTTAGATTTAGTCTGATATAAAAGTCCGCACAGGATGATTTTAATTCATTTTTTTTATTACACGCCGAATGACCAACGCATTATTTAATTAAGATTATATGTATACGAAACTGTCATAGGCCCCTTTTCTTCAACGCGGTTCAATGCGTAAACTCCGTTTATCTTCGAAATACAAATGCGTGATTGACAGTTAAACCGAGTTTATGCATTGAACCGCGTCGAAGAAAACGGACGTTAATGTCGTAGCTTATTGTTATACCAAATATCTATATAATGTGCATACATATTTATATACACTCACAACGTATCACCTGATGTCACTTTACACTCCAAGGAGAGCCAATCTCCGCGGAATCTATTGCGAGCTTCTATATCAAAGGAAGAATAAAAGAAGAGAGTATACACGCGAGTGAGTTCGAGTACCCAGTGAGTTTGACAGAATTTTAACGTCACCGCCTAAGTTACCTTGACACATTTCATATTGTGTATACATTGTCTTTATGGCAGGTGATGTATGTACAAGAGAAAACGATATACATATATATATATAGTCAACAGTGTACGAGCTTATCGGGGCGAGAGTAACTTTCTCTTTCTCGGTTTAATCGGATTTACATCCTCCCCAACCCCCTTCTTCGTGTATCGTATACTAAACTATTAATAGAGTTAACTTCCACCTGAGCATTGTTTCGCGATAAACGGGCCACCGCGTATGTTAAACTTCCCAGGGGTTGCTCCGCCCTCGAGACTCCCTTCAAGATGACACAGTTAAGTTAAGGGAGGTCGACATATTTTCGAAAGATTCTCGCGATATTTACGAGTGCATTGGCGATGAGAAAGCACGAGCCGTGACCAGGACGAATCCGACGGAAGGGATTGGCTTTTTACTTAATTTGGAGGAAGAAAAAAATTAAATCCAAAGAAAATGGAGAATTCGATATGCAGCGTAGATCAGGATCTTCGAGTTGAAGGGACGAATTAATTTTTAATTAATTAAATTGATATAGTCGATTTACTTAATGTGTTAGGTAATGATATTGAGAATAATCGTAATCGTGTCCCCCCCTGACCCTTGAGTGCCCCCCCTGCCCCGCCCAATCACCCATTGCCCAATTACCAATCGAAGTCAAAAGAAATGAGCACCCTATTAATGCTACTCTGTTTTTTTCTCTCTCTTACCGTACCCGTGTTTCCCGCTGTGCTCGCTCGCCCTGCCTACCTGCCCTGACCTGAACTACGTAAAGTACGTAGTGAAATGTGTGATTGTCGCCATTAAAACGATCGGCAACATTATGTTGGTCACCTATCTCCTACAGTTCATGTTCGCTGTTATCGGGGTACAGCTGTTTAAGGTAAAAGACAAAAACTAAAGCCCGAAATCATGTTAAACGCATTTGTACCTGTAATACTATACCCTCATAATCGACCACGTGACCCACCTATAGATATATGTATGACGTAAATCAAAGTCTTCTCAAAATTGACAGACATTGCGCAATGATGATTAGTAGTCTGTGACTGTTCAATTCTTTTTCTTTATATTACTTCGTCTTTTTTTTTCATTTATGTCTTTTTTTCTTTTTTTTTTTTTTTAAGGAAACTTACATACTTTGGAAAGACTTTGACGAGCTTCTTATTCATGGCACTGTTGTCGCTACTAGTCACCACCTCTGAACCACTCCTGTAACCTGCATCCAGCCTTTATAATCTCTGATCTTCGACCTCTCAGACCAAGCACGATGTGACCTTCTAGTATTATCTACCTTGTGCTTCGAAATTCATGAAGTAATTGTACAAAGGAGATGCGAGAGATAAGAATGTTAAATCTTCGTATCTCTTATCCACTGGACCTTCTACTTATTAGAGTTTTCGCTCGTAGAACGACGTTAACGAGCATGCACTCTTTAATATTTGCTGTATATGTGAAAACAGGATGCTTTGCTAGTTGCTAGGTGCATGTTCCATATAGCTGTTAATACCGTACTCGTTTGTGTAAATTTGTAAGAAAAGAAAAAAAAAGAAAGCTATAGATTTGTCATTGCGTAGGAAATTTCGGTTCGAGCTTTAATTTGTTATCGTTATACCAGCTCGTGCCAAGGCAATGCATGGGGGTATATTGATATTTCATCAGCGGCTATGATCAAATACAAAGATCACAATCGAGAATGATAAATCATGCGATCACGTTGGCAGTTACTCAGAATCGGTTAAGTCGTTCGAAATCATCGAGTTTTTTCATGAAAGTAGCAAATATGTGTACATACACGTAGTGCGGGAAAAATAGCGAATTCGCGTGAGAGAACCCATAACGCCAAAATACGACGTCGCCGTTATCATTGTCAACGCCGCTTTGGGTTACTAGTGGGGACATCCATGTTTTTAGTTTTATTATTACTTTTTTTTTTCTCGCTAGCTTTGTCTTGCTTCACCTTACCTTAACTTGCTCTATTCACAACGAGGAATTCACGAGCGTCGAGCACGCAATGATGAATCGCGTTAAATGTATTATTAGATTTTTTTTTAAATTCCTCTGCAAAATCTTTCACCCTGATTTATCATTGACGTATACAGGGTGATACCGAATTACGGATCGGCTTCTTTGTCGTTCGATTCAATAATTCAATTAAACGAGCATGCATATATATATGATGATGATGATGATATATGTATGTACAAGTTTAGGGTGGAGAAATTTGCGATTTTATTCGCTAAACGGACGTACTTTCGAATTTATTATCAAACTTGTATTGATGCGCCTATGCTTTGTAATTTGCCAGCAATTATGGAGCATAGATCGTCGATCGTCGTCGTTGTTAATTAATAATAATAATAATAATAATCTTAATGCGATCGATCGAACGATCCTTGTCAGTACGCCGTGGGGGCTTGAAAGAAAATTTGTATTAAAAAAGTACAGTGAAATTTCTAATTTATTCATTGATTACAGAAAATTGTATTTTAATGCCACAAAGATGAAGGCAGTTTTTATATTTTAAATATAGAAGAATTAGGCAATTGCATTATTGGTCATTGTTATTAATTAATGAAATTTTCAATATTAAATGATTTAAGTAAATGTTGATTTGATACTTTAAATTTTATAAAATTTTCGTGTCTCCGTCGGTGAGTGCCGAGAATCGATCTATCGTGGACTGTATCGACATTGATTGAAAAAAAAAAAGAAGAAGAAAAACACAAAGGAACCTTCTCTTGGTACTTTTATATGGATTTCACGTTTCTTGGCAGATACAATGATTGACAAATGTCAATATGTTAGTTAATCGAAAGATTAATTACGGGTAACGCAGCATCTTGTCTTGTACCGTATTTGTATGCACGTCGGAAGGAATGTTTTTATTTTTGAATTTCGTTGAAATTATCTTTTCTTTGTCTCTACATCCGCTATTAATTAAGCCTTACAAGTATATCGATTAACACTTAATATTGACGCAAACCGAAGAAAAGAAAAGTTTTTTAAAAATCAAAGCACCATCGACTAATCGTCTTTCTGTATTTCACAGGGGAAATTTTTCAGATGTAACGATGGTTCCAAGATGACAGAAGCTCAGTGCCGGTAAGATAGTTCATAACACTTGGTCAAATCTGTTTCAAGATCAGGATGATAATATGTGATCAATGATTTCTTTCAGTGGCACTTTTCTGACATTCGAGGAAGGCAGTATCTCCAAGCCAGTATTGAAGGAAAGAGAATGGATACTGAATCGTTTCCATTTTGATAACGTCGCCAAAGCGATGCTCACCCTCTTCACAGTCTCCACATTTGAGGGTTGGCCTGGGTGAGTATACACACAAAAGAGATATCGGCAAAGAGGGCCTGTATATTTTGTGTCTGAAATAAATTTTATGCCACTTCAATCTCATACAAAATTTTTATACTGGCATAAGGCTGGCCCTTTTTACTAGTATCTTAGTGGTATACATACATTTTCACTTTTTATGTATTTTCATCACGACATCATTTAATCTATTTTATCTTCTAGTTTGCTCTATGTCTCGATCGACTCGAATGCCGAGGATTATGGTCCAATTCACAATTATCGACCGATTGTCGCCGCCTATTATATCATCTACATCATTATCATTGCCTTCTTCATGGTTAACATATTCGTCGGTTTCGTTATTGTCACCTTTCAAAATGAAGGAGAACAGGAGTATAAGAATTGCGAGTTGGACAAGAATCAGGTGAGTAAAAAGCGTATTATTGACGTATTCATTTAGTTGACCAAGATTAAATGAGAGTGGAGACGCTCTTGAAAAGATTAATGATAATTATACTGTTGCAGAGAAACTGCATAGAATTTGCATTGAAGGCCAAACCTGTACGTCGTTATATACCAAAGCATAGAATCCAGTACAAGGTCTGGTGGTTCGTCACTTCCCAGCCGTTTGAATACACGATCTTTACTTTGATCATGATAAACACTGTTACGCTCGCAATGACTTTTTATCAGCAGCCCAAATTTTATTCAGACGCATTAGACGTTCTTAATATGATATTTACTGCGGTGTTCGCACTCGAATTTGTCTTTAAATTGGCTGCCTTTAGATTCAAAGTGAGTATCCCTTTGTTAATCATTTCATCGATTATGCAATTAGGGTATCTTTCAGTTATTGTAATTGATGTCATTTTCATTTTAGAATTACTTTGGTGACGCTTGGAATGTTTTTGACTTCATTATCGTTCTGGGAAGTTTCATTGATATCGTATATTCGGAAGTCAATGTAAGTATATTAAACATTGGTTCTCCGTACGAGAGTTTCTTTCGATGATTGATAACGTTCCATTGACTTTTCAGCCTGGCTCGAATATCATCTCCATAAATTTTTTCCGTCTATTTCGCGTGATGCGATTAGTTAAGCTGCTCAGCAGAGGCGAAGGTATCAGAACGTTACTTTGGACGTTCATCAAATCCTTCCAAGCTCTGCCATACGTAGCTTTGTTGATAGTGATGCTATTTTTCATCTACGCCGTGATAGGCATGCAAGTAAATACTAGCATTCGGCAACTCCTGCAGCAAATGGCTGAGTCTTCTCGATTTCAAATTTTAATATTTAATTCAGGTCTTTGGAAAAATTGCTCTTGGTAATGATACGGCAATCCATCGAAACAACAACTTCCAGACATTCCCGCAAGCTGTTCTTGTACTCTTCAGATCGGCCACAGGTATCGTTTTGTTTTTATTAATATATTATTTGTATTGCTATAATTGTTTAGCTTTTGTGTATGTTTTATATTGACCTCATAATATTTATATACATGATTTACAGGGGAGGCTTGGCAGGACATTATGCTAGATTGTTCAGCACGTCGTAATGAAGTTCCCTGCGACCCTAGAAGCGACGATAGGAACAGTGAAGCAGGATGTGGATCCGACATAGCTTTTCCATACTTTATATCTTTTTATGTACTCTGCTCGTTTCTCGTAAGTTAAAAATAACAAGGTTTTTTTTTTTAATTTAACGCGTAAGAATATGCCAGTGACTTTGTGGTTTCGGTAGATCATCAATCTCTTCGTCGCTGTCATCATGGACAACTTTGACTACCTCACTAGAGATTGGTCCATTTTAGGACCGCATCATTTGGACGAATTTATTCGCCTTTGGTCCGAGTACGATCCAGATGCCAAAGGTCGCATTAAGCATCTGGATGTAGTGACACTTTTAAGAAAAATATCGCCACCACTTGGATTTGGCAAATTATGTCCCCATAGAGTGGCCTGCAAAGTCAGTTTCGTTTATTTAATAGCTTCCTCTTTTCAAACTTTCAAAATAGAAATTTCGTTATCTCTTTTCTTGATTTCCCACAGAGACTGGTTTCTATGAACATGCCGTTGAACAGTGACGGCACTGTACTTTTCAATGCCACACTTTTTGCCGTGGTAAGGACTTCACTCAGGATTAAAACAGAAGGCAATATCGATGACGCCAATGCTGAACTACGTGCTGTAATAAAGAAAATTTGGAAACGGACTAGTCCAAAATTACTCGACCAAGTTGTGCCACCACCAGGAGGTTTGTATTAAGAAAAAATTATTTCTAAAGAAGAAAAAAAAAATTATCTCTAGAATAAATTATTTCCCTTGATCACAATTTTGATAAAAATTTCATAATTCTAAAATACTGGTTTTTAAATATTTTAGTCGACGACGAAGTCACCGTTGGCAAATTCTATGCCACCTTCCTGATTCAGGATTACTTCAGACGGTTCAAGAAGCGCAAAGAACAGGAAATGAAGGAAGGCGATAAAGAATGTCACAATACAGTAACACTACAGGTGATCCTTTTAGCTCCTGTACCTAAGCTTGATCCAAAGATTGTGTTAATAAATACATTTACTTGTTAGGCTGGATTGAGAACACTGCACGAAGCTGGTCCGGAATTAAAGCGAGCTATATCAGGAAATCTGGAGGAACTTTTGGATGATAATCCTGAACCCATGCATAGGGTAACATATCTGTACAAGATTTCATCTGAGCAAAGTACGTAGAATATATAGATATAAATTATATATTGACTTTCAGAGAAATCATTCACTCTTCGGTAGCGTATGGTCCAGTATGCGTAAAGGTCATCACAGCTTCCACAGGGCAAGATCTCTCAAGGTTAATTCAACCACTTCCAAGGTACACAAAGAATTAATTACATATAACTAACTGTAATTAATTTCTTTCTATTCTCTTTCAGGCTTCACCTACGAATTCCATAGACTTCCTGCCGTATGCCTCATTGCAAAGAGGCGTCGGCGTTGATGCAGGGAATCAAATTACAGCCAGGTCGCACCAAGTCGTGCCTAACATGACAGGGTACGTAACTATAAAAAAAAAATCGGTTTGCGAAAAAAGTACAAAAATGAATAAAAATTTTTGTTTTAGCGGCTTAAGCGACAGCGCCATGAATCAAATGGGCATGGACACGAGACTCGCTGGCGACGAGGAAAATATACCACTCCGTCCTCTAGCTGTTTTTGGAAATTCTGCCCCGCAAACGAATTATCAAAATGCATACAAAGTCATAGAGTAAGTTGACGCAGTCGAGAGAACTCCATAAGAGTTTCTAAGAACAGTGTAACGATGTTTAGGGTCTATTTTGTCTCGAGATGTTTAGTGCATGCTAAAGGTGCATCGAGGTTATCGTTATCGTCTTATCACTCGTCCCATTTAACGTGAAAACACGCGAAAACAATTGTCATCGACTTTGACATTGAATAACACGACGTTGTCTTGCACTTTGACGAGTCCTAACAAAGATTTTGCATCAAACTGATTTGATCATCAGTAGGATATAATAATTGTCTAAAGTGCCAGACAATGATCCCTGAAAAAAAAAGAAGTATATCATCCTGCCTTTTCATCCTATTCCCAAAGCGTCGTAGCTTCGAGCAATTTTTCTATTGGCAGCATAATTATTTGGCATTATTAATCATTACTTCATTTGATTTATCATCGTTCTACATTTCTGTTGACTGTCGTACGTTTCAGTGGACCGGGTAGCGGTAACTATCTCCACCCGAGTAGCGAATATGGTAAGATCAGTTAGGGCCTCGTACTTAGTTACTTGCCATCGGCCAACCTTTATCCTCCGTTGCTTGGCTGCGTGTCTGCTTGTATGGTTTCCTCCTGTTCACTCAATGTTCCAATCATATATTCCACTCGAAAGATTATGGCACTAGCTTAGAGATCTCTTAAACGCATCCCCAGCACTCAGCTTTCATTAGCATGACCAGCACGTTACACGTTGCTCGACTAGACCTTTAGAACGTAACTCACGAAGAGTCGAACGCTTATCTGTTCTCAAAGAAGAACGTTACCTGGTTAACACATGTGCTTAATTGATTCAAAGAATACTTAAGAAATTCTATCAAGTCCATATCCATAGCGTTCGACTCTAACGGGGAAGAAAATCGTCCGACTAACGAACTAAGGGCTTTACGCGCGCGCGCTCCCTTGCCTGTGTTGCGGGACGAGCAGTCTTCAGGACGGAATCGAGCGGCAGTTGACACCCCCAACTCCACCTCCCCGCCGGAATCCACCCCCATCTGGCACAGGAACCACGAGCACGAGCACAACCATGACCTCGAATTCAACGACGACTTCGACCACGATCACGACCGCAACCGCGACAACCAACACCTCAACCAGCGCAACGAGTCCCAGCTCCGTTCATTCGTCAAACGGGATACCTCGCTACTATTCCTACGCAGCAACAGGATGCTGCGTCGATTGTGCCTCCTGGAGTAGTCACGGTAGGATAAGCCAGGACAGCGTTTTGCCGTTAGAGGGACGAGGACCGGTGGCCCCGTCTCCGGGAGAAGAGCCCCATGGAGATGAGGGACACTCGGTCGTGTCTGATTGGTCGGCAGGTAACGGTCGAGTCGCGGTTAAGCTGACGCGATCGGCCGTAGATCGGTGCGGCGAGGATTCGTCTCCCGGTAGCTCCAACGGTTCCATCAAACGAGTCTTCCACCGAGATAGAGGGACTTCCGATAGCGGAACCAGAGCAAACCGCTCCAGTGGGAGTATCCGTTCACGACGGTCCCAAAGACGGTCCCGTCGACGTAATGGCTCCACCAAAGCTACCAATCCTGCTCACGGCGACAACTTGTCTGCTGGTCGTACCGTTGCGGATGGCCTCAAGCTGGCGCAGACCCAGGCTATTGCCGTGGCCGGATATCTCGCTGACGTAGACTCCCGGCAATGGCGCGATTGCGACTCCTGTTTCTCCCACAGAGCTTCCTTTCACGGTCGAGGTGACTTCACAGTCCAGCTTACTTCTCAACGGGGGAGCGCATTTCATTCCACCTTTCTGTCTGACCCATTTCTACTTCACTTCTTCACTCTATACAGACACAATGTGACCACACAATTTCCTGTCTTCATTCTCACTCTCACTTTGTCTTCCACACATTCTTTCTCTCTCATTTTCACTTTCACTCACATTATTATAACTTTTACTTGTTACTTTTGTTGATGCTGAAGAAAGGCTCTCCCCCAGCTCATCCTTACACACCCATCCATTCTGGAGATGAGTGAACAGTCTCAAAAATGCTTATCTCCACGCGGACGCGTTATTTTTGCCTAATGAGCATGTGCCTGACCGTCGAAGCTTCAAAGCTAACACGTATTAACTAACTTACTAACACTTAACACCAAAGTATCGATATAATTACGGTACAGCAGCGTAGCGCTGTTATCGGCGATACAAAGAGATCTCTAATGAAACTTCTCTTCATTAGTTTCGTGGGCCGGCGAGAGTAACGGAAATGTCGGCGCTGAAAGGCTGTCCCACAGTCTACCCGGAAGTCCAGCGGATCGAAAACCCAACTTTGAGGTGATCGGAAGTGCCGAGAGTCTGGTCGGACGGGTGAGTCATGATTTCGTTTTTTTTACCTTGTATCCTCGTATTTAACTGTTACGCGTCCTAACCATGATCCGTTGATTATCCCCAGGTCCTCGTCGAACAAGGCCTGGGCAAGTACTGCGATCCGGACTTTGTTCGATACACGTCGCGAGAGATGCAGGAGGCCCTGGATATGACGCGAGAGGAAATGGATCGGGCAGCTCATCAGCTGCTTCTTCAGGAACGTCGAGGTCAACCGTTGACTTATCAACTGCAACAAAGCATGGACCAACAATGGAATCCGAATTACCAGCAGCAAAATCAGCAACAGCTGCCTTACCCCATTCAGGATCAGCAGATTCATCAGCAGCAACATCATCTTCAACAGCAGTTTCCGCACCAACAAAATCGACAGCAGAGACAACAGCCACCATCTTAGCAGCAACAAGCGTTTCCGATGCGTATCTCATCTACGTAGCCAATCGTTACCGGGACGAACGCTGTAACGTTCCCGGTTTTTTTCGGAATTTCTTTTGGTTAGTCTCTGCAAAGAGATCCGAAAGGACTTGGCAGTCTTATTCGAATTACCAATCCACTGTATCCCATCGGACTGCCATCCGAAGTGATGTTCACGTTGTTGTCCACGACGCGTTACATGAAGTAACGAATTTCAAGTTTTCCAACGTCCGGGCGTTTCGGTGCGCACCGAAAAGACAGAAAAGAAGAGAATGTCTGAATGAATGAGTGAGTGGATAAGAGAAAGAGCAAGGGGAAGAGAGAGAGGGAGAGAAAGTACGCGCTGAGAGACAGACAAGAGTAAAAGAAAGAAAAGTGAGCAGACAAGGAAAAACGTGTTAAGCGTGGAATCTTGAAGAGTAGAGTCATTGAAGCTTTGAAATCGTGCTTTTAATGGAATTGAGTTAACTTTAGTAAGCGTTAGGTATAATCCGTTAAGTAGAATTTTATCGTGAGAGGAGATTGTCCCAAGGGACGTCGAATCGAAAAGACACAGGAGGGAACTGAGGGGCCACCCGGGAGGATGTATTCGCCTCTACCTCCAAAGAAAGAAACAAAAAAAAAAGGGGAAGAACGTCGAGAGTGACCATTTACTTTTTAGTCACTTGAGAATCAGGTGTGGCCAGGTGGGGCATTGCGTTAAGAAAGTGTAGATAATTATTATTCATACGGTGGATTATAAAAAGATAACAAGTGCCTAAGTAACTAATAACTTCTTTCGGACCAGAGAAGACTTTATCAATTAGTCGAATTATTATTGCGATTCATTACGAACGAGTATTACAATTAAAGATATACACACAACAATTGTACGCTCGTGCGACGTACGGAGAGATTAGTAAATGATACGCTATTGAGATTCGATGGAGTAAAACAAATGGCAGCCAGGAGACACGGTGCTCGAAATTTTCATTAGCGGGGTTCTAGCTGTGTTTTGAAAGAATCATTATGTAAACCAGGAACCGTTAATCGGTATGACCAAATAGGTCAAAGGGTAAGGATATGGCTGCAGCCCGGACAAGTAGTTGTTCTTCAACGAGGAAGATGAGAGACAGGTAGTGTGTGTGCAGAGCCAGAAAAACTCGTACGTCCGTAAATGTGCACGTGTCGAGAAGATTATCTGCGTCTAAAGAAGCAACGAGGGAGTGAGAGAGAGATATAGAAAGAAAGAAGAAGAAAACTGAAGCACGCAGAATTAAATATGCGAGCGCAGATAAACCACAGATCCAACACACGTACGCACTCCAAATACTTATTATATACTCGATTTTCGTATTCGTTTTTTCAACATTTTTCTTATGACAATGTATTCTATAGCAAGTCTTTTTATACTACTATAAAGAGAGTTTAAATAAACTTGTAGGGTTACACTTTAATAGCACTTGTCGTGACACGTAGATCGGACGAGAGAGTGTATGCTAGTAGGAGTGAAAGGGAGGGAGAGAGAGAGAGAGAGAGAGAGAGAGAAATCATCTTTTGTCATCAAGAAATCATCATATTATTCATCAATACGATAAAAGAAAATATGTAGTCAACAAATTCTAAAGAGACTCAAGACTATAGGATGAATTCGAGAAGATAAGATTTCATACGACGAAACAGAAGGATGTATAAGTACACTTTCGTGTACTCTATTATTGTGGTATTATAATTATGAGAATTAGGTAAGGATTACTTAAAATGTAAAATTGACGTTTTAGAAGTGGTACTGCTACTTCCGTTAGTCATTTCATCTCTTGTTACAACCGGATGCAGCTTCGGTCCATACGCTGCTCTGTGTTTTGTCGTGTATTTTTCGAATTCATCATGCTAACGAGGCTCTCACACATGCTACCACTGCTAATTTATTCATCGTGTCATCCATGGTGGTCGTGCACGATCGTTAATCATACCAGAGCACGCCTGAGGATTGATAATAGTGTCTCTGATAAAGAAAAAAAAGAAAAAGAGAATTTTCGAGTCGACGCATACTAGAAATTTGTCGTTGAATTTTTTCTTGCCAATTTCTTAAAAGTGGCGGCAATATTTGCAATTCGCGGGAGATTTGAAAAGCCGAGGATATTCGGTCATTTCGAAAATTCTTCCTTTTTACGCGTTTGAAGTTCGCGCTATAATAACTGGTGATGGCGTAATTTCGTAAATTAGAAAAAGGATTGTTCGTTTATCTATCTCTATTATCAATGTGATGACAATTTCCATACTCTTCGTAAATCGTAATACGTTTACAGTTGCGACATCCTTATAAATAAGAATGAAAAGCGTTCCATTAAAGATGCGAGATTATAATATTATTAGCCGATGGGAATTATTTTATTCGATTATAACGTATCCGGGTTTTTCTTGTCTACGCGCCATTGTGTTCTTCTTGTAAATGTGAGAAGAAGCGTCATTGAGTATGTTCTAAGGATTTGACGCGTTCGTAAAGATGAGTTTCGACGAGACTGGTTCTCTCCCGTGGACCATTTCTCTGCGAGCGATTATTATATAGCTCGTCGAGAAGCTGTTTGAAAATATCGAAATCGACGATTTCAAATGGAATTCGACGTTTGCGACAATTCCAAATCGTTCCTGCCATTATTATTATCATTTCACGTAAAAATGATAATACTCTAGCCCTCGAAGGAGCTGTGGAAACTAACAATATTTTCATAAGAACCCCCCATTGTTAATTCATCCATTACTGTTCTTCTATCATTTTCCGAATTCACTATTTTACTCACTCACATCGATACTATTGAGTGCACCGTATACCTTTATTTTCAGTCACGTAGCTCAATCATTTATTCACAGGAGAGCAAGGAAGTGGCACAAGCCTCCTTGAATGTTTCAGAAACTCAGAAGGAAGTTAGGCCAATTTTTATAATACCAATTTCGAGGTTAACACATAACCAATGTGGTGCAATAAAATGTCCATGGTGTAAACGGAAACATTGGCTAGTCAAAGTAAACGATAATTGAAGATTACCGATTGTTACCGGGTCTAACGAGAGTGGTTTTTCATGAGGATTATGCAGAATCACTAGGTACGCACAGCAAAGACATAGACGCACATTTACTTCGACCTCGTAAACTGCCGTTTTTACCATTTTCCTTTTTGATCTTAACTCCTTATATTTAATGAATCCGACTACGTTTAAGCGTGGTGACTTCTCTGTATACTAGACCGAGAGAAAATGTTTTTTTTAGGCCTTTTAAATCTAATATTACACGATTTTTATGAAAAATCATGATCGTATAGCGCACACCAGACACGATTAATAACATCGTTTTGCTTTAACATTGCAGTAACAGGGATGAATATAATTTTAAAAATAGGCAAAGGAACAATTGTGGGATGAAAGTTTAAAATGATGAGAAAATGAGGTGTGTGAGAGATAAAGATATTAATATGAAAGAACGTTTGAATGGCTGAGAAAAAAAAGTGAGGATGCATAAAGCATGAACAAATGGCATTTTGCCAAATAGAAAGAACTAACATGAAAATTGTTGTTGTTGATGTTGTTGTCGAAAATGTGTCAAATTAAACTATAAGAATTTCAAGTATCTACATGCCGATATTGTACATTCAGTAAATCCCATCCTGAAATATCCAATAACAATGGAAACCTTTATGTACACTTTATACTTACCCGTAACCATGCTTATATTTCTTGTATTTTACAATTATTTACAAGAACTGACATGGAACAGAAGGGATTTCTCTTAAAGAATTGATGCGATATTATTATTATTATTATTATTATATCGACTTCTTATTCAGCTAATCCGACAGTAAACGTTCGCACATGCCTATCCAAAAATACGAATCAAATGCACAAAGAAGAGATTGAAGTGTTCACTTTATCATCCTACACGTATATCTGTATCTTTCCTTCGTCTATTATTGTACAAGCATATAGGGTGATAAAAAAGCTCGTATGTTCGTAGATACACTTTGTACATTCGCCGACAAGGTTATTCGAACTATACTTTTGCTAGCTCCTTAAAAATCCAAACAAGACTTCAAACAAGCTAACCACCACTACAACTAGTAGTCATCAAATGCGCTCGAGGTAATTGTTCAATAAATTACAGGCAACTTTTTGTTTAATCATAAATCAATATTATTTCATAACTTGAGCCGCCTTCTTCGCCTTAACAAGTTCAACCAGTTCCTGCAACGATATATATTTTTGTTATATTTTAGATATTAAAGGATGGAATATGCAAGGCTGTTTTACAGATAAAAATTTATAATTACCTTGTATCTCCTCATACATTCCTTTTTTGTCCTTGTGGGTATACAACCAGCAATCTGATCCCATCTATCAGGAACTGTCGAGGGATATGTTTTAAGAGCCTGTTCAAGAAGTTTCTGTTCAACCGGTGTCCAGGGAACTGGCTCCTTTTTAGTTTCTTTTGTATCCTCAGACACTGCAGAATTTGATATACTGCCATTCGACACTGGATGATCCAATCTTTCTGTTACGGCTGGCATCCTCTCATCAATTGCTTCCTTTGATTTTTTCTCAGCAATAAAATTATCATAAGCTTTCTTATTGGCTTGTTCCTTTAAGCTAGATTTACTAAAGTCTGTGGATTGCAAATCCTTAGCCTTGGCAAGGACTTCTTTGGCATCGCGCTTGACACCGTTTGAAGGATTTCCATGTTGATTTATAAAATTAGCTACGACGTCCCAACGTTGATTTGTTCCCGCAGGGAATAAATTGACTGCTTTAATAAGAAGCTGTAGATCATTTTCGGTCCATGGCGCTGTGTAGGTTTTAACTTGTCGTTCCGGAGTGTTTCGAGCGTCGTTACCAAAGATAGCAGCTCTACGTTCGGCTTCAATTTTCTCTTCAGTCTCAGCCACGATATTTAAAAAAGCTACTCTGCCGTCTTTTTGTAGCTTTTTCATAGCTTCTTCCAGTTGTGCCAATTTAAAAAGCTCACAAATCTTCTCTACACTTTCCATATGTTTTATATTCTCGGCTGGATTCTCTGCGTAGTAATCATTGGACTTGCAAAGATCTCTTAAAGCTTTTCTTTCCTTTCTGAGAGCTTTCTTTTGTACTTCTCTTTCTTGTTTTAGTGCATCCATTCGTGCCTTCTCTTCGGATTCGCGCTTTTCTCTTTCTAATCTTTCTTTTTCTGCCGCTTCCCTAGCTAATCTTTCTTCCTCTTTCTGACGAGCTTTCGCTGCCTCTTGCTTTGCTCGTTTTACTGCAGTCTTCTTATCCTTGTCTTCTTGTTGGAACTTCTTTATTCTGGGATCCAAGTTATAAGCCATATCAACTAAACTTCGAATTCGGGTCATCTCTTCTTTCTTTCGTTTAGCACGAGTTGCTTTATTTTTTTTTTCAATCCACTTGCGCATATCACGACTAGAAGTATAAAGTTATGATAATAAAAATCGAATACAAAAGTTAATAAATAGGTTTATAGACACTTACTCTTGACCACTCTCTTTATCCTCTTCATCAAGATATGAATATTCTCGCCACGATTCAAAGTCATACCAAAAGGAATAGAACCTTTCAACTTTCTCTCTCGGTGTGTCAATTCCACCTAGTTGTGGAACTGGCTTCTTTTCAGACCATCTAGAGTTATCTTCAAATGCTTTGCCCATAACTTCATAGAAATTACTCTTCGCATCCTTCTCTTCTGGTAAGTCATCGTTAAAACAAGGATCAACACTGTCATAGCTGCGTCTCTTAACAGGATTCCCAAGCATTTCCCATGCACGCGTTATGCAGGTGAAATAATCATCATCCCTTCGCACTTCCTCTCCCATGGCTTTACGTTTGTCTGGATGATGCTTAAGTATCTTTTGCTTATCTGATGTATAAAGTATACATTAAATAAGTTGTGAATATATTCAAAATGAATAGTAGATTATTAAATATTATCACTATATCTTAGTTTATGCATGATACATACAAGCCCTTTTTATATCATCCTCAGTAGCCTTATGCCTTAACTTCTTTAATCCTAATACAGCATAATGGTCCTGATCTTTCCATTCTTTAGGATCTAATGATCTCAAATAATCCAAATCATCTTCAAATTGATATTCAACGACATCTTCATCATCGGATGATTGTGAGTCTTGACCATGCAACTGGTTCCGCTCAAAAGGGGTTTCAAGTTTAGTGTGCGTGACCAGGTATAAAAATGAAGCTCCTACTGCTTCAACCACAATCTTACGCAATGCTGTAAAATAATTATTATTCAATGTTATATAAAACTAAATAAGCCTTGAGCCCAAATAGTATCTATTAGAACGATATTGTCACAATACACTGAAAAAATATTCTATAAATAAAATTATGCAGGGCAAGAGTATAAAAGTACTTTTATGTAAGAGCCAAGAAGTCCTTAAAAATGTATAATGGAAAAAAAAATATTAAATACTTCTAATTAGTATTTGAAAGCCATGCCAAAAATAATTACCCTAACCTCCTATTGCCGGAAAAGTGAAAAAAAATAGTTTTAAATAACTTACGTGATATCGTATTAAGGATAATACACTCATCAGTTTCTACGAGTTCCATTATTGCTTTTGTGAAACAATTAATGTCGTCTATAAAAAAATACAACTGGATATACTAAAAATGTGATGGAATATAATCACGCTTTGAACATTTTTCTTGAATCCGCTTCCAGCTACTGAAAAACGAACATCTTCGAACGTCGACTGCTCCACTAGCTATGCTTCACTGTGCAGAATGTACACGTCTAGAAACAAAATTTAACTTTGTGTATTAACATTTCTAAAAACATTCAGATACATTCTGTTACCAGCTGAGAATGCGAGCAAAAGATTAGTTCTGCAGTTGTTTCAACTTTGTCAAGTTTCGGGATATAACTTTTTATTTGAAAGATTCAAAGAACGATTTAAAAAATATAATTCGTAGAAATCACTGATGAAGTTTTAGAATTTAGGATTCTGTTCAAATTAGGAAAATCAGCATCAATCGTGACTACAACTTTTAAATTATTATAGAAGCATAGATGAGGTAGGGAGATTGCTAATGAGCCGATTTTCATCAGAAATGCGTAGGGAGATGTATGTATAGATGTATGTATGTATGTATGTACATACAACAGAGAGATTAGTAGGGAGATGCACAACGCTCCGGTTTTAGGCGATACCAAAATCATGCCGCTAAATCGTAGCGGCAAGTCTGGAAGTAGAATTTTGTGATCATCACCTCCGTCGACAATGCAAATCCCGTCGTAGCCGAGCTAAACGTGAACCCGAACGCGTAGCTTGGCAAGCAGAGGTTCTCCGTTACTCACCGATGGTTCCCAAAGCAACCCTTAGAACGAGACCGAGAACCATAGAACTTCTCAAGAATCATTGAAAAAGCCTATTGTTGAAACATTTTTAAGACATTTTTAAGAAAGTGCAGTGCCAACTTGATACCCGTGCAACGCTTCAATATTTATTAAATATTATTGGATCTTGAATTACTTTCAAAATTTATTCAAAAAATAAAATCTAAGGCTAAAGGCTAAATAAAAATCTCGCAGAATATACGGAGTAGATAAAAATTGAATTGCAATTGTATAATATCGAAAATAAATTACGTTCAAATTGAAATATTAATAAATTAGGTGTTTGGAACATTAAAATAATTAATTAAATCAATAAAGTAAAATATTAATACATAATATAAAAACATATGTTTTCCTAATAACTAAGCAAATTTTCATATGATTTTCTTGATGAATTAATTTCTCTCGATTTGTTCCATATTGCTCCACCATTAGTTGTTTATTTAATTAAAGCATCTTTAAATAACAAGTAAAATTTGATTTTAAGGAGCATCTAGCAATTTTTTTAGGCATTATGAACATATAAATTTTTATTTTCCTCAGCTAACTTCCCGACGGTGCTTACACTCTGTAGACGTATAACGATAAAGTTCCTATTTGCTTCATGACTCATATCGTGTATGTACTCGTGTTGGGGATTCACGAGTTTTAATCAGGTATGGAAATAAAGCGAAAAACAAGAAATAGAATAATGATTGATAGGACAAGTGAAATATGTTTAATATTTTATTCATATTGTAACGGAAGCAGTCTTCAAACAAATATAACACGGTAGTGTATATGATTACATGGAATAAGAAGATACATGCCGGCAAGTACGTTCGAGATTCTAATGCTTTAGAATATTGGCAGGAATAGGGTGAGCTGTGGTCCCGATGATGTCGTTTCGTATAATTGAGGATGCTGGAGGATTCTGCACAGCCCTAAACACACCAAATCCAACGAGCATTCTAATCTCAAACCTGTGACTTGTAGTGTAAATCATGAACGCGTAAGAATGACGCAATTAGTGCATATCTCTTCGTACACGTCCCTTAATGTACAGCGAAGCTTATTAGCGTGTAAGGTGCGCTTGCTATCCGTGATATTAATACAATGGTATATGTATAACGACACGATATGCATTATGACAAACACACAGAAAAACACAATGTTCCAGAATAATTTATACAATAGGTAGCGATAATAAATGTATCGTCAATTTTTTACATTATTATTTTAGCGATCACGCGGACCGCGCACTTTACGCGCGCGGCTCTTCATCATTGAAGGCTCTTTCTCATTGCTTCTTCCTTTCAAACTATTTTTCGTTCGTCGTATAGTTTCGTTACGTCATCCAGACGCTGAAATTACAAGAAATATTAATTATACTGTGACAAATGCACAGAAGATGGTCAGTACAAGGTCATTACTGTCGATGGTACATAATAGGAGGCTCGGTAATATTATAAATGAAAGACTTACTTTTTCGAATAATAATTATCGCGTGGAGTATATTCAGTGGCGACTGGTTCAAAGGTCACCGGCAACGGTGACATTGAGTGCGAAGGCTGCATTTGTTTCGCCTTTCTTGCCGATAGCGCGAGCAGAGTACTGACCCACGTCACCGACCGAGCAGGATTTGATACGTATTTCGTATGATTTGTCGCCGTCCGAACTGAAGTGGTACCTGCTGCTGGACTCGTCGATGGGTTTACCATCCTTCAGCCATGTTACTAAAAGTACAAAAATGTCATCAGTTGATCATTCGGCATGCTTACCATTCAACCAATCTAAATCAACTTCTAATACGAGTAATGGTAACTTATAATTTTGTAAATTATATGATTAAATACCTTTGAGGGGCGCAGATTCAGTCTGGCAGGTGAAGCTAACCATTTCCCCCTCGCTCACGGTTGCCGACTGCGGGAATGTCGTGAACATTGGACTCTTGGGCTCCTCGTTCGGTACTATTTTTACAAGAAATATTAAACGTTATTTATTCCCGTATACGAATAACAGTTCAGGCAATAGAAATGTTTAAAGACTCACCGAGGACGTTGAGAGTGCCGGAAGAGAAACTCTCTCCCGCGTCGTTGAAGGCTTCGCACGTGTAGGTGCCAGAATCTTCGGGGAAGATCTCGGCGATGTGCAGCTTATAGATGTTAGCTTCACTCGTGTACTGGAAGTCTTTGCTGGGTTTGATCTCCTTGTTATTGTGGAGCCAGATAACGTCAAACTTCTTTGCGCCGATGATGCGACAGCTCAGAACCACAGCCTCACCGTCTTTCACGAATTTGCTATCCAGGTGATCGACAATCTTTGGTGGTTTGTCATCGCTCTTCTTCTTTCCCGAGGCATTTTCCATAGCTACAATTTAATTAATTAATACCTCATTCACCTACCAAATCATGTCACATATATGTATACTACATTCGCTTACGTTTAACTGTGAGCTTAGACGAGGTCGTCGTTGTTCCGATGCTGTTTGTTGCTTTACAAATGTACTCGCCCTCGTCTTCAGGGAAGACCTCGTTGATGCGGAGGGTTGCAACGCCACCCTTGTACTTGAGATCGACGATTTCAGATGAGCTGAGTGTCTACAAAATCACATAAGATCTCACTTGAGCATCCAGGATTCAAATATAAACCAGACATTACAATAGTAGCACATCGTAGTAATCTTAATAACTGACCTTGCCATTCTTCGACCAGGTAACCTGAGGTTCAGGGTCACCCTCAATCTTCACAGTAAGTTCTAATTGTTCGCCGTCATTGATGGTCAGGTCTTTCAGCTGTTGCGTGAACACTGGTGCCCTCATTAAAGAATCGTCAGGTGGAACTAAACGCAAAAGAAAATTTCTGAGCGTTACAGAGCTTCCGTTCTGTTACATTAAAAATCTTAGAATTTCATGAAATCTTACGGATAAGTTCTTTGGTGGCACTCCTGGATCGAGATGGACTACCGGTGGTGTCTAATCGGCTCCCATATTTCTTGACACTTCTCTTATCTGACGAGGAGGATTCGTTTACTCTTGAGCTGGACTCAGTGGAGGACTAAAATCAAAATGGCATTGAGTATCCCAGCGCTTTAATGAATATTATTCATTTTTGTCGTTCACTAAACCATTACTTTGTATGAAGATGAATTCTGCTTTATGTTGGAGGAGGAGCTGCTAGTGCTGTTGTAGTTCCGACTGGAGCTACTTTGGCTGCTTGCATTATAGTTTGAGTTGCTGTATCCAGACTTTTGAACAGTGACGATCGGTGGAGGTGCTGGTTTTATGGGCTGTTCGATATACCTTCGGTCTGGGAAATACAATAACATTTTCAATAATCATATACAAAATGTTCCAACACTTTGAATCTTGTACATGCGAGAACAATTGACGTGAAGATTATTCTGGAAACATGGAGATATCATATACTCAAAAACACGAGTGTCTCTCTTTCGTAATTAAACATATAGTATTAATTTAATTTAATGGACAATGGTAATAAAAGTCAAACACTTCACACGAGGATCCTGTTTCTCAGGCTTGAAATTATGTATCAGTCATACAGTAGTTTCTCAATCGTGGTCACTTATATTTACATAGGCTGACCAATAATGCCATTTTTATATCTGTTAAGGACATTCCGTAAACGAAGATATCTCTGCTCGTAAAAAGACAATTCATATATTTACATTTTATGAGAATATGCATTCATTATGGTTAATTATATGAGAAAAACATGGAATCCTGAAATATCTTAAAGATAACGCGTCCTGAGGCGTTCTGTAAAGAACATGTATAGACACCGAAGAAGGGATTCTGTCCCAGGACTATACAAGACAAAATTCATGATACTGTTAGTCACTGTATTCAGAAACATGAAAAAGAAAGGAAAAGACAAGTACAAAAGTCACGTGGGACTTTGAAGAATTTTACAAAGAACATAGTAGCTACCTCCAGAGTATAAGAGATCATGCGCTAATTTTGCTTGTTGTTCAGTCTCGCCAGTGCCTACAAATAAATCAATACCGGTTAGCCATTCTATACTGATACCTATTGAGCTTCTACCAGCGTCGAAGGGTCATCTAAATTATTCGTCATCAACAGACAAGCGATAGGCGAAATGAAAAAAGAGTTACACTAAAGTACTGGAAGGAGTAGATGAAGAAAGATTAACAATGCTATAAAAAATGAAAGCAATAAAAGACAGTGAATAGTCAACTATAAATATAAGAGATACAGTATGAATCATTGAAATGATTTGAAATAGAATGTGACGAAATACTAAATAAATAAATTACTTACCTTCTACTATAACGACGCAACTGGTTTCATCGGTACCGTGGCAATTTGTAGCGACGCAACGATACTTGCCACTGTCCTCAGGTTTACAATCAACTATTTCCATGGTCACGACACCGTCAGCGTTCGTCATGGCGTAATCGTACTTGGACAGTTCATGACGATCTTTGAACCATTTGACAGTGGGTGGTGGTTTGCCACTCAGACAGCAAAGAAGCTTGCAGGTCTGTCTAATCTGCATGACACGAGGACGAAGTAGGAATGTGAAACTAGGTGCACTTTCACTAGTTTCCATCCAGAAGTTGTAGCCGAGAGGCTCGCGTCTACGAACGGGTTGTACTTCGGGCTTGTACTTAGGAATCTCCTTGGGCAATGCTGTGAAATCATAATAAGAATTGCAATAATTTTCTTGATAGAAAAAACTGTGAAATTCTACAATGTACTTACGTTGGACGTTGAGGAAGACAACCTCTTCTCTGTATCCGTAATGATTTTCAGCACGGATGATGTACTCTCCTCTGTCTTCGAGCTTGACTCTGTTGATGACGAAGGTATAGTCATCACCGGCGTAACGTTTCATGAACTTGACAGATTGTCGGAGTTCCTGGTTATTGTGGTACCAGGTAAGGGTAGGTGTGGCGATAGCGATTACTCGGCAAGTGAATCTCACGCTCTGGCCCTCATAAGCAAACGCACTCGTGGGTTTGATGACGAACCTAGGTGCAGCTTGTCTGCGGTCTATTGTCACGGACAAAGATTTGAGGCTTATTAAGAATATTCAAGAATACAATAATTAATATTGGGTTCGATAAGGTTAATCGTTACTCACCAAAGCATGTGTCATGGATCTTATACTTCTCGATAAGGAGTTTCCTGAGGGCGGAGTATTCAGCAAGTCGACCAATGGGTAGAACGTATTTTTCCCAATCATCGTATTTCGCGCGGATCTTGTCGCGGAAGTTGAGGTAGCGACTGCTTTCAATGGGATTGGTGCGATGGCTATGATCACCGGTGAGCCAAGCATGTCGGAGACACTCGTGAGCCGTCATGCGCTTCCTGGTAAAGCAAAGTATTGTTATTAAACCCATAATTATTCAAAAAAATTAGATATAAATTCGATATCAACTAAAATAATAAAAGTCGTACTCTTTGTTCTTGATGAGGAGCCTCCTGATGAAGTCCTTGCCTTCTTCGGACACATCGCGGAATGCTTCCTCGTCGAAATCCCAGTCACAGGCCTTAACGTTCTTCAGGGTTTCGATGTCGTTATCCCCGGCGAAAGGAGAGAGACCACTTAACCTACATCGATAGGTTGCAAAAAAAATGAATGAAGGTCGTTGACATTAAGGTTGACCAGTTATTACCCAGATCAGGTTAGGTTTGTAATACTGGTAGGTACTTACAAGACATAGGCCAGGACACCGCATGCCCACATATCAGTGTAGAAACCGACAGGCTCGCGCTCGACGATCTCTGGTGCAGCAAACTCAGCGGTTCCAGTGCTGATCTTAACAACTTCGTTAGGGTCGAGCTTGGTAGCCAGGCCAAAGTCTATGAGCTTGACATTGGTACTATTACGTGTCTGACACATGATGTTCTCCGGTTTAATGTCGAGGTGGATGATATTTTTTTCGTGCATATGCTTGACGGCTTCGCAGATCTGGCGCATGTAATTGATCACCTCAGCTTCGGACATGGTGTATCCTTCAGCGGTGATTCTCTCGAAGAGTTCTCCGCCAGAAAGGAACTCGAAAATGAGAACCATCTCATCGTCGTCCTCGAAAGCGTCGTGGAGGTTTATTAATTTGGGATGATGTAGCTGATTCATGATATCTATTTCCTTCCTGATAAGTTCCTTCTCCATCACATGAGAAACAGGGATGAATTTCGCGGCGAAGATGTTTCCGGTAGACCTTTCACGACAGCGATGAACCACGCCGAAGGCTCCGGTGCCTATTTCCTCGAGGATGTCGTACTTATCGTAGACAGACGTGTGCTTTATCTCAACAGGTTGAGGAACATATTTGCTGTAAATGTCGAAGACGTACTGGTCGTAATCACGAACTTTCTCGTCGCTGCGACCACGAATCTTCTTGCCAGTCTCGTCGACTTCGTATTCTTTCTTCTTGAACTCTTTCTTGCCACTGTGTTTGGTTGTGATGATACCAGTGACGTCACTCGCGTCGGAACGTCCATAGACGTTCTCAGCGAACACACGGAACTCGTATTGATGACCTGGGCTAAGGGCAGTAACAGCGATAGTGCAGAACCTGGTGTTTCCTACGCGGATCCAGCTAGTCATAGGATGTTCACGTTTCTCCACCAGGTAGTTCGTGATGTTACTACCGCCGTCCCAAACAGGTGGTTTCCACGTAAGGGCCAAAGAGTCGTGACCGATATTGTCAACTTGTGGGAACCTTGGTGGATCAGGACGGTCACTGATCTGAATCTTAATGATGGCGGAATCCTGACCAAGATCATTCTCCGCGGTGATACGGTATGGACCTGAGTCCAGTTTGCTACCGTCCCTAATGGTCAGAATGGCGTGACGTTCCTTAACCTCGACAGCGTAGTGACCACCGGATTCGATGGTTTCGCCCTCTCTCACCCAGGTGATCTTGGGTTTGGGGAAACCAGTGAATGGAATCTTGATGACGACATTCTCGCCTTTGTCGAAGAAGGCGGTGTCGCGGAATCTTGGTGGCACGTTGAGTTTGGGAGGTGTCATAATAAAGAGCTCAGCCTTGGTAGACTTGATACCACCCTTGTTCACTGCACGACACAAGTACTCGTCAGCATCCTCTCCGAACACGTCGTGAATCACAAGGTTCAGCACATCTCCTTCGGTGTAGATATGATAACGAGAACCATTAACGATCTCTCGGGCACCCTTGAACCAGGTGATAGTAGGCTTGGGTTTGCCGGTGATGGTACACTGGAAGTGAGCATTGTGATTCTGGATGCAGTTGACATTTCTGAGCGGCTTCACGACTTCCGGTGGTGTCGATTCCTGAGGATCCTTGATCTTTACAGAGGTTGAAGCCTTGGATTCTGGACTAAGACCTGCTTCGTTCTGGGCGAATACCCTGAACTCGTATTGTCGGCCATCGATTAGATTGCTGATGTTGATCTGGTTGGTAAGACTGATTGAGACATTTACACGCTGCCAGGCCTGACTATCGACCTCGCGTTTGTCCACCCAGTATCCTTGGATGCGAGAACCACCGTCGCTTTCTGGTTTGTCCCAAGAAAGGTTGACGAAGTCGCCACCAATTTCGATAACCTTCGGAGTTCCAGGAGCACTTGGAGGATCGAATGGAGCCTTGGCCTTGATCGGATTGGCACCTTCGAGAGGAGGTCCCATGCCGTTGTCATTGACAGCCATGACACGGAACAGATATTCCTGACCCTCGGTCAAGCCCTGGACAACAAAGGTCGTCTCCTTGCAGAAGGAAGTGACGATGATCCAGTGAGTATGGCTGACGTCGCGACGCTCCACGACGTAATGGGTGATACGAAGGCCACCATCGTACTTAGGTGGATGCCAGGTAAGGGTGCAGGTGTGCTTATCAATGTCGGAGACATCGAGAGGTCCAATCGGAGGTCCTGGCAAGCCAGTGATGTAAACATTGAAGGATGCACTGACACTACCACTATCATTCTTAATCGAAAGGTCATACTGTCCACCATCATCTTTCTTGATGTCTTTAATGAAGATGATGAGGTACTCATCGAAGGCGGTGTACTTGATATGACCGGATTCCTCAATCTTACGACCGTCCTTCGTAAGAGTGACATCCATGGGCTGATCGCCGCTGTAATAGATCTTAATCTTCGTATTGTCACCTTCGGGCAAGTAAAGGTCATTCGGCATGCGTTCGATACGCGGAGGAGTGCCAATCCTGAGCCTGGAGGTGGTATTGGCATGACCAAGCGGGTTCGTTGCCTGGCAAGTGTAGTCGCCATCGTCAGCATCCCAAACTTCGGAGATGACAAGTCTGAAGAGACCTTCTCGCGTTTCAGTTCTGAATCTGCCGCCAACGGTGATCTCGCGACCGTTCTTCATCCACCTGGCTGTCGGAATAGGTTTGCCATCAGCCTCGCACTCGAATACGTGGGTCTTCCCAAGAGGGACGCCGACGCTGACTGGAAGTGGACGCAGGAACTCTGGCTTCTTGCCACCTTCGACTTCGCAGATCTTCACCGGGGTCGTGCAAGAGCTTGGCTCAGACCTTCCTGCAGCATTCACGGCGAATATACGGAATTCGTAGTCTCCACGTTCAATCAGATGCATTACAGTGTATTCAGTATCCATGACGTTGTAATCATTGCACTTAACCCAGAGAGCACCACCCAACTCGCGTTTCTCCACGACGTAGCCAGTGATTCGACTACCACCGTCAGATGCTGGTGCCTCCCATTTGAGGTCGACATAGTTCTTGCCAACCTTGACGACTTGCGGAGTACCTGGTGGTGATGGCACGTTGAACTTGCTCTTGAGCTTGAACTGAGAAGACGGTGGACTTGGTTTGCTGAAACCAGCGGCGTTTTTAGCACGCACACGGAACTCGTATTCATGTCCACTCAGAAGACTGTAGCAGACGTAAGTGGTGTCCTTGACCAGGTAGTCATTAGCAATACGCCATTGTGCATCTTCGGCTGGGTCCCTGAACTCGATCTTGTAACCCTGGATACGCGATCCACCGTCGGACCTTGGTCTGTCCCAGTTCAAAGTTACGCAGTCGATATCCCAATCCGTGATTCGAGGTTGACCCGGTGGATCTGGCACCGTGAATGGGAACTTTGCCATTATTGGTTCGTCAGCTTCCAGAGGATCGGAAACGCCGTACTGATTCTCGGCACGAACGCGGAAGTTGTACTTGCGGTTTGGTTCTAAACCAATCACGTCGTAGTGGGTGTTTCTGGCAAAGCTGCTGACTTTCACCCAGATCTACACGATTGATGTTTTGATTAGTATACTTACATTTAAATTATTTTATACCATAATATTATATCAGCTTAAAAACTTACGCCTGAAGGATCGAGTTTCTCCACAATGTAGTTAGTGATTGGTGATCCACCATCGTCGGTGGGTGGTTTCCACGACAGAGTACAGGTTTCAGGAGTGATGTCGCTAATGTCCAAAGGTCCTTGTGGAGGAGATGGCTTGTCTGAAAAATCGAGTTCAGCAAAGTTGAGCAAGCCCAGTCTCCAGTATGATGTCGAAAACAACAAAGGGTGGATACTTACCAACGACGAGGACCTTGCAAGAAGCAGAATCGGTTCCAACAGTATTAGTAAGGTGGATCGTGTAATTTCCAGTGTCAGTTCTCTTAGCCTTTTTGTTGATAAACTGAGAGGCAATGTCACTAGTATCAAACTTAATCCTGTCATCAGTAAGGACATCTTCTCCGTTGATGGTCCAGGTAGGTTTAGGTTTCGGATGGGCCGTGTATGGCACAGTTATGGTGAATGGCTCGCCAGCAATGACAGTCATGTCGCGAATGCTGAGATCGCTGGTAATCTTTGGAGCAGAAGCAGGTGCACTTGCACGGATAGCGTCAGAGCTTGAACTCCATGGACCCTGACCAGCTGCATTTACAGCAGCCACACGGAACTCATAGTCATGGTTCTCAATGAGGCCACCAACCCTGTAGGTAGTGTCAGGAACATGAGCCTGAGTAGCCTTGACCCATTTATCTTCGCTGAGCAAACGCCTTTCAATGACGTATCCAGTGATTGGTGAGCCGCCATCGTGACGAGGTTTCGTCCAGGTGATGGTGATGCTGTCTTCGGTTGTCTCCAGACCACGTGGAGCTCCAGGTGCACCAGGAGGATCAAATGGATGTCTGGCTCTAATCGGATCGATGGTTGTGGCTGGATCGGACGTTCCGTATTGATTCTCAGCCATTACACGGAATTCATATTCACGACCAATGGTCAGGTTACGTACGCGTACAAATGGCGTAGTGACGTAGCTGCTAACCTATTTGTAGAAGTACAGAAAAATATTAGTATAGATACAAAAATATTGAGAATTAAAATTAACGTAAATTAGGTTAGGTTATTGGAAGTCTATGATTAATTACCTTCGACCAGGTTGGAGAACGTGGTTCACGCTTCTCAATGACGTAATTCGTGATCTCAGCACCGCCATTGTCTTTGGGTGGATTCCAATAGAGAGTGAGTGCGTCGCCGCCAAATTCATCGGCACGCAGATTCTCTGGTGGACAAGGACGATCCAGGACGCGGACATTAATAGTGGCCGTGTCAAAGCCAGAAGGATTACGCAACTGGAGACGATATTGACCAGCGTCGGATCTCTTAGAGTTCTTGACGACAAGACTGGCGTAGTCGTCGGCAAGCTGTTGATGAACTCTAGAGTCGGATTCGTCCTTGATCACGTCATTAGCGAACCAGGTGGCTGTCGGTTTCGGGAAGCCGATATAGGGTACGTGGATTGAGAAGTCTTCTCCGGCACGTACTGTGATGTCGCGCACACCGCCAAGGTCCATAACAGGTTTATTAGGTTGTTCCTCGATAACGATGGGGAGGCTTGGTTTGCTTGGGTCACTGTTACCCACATCATTTACAGCTATTACACGGAACAGGTATTCCTCGCCTTCAGTTAACTTAGGCACCGTGTATACATTGGTCGGTACTGGTGCTCCATTTACATCGGACCAATCGCTGTCGCCCTTGGCCTTCTTTTGGATTAAGTATCCTCTGATCTTGGCACCGCCATCGTTACGTGGTGGCCTCCAAGACAAGGTCACAGAGTCCTTGGTGATACGATCCGCCTTTGGTGGTTCCGGAGCATCCGGACGCACTAAGAATTAAATGAACCATTTATACATTAATAATGGTGAAAAGCCGACTTAATGTAATTAGGACTTAGAAAACTTACGACGCTGGTGTCCGGCAGTGATGGGTTCGGTGGGTTTGCTGGGTTTTCCAGGACCCGCCTCGTTGACGGCGACCACCCTGAACTCGTATCTAGATCCCTCATGAAGATCCTGAACCGTGAAGGAGGTATTTGGCGTGGGATAATTGTTCACCTTCAGCCATTCACCACCACGCTCACGTTTCTCGACATAGTAACCTGATAAGCAAACAAAGAAATTAACATGTGTATTAAATTAAAAAGTGTATTAATAAATTTAAAAGTGACTATTACCAGTGATAGGCTTTCCACCAGTGTAGATTGGTGGATTCCATTGGAGACTGCAACTATTAGGCGTGTAACCAAGAATCTCAGGTTGACTTGGTGCGTCTGGAGGATCGAACGGACTCTTGGCAACGACAGGTTTGCCGTCGAGAGGTTCAGAAACACCATACATATTCTCAGCGCGAACTCTGAAGACATATCTACGACCTTCTGTAAGTCCCTTAGCAGTGAAATTGGTCGTGGCACAGTAACCAGGTACTTGGCGCCAGTTCTCTGCACCATAATCGGAGACCTCAACAATATAATTGGTGATATCGGATCCTCCATCATCGCTTGGTGGACTCCAGGATAGGGAAACGGTCTCCTGCGTGGTAGCAGTGTACTGTAATGGACCTCTTGGTGGACCAGGTTTGTCCACAACGATAACCTCGATATCAGCAGAGTCTTTTCCATACTCGTTCTTCGCGGTGACTGTGTATTTGCCGCCATCATCCCTGACGGATTTCTCGATCAGCAGCACCGTATGGTCGCTCTTTGTTTCAGTCTGGATATAATTAATAATTATAAATTGGAATTCTTATTACTACATATCTGGACTCTGTAATGAATTTACTTACTGATACGCGAAGAGTTTCTGTAAGCCTGGTGGAATTTTTGGTCCAGTCGACGGTAGGTGTTGGAGCCCCAGAGAGAGGAATGTTAATATTAATCGGTTCACCAGCCCTAACCTTGATCTTGCGACCAATAAGAGCATCCAGGTAAAGCTTGGGCTTCTCCTTCATCGGCTTAGCCGTGAAGACAGCTGAAGTGTCACTAGGTTTGCCAGCACCAGCTGCGTTAATGGCTGACACTCGGTACTCGTATTGATGTCCTTCAGTTACGTGGTCGTCGTAGTATTCATTGTTCCTGACTGGTTCCTTATTCACCTTTATCCAGCGACCGGTAGCTCTGTCACGACGCTCGACGTCGTAACCAATGATTGGTGACCCTCCGTTGCTAATTGGTGGAGACCACTTGATCTTGATGTGATCTTTATCAGCATCGACGCATTCAGGCTTACCAGGTTGTCCAGGTACCACTGTAATGAAACAGTAAAATGATTTTTACAAGACGATCAAATATTAGAAAATTGATTCCTACGAATTATTAGAATTGCATGGAATTAGAAACTCACCAAACTGATTTTTGGCGACAACTGGACGATCAGTGTTCAGTGGATCGGAACGACCTTGAAGATTTTCGGCAGACACGCGGAATTCATATTTGGTGCCTTCAAGGAGCCTGGGTACAGTAGCATGATTATATTTCGGGTTGACATAGGTAACAGCTGGTACCCAACCACCACCATGGGTAAGGTCACGTTTCTCGATGACGTAGCCAGTGATTTCACTGCCTCCATTATCCTTAGGTGGTTTCCAGGATAGAGTGACGGATTGGTTTGTGATTTCTTCATATTGCAGAGGACCTTCAGGTGGTCCGGGTCTGTCTAGGACAATAAGCTGGAAGCTACCCTCGTCGCTTCCACTGCTGTTCTTCAGCGCCAAATGGTACACTCCGGAATCTGACCTCTTGGCATTAACCGTATGGACGATGGTGTGATAACCGATAGAAGTAACGGTGGTCCTTTCGTCGGTAACCAAGTTTTTGCTGCCTACTGTCCAGGTAACCTCAGGGGCAGGTTCACCCACGAAGTCGATATCCACGTGGAATATAAGACCAGCCTTGATACGGATGTCCTGAAGAGGTGTCTTTATCTTAGGTGCGAGATAACGTGCCTTGGCAGTGACGAGATCGCTAGGTTCAGATGGTTCAGACTGTCCAGCAGTGTTCACTGCGATAACGCGGAACTCATATTCCTGACCCTCGGTCAGATCGGGAACGGTTGCTTTGTTCTGACCTGATGGAACGTGAACAGCGTTTACCCAATATGGACTGCCCTTTTCTTTCTTCTGAATAATGTACCCGGTGATTGGTGAACCACCATCGTTCTTCGGTGGGGTCCAGTCGAGGTCCACGTGATCCTTGTCCCAGTCTGTAACGCGAGGTTTGCCAGGTGCATCGGGTTCATCGAACTCGTTCTTGGCGATGATGCTCTTGCTGGTCTCCAGAGGCTCGGATTCGCCAATGTTGTTAACAGCTTTGACGCGGAAAAGATATTCCTTGCGGTGGACCAATCGAGTCACCTCGTGATTCAGTAAGACGCTCATGCCAGCATCTGACCATGTTCCACGGGATAGATCCATCTTCTCAATGACGTAGTGAAGAATGGGGCTACCACCGTCGTCAAGAGGAACTCTCCAAGTTAAGTGACAACTCTCCTTTGTGATTCCGCTGACGTCGAGAGGTTTCTCTGGAGGTGCGGGTTTGTCCAAGACTGTCACTGTTGCGCTCGCACTGCAAGTACCCAAGTCGTTTTCCAAAGTGAGAGTATAACGTCCGCCATCAGAGCGAACGGAGAAAGGAATTTCGAAACTCGTGTAAGTATTGCTAGTATAGATCTCATGGCGTGTGTCGGCTTGGACTGGAGTACCATTGATGGTCCATTTGGCAGTAGGCTTTGGAGAAGCCTCGATGGGGATGTTGTAGCTGATCTTCTGTCCAGCACGGACAACCAGATCTCCGAGAAGATGTTTGTCGAAGGTAGGTGCCAAGAAGCGAGGCTTAGCGATAATCGGTGCAGAAGCCTCCGAAGGTTCACCGGGTCCTCCCTTGTTTACAGCAATCACCCTGAATTCATATTCCTGGCCTTCGGTCAAGTCGGGTACGGTACCTTTGGTCTGGTTTCCAGGTATCTCAACAGCCTTCTCCCACTGTCCATACCGCGGTCTCTTTTCGATAATGTAACCAGTGATTGGAGATCCTCCATCTTTTTTAGGAGGAGCCCATTCCAGGTCAACGTGATCTTTGTCCCAGTCGGTAGCGACTGGTGCACCAGGTTTGTCTGGTTTGCCATATGGATCCTTGGCCGTGATAGCCTCTATACCAGTTAATGGAGCAGATTCACCCTGTTTGTTGACAGCGCGTACTCTGAAGTTGTAATCGTGACCTTCGATTAGGTGGTCGACCCTGGCATGGGTGGAAGAAACTTCTGCGACAGGTACCCATCGCATGCTCTCAGTGTCCATTTTCTCGACGGTGTAATACTGGATCTCTGAACCGCCATCGTCCTTCGGTGGCCTCCAGGCTATGCTGCATCCGTTCTTGGTAATGTCGTTAATCTTGAGTGGACCTTCTGGCGGTGATGGAACATCCAGGACAGTCACATTGAGGGTAGCCGTGTCCCTCCCGTTGATGTTCTTTGCGGTAAGGGTATAGACTCCAGAATCGGAGCGTTTGGCTTCCACGATCTTGACTTTGGTGTTGTAGTCTTCGTTTATAATCCTAATACGGTCGCTAGGAAGGACCGTGTCACCTTTGAGAGACCACTCCTTGGATGGAGGAGGTTCACCAATGACGGGAACGTCAAAGTCAAAGAATCCTCCGGCTTTCACTTTCACGTCAAGCATGTACTTGCGGTCGATCTTTGGCGGCAGATTCTTGGGTCGGGCAACATGTGGTTTAGTCGCGTCCGAAGGTTCACCAGGTCCAGCCTTGTTTACCGCTCTCACGCGGAACTCATACTGAGTGCCTTCAATCAAATCAGGTACCTTACCACGGTTGACGTCGCCCTCAACCTCGGCACATTTCTCCCAGTCCGGGCTGTATTTGTCACGTTTCTCAATGATATAACCACTAATAGGTGAGCCCCCATCTTCTGTAGGTCTATCCCACTGCAGCTCAACAAAGTCGGTGTCGTAGTCACGAATTTCTGGAGTACCAGGTTTACCAGGTTCATCAAACGGATTCTTGGCTTCGATACTCTGGCTGGTAGTGAGTGGCTCAGATTTGCCTTGCTTGTTGACAGCGCGAACACGGAACTTGTATTTATGTCCAGGAATCAAACCGTCGACATCTAGATGGGTCTGAGGTCCATCAGTCTCTCCAGCAGGTAGCCATCTTCCGGAGGCTTCGTCCATCTTCTCGACGATGTACTTCTCGACCGGTTGGCCACCGTCATCTTCAGGAGGTTTCCATGAGAGTTTGCAACCCTCAGCGTGGACGTCTGAGACCTTGAGTGGTCCCTGAGGCGGGCTGGGCTTATCCAGCACGATAACATTGACGTAAGCGACGTCCTTACCGTTGACGTTCTCGGCGGTTACGGTATACCTGCCAGACTCAGCACGAGTAGCCATCCTGACATTGAGACTGGTATTGTACTCGACGTGCTTAACCTTGACACGCTCAGATGAACTGACTTCCCTGGTGCCAAGCAACCACTTAGTTGTAGGTGCCGGTTCACCAGTAACTCTTACGTCGAAACCGAAGTTCTGTCCAGCTTTGATCTTCACCTCGATGAGGTTTGTGCGGTCAATCTTCGGAGCTAGATTGCGTGGTTTGGCAATGATGGTCGGGGTAGCGTCAGATGGTTCACCAGGTCCAGCCTTATTAACTGCTCTAACACGGAATTCATAGGGCTGACCTTCGATCAGGTCAGGTACTGTTGCCTTGGTTTGATCAGCTGGTACTTCCAAAGCTTTTTCCCATTGACCATATTTGTCTTTCTTCTCGACAATATAACCTGTTATTGGTGCGCCACCATCGGAGATGGGTGGAGTCCACTTGAGGTCAACATGATCTTTGTCCCAATCCGTAGCTTGGAGATTTCCTGGCTTACCAGGCTCATCTATAATAAGCAAATAATAAATTATGATTTCATTAGTGGAAAATAATCTTTGATGAAACTTCAGTAGTTTATTTTTTGTCAGATCCTTACCAAACGGATTCTTCGCGACGATGGTCTCTTCCGCGACCAAAGGTTCGGACTCGCCTTCAGCGTTAACAGCAGCAACACGGAATTTGTACTCCTTGCCAGGTGTCAGGCCGGTGACCTCGACATCTAAAAATAATAAAAACACATAAGCATTCAAACTCAAATATAAATAATGAAATATTGTAAGTGCTACTTGATGTTGTACATACTTGGTTCGGTGGATCTTGCACAGGGTATCCAGCATCCGGTTTCTGGATCCATCTTATCAACTTGGTAATATTCAATGGGAGTGCCACCATCATCTTTAGGACGTTTCCACTTGAGTTTGCAACCTTCCTTATGAACGTCGGATATTTGAAGAGGTCCTTCTGGTGCAGTAGGTTTGTCAGTCACAGTGACCTTGATCGTAACGGTATCCTTTCCGGAATTGTTGGTGGCAGTGACGATGTAGTCGCCACTATCACCACGTGCAACGGGACGGATCACGAGTTTGGTATTGTAATCAATATTATCAATCTGAATATTCTTTCCAGAGTGCAATGGAATCGCACCGTAGCGCCACTCGATGCTTGGTGGAGGTTCACCAATGACGTTAGCATCGAATTTAAGAGTGGCACCCGCAGATAGTGTAACGTCACGCAGATTACGTCGGTCAATCTTCGGAGCCAAAAAGCGTGGCTTGGCAGTAAAGGTCTTACTAGCCTCCCCTGGTTCCGATTGGCCGGCCTTGTTCAGAGCGATCACGCGGAACTGATAATCATTTCCTTCAATCAATCCATGAATCAAAGCTTGAGGCGTGGCGGTGTTGGTCTCCAGAGCTTTTTCCCACATGGAGCTATACTTGTCCTTCTTCTCGATGATGTACCCAGTGATTGGCGAACCGCCATCACTGACTGGTTCCTTCCAGATCAAGTCAACCTGGTTAGCGGTCCAGTCTGTTGGTTCTGGAGCTCCTGGTGCACTTGGTACAGCTGCACAAAGATAGATTCATAAATGAGATGAAGATCCAAAAATTAAATATGACATACGTATGTAAGTATAGAAAACACTTACTGAAGGGGTCCTTGGCGATGATGGATCCGAAGGTCTCCAGTGGTTCGGACTCGCCTTCCTTGTTCAGAGCCTTTACTCTGAATTTATATTCATGACCAGGTATCAAACCATCTACCTTCATCTCGGGGTTGGTGGTCTTGCCCACCGGAAGCCAGACTCCTGTATCCGGATCGAATTTCTCAACCAGGTAACCTTCGAGAGGTTCGCCTCCATCGTCCTTGGGTTTCTTCCACTTGAGGGTGCATCCATCCTTGTGGATGTCGGATACTTCCAGCGGTCCTTCAGGCTTGCTAGGCTTAGCTAGTTGAAAAAAGAAATTGGAACGTATTATTTTTACTAGACTTATGATAGTCCGATGTGCATAAATATTGAGTTTTGTGCTTACAGACGACGGTCACTTCGACCTCAGCAGTGTCGGAGCCATACTGATTGACAGCAGTGATTTTATAAACACCGGAATCCTTGCGTTCAGGTTTGTCATTGAAGAACTTGGTATTGTAAGGAACATTTTCCACTCTACGGTAGCTGGTCTGCTGGATACTCTTATTGTTAATGACCCAGGTGACGTCGGGTGCAGGTTCACCAATAACCTTGACATCAAAGTGGAAAGATTCACCCTCGCGAACAGTAAGGTCGCGCAGGTTCTTCCTATCGATCTTCGGCGGCACTGCAATTGAAACAAATAATTTTAATTGTTTTAAAAATTCAAGTAATTGTCAGTTAAATCTAAAGTGAGACACATACGTCTTCGACATTTCGCAACGACAGATTTGCTAGCATCGGAAGGTTCACCAGGTCCAGCAGCATTGACAGCCTTAACACGGAATTCGTACTCAACACCCTCATCAAGATTATCAGCCCGACCCTTGCACTCGGGTCCACTGATCTCTGCAGCCTTGAACCAACGTGGAGAACCTTTCTCGCGTTTTTCGATCACATAGCCAGTGATTGGAGATCCACCGTCCTTAGCAGGTGGAGTCCATCTGAGGTCAACGTGATCCTTGTCCCAGTCAGTAGCCTCCGGTCGTCCAGGTGCACCGGGTTCGTCTACATAAAAAAGAGGTAGATGAGTCCACATTCGTTAAAGAATTTTGTGCGGAATAAAAATGGGGGAAGTCATTTTTACCGAATGGATTCTTGGCGATGATGCCATGTTCAGTCTCTAGGGGTTCGGACTCGCCCTCAGCATTCACAGCCGCCACCCTGAACTTGTATTCCTGCCCAGGTACGAGATTTTCTATCTCCATATTGGGTTCCTTAGTGCGTCCTACAGGAATCCATCTTCCAGACTCGGTATCCATCTTCTCCACGACATAATGGTCGATCGGAGCACCGCCATCGTCCAATGGAGGATTCCACTTGAGCTTGCAGCCTTCCTTGTGTACATCGGAGACCTTAAGCGGTCCTTCCGGTGTGCCAGGTTTATCTAAGACAATGATCTCGATAGAGGCCTCATCCTTTCCAGAGCCATTTTCCGCCTTAAGAGTGAGGGTACCACAGTGGGCCCTAGTGGCTGAAGAGACAACGAACTTGGTCTTGTAGTCCTCTACCTCAATGGTCAAGCCGTCGCTGGACTCCTGCTTGGCCTTATTCAAGAACCAAGTCTTAGTTGGAGGAGGTTCACCACTGACTTTAACATCCAGACGAATATGATTTCCAGCTTTGATTGTAAGGTCTTTGAGAGTACTGCGATCGATCTTAGGTGCAGCATAACGATCCTTGGCCAAGAGGGTATCACTGGCTTCACTAGGTTTACTCTCCCCACCCTTATTAACAGCCTTTACACGGAACTGATATTTCTGACCTTCAACGAGGTCAGCGACTTTACCCTCTGTTTTGTTTCCAGGAACTTCAGCGGCCTTCTGCCACTTTCCATATTGGTCCTTCTTCTCGATGATATACTTCTCAATGGGTGCGCCACCGTTATCTTTTGGCGCTGTCCATTTTAGATCCACGTGGTTTCTGTCCCAGTCTTTGAGTTCTGGTTTACCAGGAGCGTCCGGTGCAGAGTATGGATTCTTAGCAGTGGTTGGAATAGTCGTCTCCAAAGGTTCGGACTCTCCCTCGTTATTAACGGCCTTCACTCGGAACTGATAATCCTTGCCCTCGTTCAGACCACTAACGTCCGCTTCCGGTGTCTTACTGGTACCACATGGCACCCAGCGACCGGTCTCAGTGTCCATACGCTCAATGAGGTAATGATCTATAGGTTCACCACCATCATCCTCTGGTTTATCCCATTTTAGTTTGCATCCTTCTGCAGTCACGTCGGACACTTGCAGTGGTCCCTTTGGCTTGCTTGGTTTGCTCAACACCTAAACATAAATAATATAATATAGATATAAACAACATTTACCTTAGTAAGAAAATAATGAGTTATTATTTGGTACCTGTATCTCTACATCGACCTGGTCAGTTCCACTGTCATTCTGAGCAATAACAGTGTAGGTACCAGTATCAATCCTCTTCAATTTACTGAAGATGAAGGTGGTGTGGTAATCTTCATTCTCAATCTTCAACCGATCCATAGACTTAAGAATCGTATCCTTGAGTTTCCACGTAACTTTAGGTGCAGGTTCACCCTTAATATCAGCTTCGATTCTGAGCATTTGTCCGACTCGCATCACCTTCTTTTGGAGGTTCTTACGGTCGATGCGTGGAGCAACTGTTGAAGGAGAAGAAATTTATCGTAATGGTATAATTATTAAAAACATTATATACTCTGTTTGTAATAATAAGAAACCGTATACTCACGGAATCGTGGTTTGGCGATAACACTCTTTGAAGTGTCACTAGGTTCTCCAGGTCCAGCTTTGTTAACAGCAACGATACGGAACTCGTATTCGTGTCCTTCTTCGATACCATCGGTAACCTTGGCCGCGGTACGATCTCCAGGAACCTTAGCAGCGTCAACCCACTGTCTGCCCTCCTTGTCGCGCATCTGTACGATGTACTTCTCAATTGGAGCACCTCCATCATCGACAGGTGGGGTCCATTCGAGATCTACGAAGTCCTTGTCCCAGTTTTTGAGTTCAGGACGGCCAGGTTTTCCAGGTTCATCTGCAAGAGTCACAAGGATAATGAATTTATAGAACTGATAAATACATATAGATAAATCTATCCGTATATATGTTTCAAAATAGTACCGAAGGGATTCTTGGCGATGATGGACTTGTCTGCCTCAAGATCTTCAGATTCGCCTTCCTTGTTGACTGCCTTCACACGGAATTTGTAAGGTTTGCCTTCCTGAAGCCCAGTGATGTTTGCTTCAGGTTCCGTGGACCTACCACAGGGTACCCATTGCCCGGATAGAGGATCCAGTTTTTCAATTTCATAGTACTCGACAGGAGTACCACCATCGTCCTCCGGTTTCTTCCATTTAAGCTTGCATCCATGTTTGGTAACGTCGGATACTTCCAATGGACCCTTTGGCTTGCTTGGTTTGCCAAGAACAGTGATTTCAACTTCGGCTGTATCTTCGCCGACCTCGTTCTTGGCCGTGACAACATATTTGCCAGTGAGTGCGCGCTTCGCCTTCAAGATGAAGAACTTGGTATTGTAATCCACGTTATCAATGCGGATGACATTGTCTGAGACAACTTCCTTGTCCTTGAAAGTCCAGGTAACAGTAGGTGCTGGTTCGCCGATAATGTTGACATCAAGGGTCAACGTAAGACCAGCCTTAACGGTTACGGGTTGAAGGTTGGTACGATCGATGTATGGTTTCACTGCAATTGAATCCATCGTTCAATTAATAAATGATGAGTAACTGATTAAAAGGATCATTATTTTAATTAACTATTAACACTCACGGTAACGGGCCTTGGCAGTATGCGGATTGGTAGCTTCACTAGGTTCTCCAGGACCAGCTTTGTTGACAGCCTTCACACGGAATTGGTACTGATTGCCTTCTTGAAGTTTGGGTACGATACCACTACAGGTAGGACCTTCAATTTCAGCAGCTTTTACGAAATTTGTACCGAACTTGTCCTTCATTTCAATGATGTATCCAGTGATTGGTGCACCACCATCCCTAATGGGCGGTTCCCACTTAAGCTTGACCATGTTCTCCGACCAGTCTACAATTTCCGGTAGACCTGGTGCTGCTGGTGCATCTGTATGATGAAAAAAAAAAAATTCATGAAGTAATCATTAAAACAAGGAACTTAATGACTTAGAAATAGATAGCCTACCATATGGGTTCTTTGCCAAGATGGCGGTGTCTGTCTGTAATGGCTCAGATTCACCCTCTTCATTGACAGCCTTGACACGGAATTCATATTTCTTGCCAGGTTCCAGACCAGTGATGGCATGTTCAGTCTTTTCAGGATCAACGAAACCAGCAGGTACCCAACGACCAGTCGTGGTATCCATCTTCTCGACAACGTAACTGGTCAATGGTAGACCACCATCATCCTTTGGTTTCTTCCACTTGAGCTTGCAGCCTTCCTTGTGGACGTCAGTTACTTCCAGAGGTCCTTCCGGTTTGCCGGGTTTGTCTATAAGATATAAAGATATAATATTTCCATTGTTACGTTATAAATTCAAATTTATGTATAAAACTTCCTAGTGATATGAATACTGACCAAGGATAATAATTTCTACGTCGGCCTCATCCTGACCAGAATCATTGACGGCCTTGATGGTATATTTGCCAGTAGCTTTGCGGCTAGTATTTGAAAGTTGAATCTTGGTGTTATAGTCCTCGTTGTCAATTTTGACATTGGCACTTGTTTCAAGGACTTTTCCAGCAAAGCTCCAGGTGATGGTTGGAGGAGGTTCACCCTTAACGTCAACATCCAATTTCACCAATTGACCAGCTCTTACCTTAACCGTCTGAAGTTTTTCGCGGTTAATGTGTGGCTTGACTGTTCAAGTAAATACAAAAAAAAATGTTATTTTCCTTATATAATTATATTTATATTTATCTCAAATTTGTAATACTCACGGAATCGAGCCTTGGCAACATGCGGTTTGGTTGGATCACTAGGTTCAGATGTTCCAGCCTTATTAACAGCTCTTACACGGAATTGGTAAGTAGAACCTTCCTTAAGACCAGGAACACGTGCTTTTGGATTCGGGGAATCTGTCACTAAAGCTTCTTCCCAGTGACTAGTAAATTTCTCTTTCTTCTCAATGACATAACCAGTGATTGGTGCTCCACCATTGTTTTTTGGTGGTTCCCACTTGAGATCCACGCGATCCACATCCCAGTCCTCGAATTCAGGTGTTCCTGGCTTGCTCGAGATATCTGTGAGAAATATCGTTAATATCGATCAACTACATATTAAGAAAAATAAGAAATAAAATAAGAGTAACAAAAAGGGATTGATACCATAAGGATTCTTGGCGACAATGGCACCATCGGTTGTCAATGGTTCGGATTCTCCTTCCTCATTCAGTGCCTTCACTCTGAACTCGTACTCATGGCCATCCTGAAGACCCTTGATTTCCATCTCTGGTTCTGTGGTACGTCCAACAGGAACCCAACGACCAGTAGATTTGTCGAGCTTCTCAACCGCGTATCCGGTGATGGGTTTACCGCCATCGTCTTCGGGTTTCTCCCACTTGACTTTACATCCGTTTTTAGTGACGTCTGATACTTTCAAAGGACCCTTTGGTTTTCCAGGTGCAGCTACAAAAGACGTAGACATATAAATTATTTATTCACCTCAAGACAAAAATTTAAGAAATATATAATACTTACAAAGAACAGTGACTTCAACTTCCGCCTCGTCCTCACCGTGAGCATTCACTGCCCGAATTTTCCAGACACCAGTGTTCTTTCTGACAGAGTCTGTAATGCTGATTTTAGTGTTGTAATCAACATTAATGATTTCAACATTTCCACCGGACTTGACTTCAGTATTTGCGTGAATCCAGGTAATCTCTGGAGGTGGTTCACCACGTACATCAACATCGTACTTGATAGGCTTGCCAGCCCTGACAATAATCGGTTTCAAGTTCGTGCGGTCGATCCTTGGTTTAACTGTAAGAAAGAATCATATAGCTTTCCGTGAAATCAGTCATTAATAATCAATAACAATTCAAAAATATTCAGACACTTACGTGCTTTGTGTTTGCAGATCTGCATCTTGGATGCGTCAGATGGTTGTGAAGGTCCAGCCTTGTTCACGGCGATAACTCTGAATTGATATTCTCCACGTTCTTTAAGATCAGGTACTTTAGCCGCCAATTCATTTCCGGGAACCTCGATAGCTTTCTCCCAATCAGGCTTGTATCGATCTTTCTTCTCGATGATGTACTTTTCAATTGGAGCACCTCCATCGTGCTCAGGTGCAGTCCATTTAAGACTGACGGATTCGTTATCATAATCGGTGATTTCAGGGGTTCCGGGTTTAAGTGGTTCATCTACAGAATCACATCGTGTGACTTGGATACTAGTACTCTAAAGGTTACTATTTCTTATAATATTAGTTAGACTTACCGTAAGGATTCTTGGCGATGACTCCCCGCTCGCTCTCGAGCGGCTCCGAATCACCTTCATCATTAATGGCAGTCACTCGGAATTTGTATTCGCTTCCAGGATTTAATCCAGTAATATCCAATTCGGTTTTTGGAGAATTTCCAGGTATCTTGCCAACCCTGACCCATTTTCCTGTCTTTGTGTCCATCTTTTCCACCTCATACTCTTTGATCGGGGATCCACCATCGTCTTCTGGTTTCTCCCATTTGACCTTGGCGGTAGTGTTTGTCACATCGGATACTACCAATGGTCCTTTAGGTGCGCTTGGTTTTCCTGAAAATTTAGAAAAATTTTCACGTTAATTTTGTGTTTCTTACCTATATTGTAGATAATGTATACTTACCAAGAACAGTAAGCTCAACAGTTTCTTCGTCCTTGCCATTAGCATTTTCAGCTATTAGAGTGTATTTTCCGGTATCTTTTCTTACTGCATTAATGATCGTGAAATCAGTATGATAGTCAACATTCTCAATCTTAATGCGTTCGGTATTTGTCAAGGGGATGTTGTCTCTCCAGACCCATTTAAGTTCAGGAGCAGGTTCGCCGCTTACGTCAACTGCCCACTTATGAGTACGTCCAGCCTTGATTATAATAGACTTCAACGTGCTACGGTCGATTCTTGGTTTCACTAAAAAATTATGGAAAAAATAATTTTATATCTTTCTATATCATTTTGTATCTTTTAATATTTTATATTTTATATAATTTTATATCTTTCTATATCAATGAGTTCCTTTCTATATATTGATATTATAAATGATTTTAGACTTACGGTTCTTGTGTTTGCAGAGATGGTTGTCAGTAGCCTCACTAGGTTCGGATGGACCAGCCTTATTATGAGCTCTGACACGGAATTGGTAAATCATCTTCTCCTTGAGACCTTCGACCTTAGCCTCAGGAGTAGGATCAGAAGTCTTGGCGACTTCGATCCAATCAGGTGAGAATTTGTCCTTCATCTCTACGGTGTAATGTGTTATTGGACGACCTCCATCGTTTTCAGGTTTGACCCACTTCAGGGATACGCTGACATTGTCGTAGTCAAATATTTCAGGTTTGCTAGGTTTACCAGGCTCATCTGATAAAAATTGTTAAAAGTTATTAATACAACAAATAATTGTATATCATTTTAGAGGGAACCGTCCTCACCATATGGATTCTTAGCGACGATGGCCTCATCGGTTTCAAGAGGTTCAGATTCGCCCTCCTTGTTAACAGCCTTGACACGGAACTTGTACTTCTTTTTGGGAGTCAAACCCTGGAATGTGAAGGAGTCCTCGTTAGGACCCACTTCTCCTGCCGGAATCCACCGTCCGGTGTCCATGTCCATCTTCTCCAAAACGTATCCTGTGAGGTCGGAACCACCATTATCCGCAGGTCTTTGCCATTTAACTTTGACATGATCAGAGCGAACTTCCTCGACCTTGAGTGGACCAGTTGGGGATGCTGGTTTATCTGAAAGAAACAATCAAACGAGTTAGGTTATTTATGATATATGAATGTTAAAATTTAATATTTAACAAATATTTACCGAGTACGACGACGTCAGCTATACTTTCACAAGTACCAGAGCCGTTTGTCAATACCAATTTGTATTTTCCAGAATCAGGCCTGGTTGTTTTCCTTACAGTAAGAACAGTATTCCGTTCGTACTTGTCAATGGTGAGTCTCTCGGCAGCATCTTGAACGAGTTCTTTTTCTCCCAGGAACCAGTGTACCTCAGGTTCGGGTTCACCACCATACTTGATATCGTACTTGATGACTTGTCCCTTTTTAACAATCAGATTCGTCAATTGATCGCCAATGATGTATGGTTTCACGAAGCGAGATTTGGCGATTATGGGTTTGGTAGCATCGGATGGTTCACCAGGTCCAGCCTTGTTTACAGCCCGGATGCGGAACTCATATTGAGTTCCCTCCTTAAGTCCATCGATGGTAGCTTGAGTGATGTCGCCTTCGATTTCTTTACCTTTGACCCATTCCTTGCCGAACTTCTCTTTGTACTCAATAACGTAACCGGTGATGGGTGCGCCACCATCGTTCTCGGGTTTGGTCCACTTCAGATCTGCATGATCCTTGTCCCAGTCTGTGACCTCCACGTTTCCAGGTTTTCCAGGTTCGTCTGCATATTAGAAATTTATTAGAAAAAATTTCCTTTCACTAATTTGAGAGTGAAAAACGATCAACGAAATTTCATCTTACCCCAAGGATCTTTAGCCAAGACTGGTTTGGCGAATAGTGCTGGTTCGCTGGAGCCAAGCTTGTTCACAGCACGGATGCGAAATTTGTACTCCTTTTTAGGGATAAGATCTTCCACCTTGTAGACGTATTTCTCTCCAGGCTTGACCTCACCTACGTTATCCCATTGCGACTTGAGGCTCATATCCAAACGCTCGATTACATACATGGTGATCGGAGAACCACCATCGTCCTTCGAAGGTTTGAACGAAACCACGCAAGAGGTCTGGAAGATGTCAGTGACATTGACATCATTTGGTGGAGACGGAACGTCTGAAATATAAAGATTATACGTGATTAACGAAAAGTTTTAGAAGAAATGCCTTAAAAAACAGGAAAACAAACATTATAATAGTACCTTGCATAACAATGTTGACATCTTTGATCTCCTCCCCTTGAGCATTTCCAATTTTAACTTGGTAAACGCCAGATTGGTCGCGCTGTGGCTTTTTAATTTTGTACGTCACCTTGTCCTCGCCGACAATTACCTCAACGTCCTTGAGAGGAAGTGGCTTACCATCCTTGAGCAATTTGGCTTCTACCGGAGTCTGCTTAGTTCCGTCGACTAAAATATTTAACAATTATAATAATGAAGCTAATAATCATTTAAAATAAAATTAATATCCTAAACTGCGAGGATATCCCTACTTTTGAATGGCACGACGAAAACGATGGGTGCACTGCAAGGTCCTTCGACCTTGTCCGGTATTTCAACAATTGGCTTGCTCTCTCCTTTCTTCACGGTAAGTTTGCAGGAGCTCTTGAGTTCTCCACTCTCGCAAGTGATCTCGCCATCGTCTTCCATCTCCAACTTGTTGAAGACCAGTTGATGTTTACCACCACCAAGATTCTTAATCTCGACCCTCTCATTGGGCACGATAGGTTGACCATTGAAAAGCCAATTGGCCGCAGCCGTTTGATCTTCAAGCTCAACATCAAGAACCAGCTTCTCACGTTCCACAGCCACGGTATCCTTGAGCTTCTTGTTGAAGCGATTGAGATCTAAAAATGTAATTGAAATAAATGAGCATCTCATTAATAAATATCACAATTTTTTACTTACAGTTAACAACGAGTTCGGCCTCTGTTTTATCAGCATTGCTCACACAAGAGTAAAGACCAGCGTCAGTAACTTTGGCATCTTTGATAATAAGTTTCCTCTTGCGACCCTCCTCCTTCACTTGTACCCTAATAATACAATTAATGGAATTATGAATACAACAATCCATAGGACGAAAAATTTGTACATCAATTTTCTTCTATAAATCATTAAATCTTTACCTCTTGTCAGGAACGATTTCTTGATCGCCCTTAAACCATTTCACCTCGCCGCCAACATCATCGAGCTCGCATAGTAAAGTGACCGTCTCCTTCTCAACTAATTGTTGATGTTTCAGAACTTTGACGAACTTGTATGGGTACTCTGCAGAGAGGTACGATATTATTATTATTATAGCAATCCAATAATTCATTCACTAAAGTCTTATCAAAGTACTCACCAACAATAGTAAGAACCGTTTCTGTCTTGTCCGTCTGTTTATTTATCTTACAGGAATATTCGCCGCTATCCTCAAGCGTTGCACTTTTAATACTAAGCCTGCAGACCCCAGACATATCCTTTGATATGCTGTAGATGTCACCGTCCTATGAAAATACATTGATCCTTAATAATCTCGATTAATCAATCCAATTACTAAATAAGTTATAACAGATTATTCTTACCTCAAGCTTAGTTTTACCCTTGTACCATGACACCTGTGCAAGATTGGAACTGACTGTACATTCCATGTATGCCTCGTGTTTAGTAAATCCACTGGTTTTCTTGGACAATGGTTTTGTGAAGGTGTAAGATGGGTCAGGTTCTATAAGTGTATTATAAGTTGATGAAAGATTTTTTAATTAGAAGATTAACATTGATGTCTAAAAAATAATTCCAGTACCGTCGACGTTGAGGAAAGCTGTGGAAGATACACCATTGATATCGATCGTGTACTTTGCGGTATCATCCACTTTGGGACCCACGATGATGAGCTGGTAGGAGTCGTCCTCGTTCTTGAACTTGTATTTCGCTGATGCGAACAATTCCTACGGATGCATTTATGAAGATTATAAATTAGTATGGTATTAAATTGTAATTAATCCAAAACTTTCCACAGTTCCATTCATTCTTCGTGGTCGCATGCTTGGAAAAAAAATGTATTACCTATATACTGTTATTATTAGCAATTCGTAGTCTTTTTCAATACTCACGTCTTTGCGGCAGAACCATTTTGGCTTACAGTTGGGCTTGCTGAAGTTGGCTTCGAAAACGACCTTCTTGTCTTTACCCTCTTTGGCGTATTGGTCTACCAGCGGCTTCAGGAAAGTCTCCGATTTCTACGCGCGGAAAAGAAAAGACATCGATTAGTTTCCGATTATAGCTACGGCGAACTCGCTCGAGACAATATCCCGTGCGACAAGTGTCAGTTCTGCATAAAAAAAATTCGCCAAAAAGTTTCAGCCACGATACGCGCGTGAAAAACGCAAAAGTACCTCCTCGAGGGATAACTGGAGGAAATAGAAAATACGCTGAAAGATCGTGTGAAAGAAAATTTGAAAAATGGAAAAAGAAAAGCAAAATCGAAAAATTGCGATTTCCAAGAAATTTAAGGTCTATGCATGCTCGATGCTGTTAGACAAGTCGAAGTGATTGCGAAAGTTTTACGGATAGAGCGAAAGAAGTTTTTTTTGCGGCGTTGCTGCAAAATTCTCAAAAAAAAAATACCCCATAAATATCTTCAAAGAGGCCACGTAAAAATGTCCAACGAAAAATAAAAACTGTCACGTAATGCGTACAGAAACGATAACAACATCGAAGTACGACGAAGAGACTTTAGAGATCCCAGATCGATAGAAGTCCATATGCAATAACTTAAAACCAATCTCTGATTGTGACGTCACGTAACTCAAATTTTCTCTCGGTACCTCAAACACTCTGGGATCCCCAAAAAGTGTGAAGAAATACTAAAGACGTCAATAAAAGAAGAAATTAAATATGTGAATCGGAAAGTGAAGAACAGTCGGACAAAGAGAAAGAAGATTTTCAAAGAAACATTTTTGATCAAAGTGATCTAATTATCGCATGAGCATCGTGAAATGGCGCACGACAAAATGGCGGATTGGTTAATCCATGATCGAAAATGACGCAATAGAACATACGTATAATAAATAATAGACCGAAGAAGTATAAACGGCATACAATAAATAAAAGAAGAGGTGCGGATGAGCGTGGATGCTGTAAGATCCGAGAGGTGCAACGAGAGAATGATATGAGATAAAAATAAAAAGAGAGTAAAGACCAAAAGAACGATTTAATGTAACGAGAATGCACAGATAAATAGAGAAGACAGAAGTCACTTGTGAACGTCTGAAGTAAATCTAGACCGTGAACCGGTGAGTCGACGAACCTCCACGTTGCAGGAGGGATGCAGGACCGGCCAGTCGGGAATAATTTCGGCCAGCGATAGCCTACGCGATGCACTAAACTAGAAATAATAAACGCGTCCACGATAACATCCCGATCGGCAATACAAATTTCGCGCATTTCGATCTGGCCTGTACACCATTAAGTAAGTTCGATAAGTACGAACAAACTTAATGAAGACAAAAACAAAAGTTTCGTTGCAATTTTATCTTCTACTCGCAATTACCATATAAGATACTGGACAAACAAACACAATAAAGTGTCACGTGACATCACGAGATAAGAGAAATGAATCAGCAACGACACTTTGCTCCTTGAATTCATTGCTCGATAATACCAAAATTACATAAAATTGACAACAATGACACGACATTGAAAAAAACAAAATCCGAGACAATAACTTCTCCGAACAACAAGGCAAAGGTATTATCCCCATGCAGCCTAAGGGGAGGTCTGGTAAGCCCGTAAAGACAAAAGCAACAGAACAACAAAAGCAACAAGGCAACAGTGCTGGAAGCGTCATTAAATCCGTATACAAATATGTAAACAAAAATTAGTACAAAAAAAAACAGACTTTGACATGGTAAGATTAGAAATTGACATATTGGGCATTTGCATTGCATACTCTTTCCCTCTTTCTCGTCAGCGACGATACTTGCATCAGCCCATCACTTATCGTTTCATATGGTGGCTTTTTCATCAGACTGATTTCCTCGAAGGATATTTTTTTCTTTTTTTTCCTTTCTATTTAATATACTTTAGTCATGTCGTTTATTATCCGTGTTAGATAAGGAGTCTTTCCTGGATTGCTGAATGCCACTGGCACGCTTGAGATATCAGCATGAGGTGCATATGCGATTTGGAAATTATTTATCAGGATCCAAAAACAACATTTTTTGGATACGTCTGGGCATTGGGTTTTCAGAAATCTTCAATCTGACATTTGGACATTGGGATACAAAGGCTGCTTCTGCTTAGGCTTGAATCGAACGAATTCTAATCTGATTTTAAATCGAACCTTCTCTTTGGGACGGACCAATAGCTTGGGCCAGTCGTCAATTAGCTCCTGCAAACTCGGCTTACGCTGGATGTCGAAGACGTCCTACATGCCCGACACACACATAACAGGTTAGGTGGGAACTCAAGTCCCCGTTTTTAAGGGCTCGTTCCTACCGAACCGCCATCGCCAAAGAAATTTATTCTTAGTGGAGAGTGTCGTTAAGAGATAGAAGATAATTCGTCGATTCGATAAATTTTTTTTTCATTTTTCTTTTTCTTTACTTTTTTTCAACGACACTTTCGCAATGGTCAACCCGGTAGGACGAGTTTGAATTTTTACTGCGAATCGCTTTTTTTCTTTTTTTTACTTATAGGTAATGCTTGCTTTTTTAATATTTCTTTATTTACGAGCACTCAGCATATATACGTATTTATATACAAGCGTTAGACACATGTAGGCATATATGCGTGAGTGCCTAGCTTATTTTTTTTTTTATTTTCGACTCGGTATCGATTGATTACTGAAGAGCGAAACGGATGGGCGATTTTTGATAGGAATTCTTGGCCAATTGATAATTATGATTATTAATGTTAACTTACTGAGGACACTACTAATTACTAAGCGTACATAGCCTACTGATAACTGTTCAATGTAAAGGTACTACGAAATGTATTGGGTCAACTACGTTTAGGCGCGGATGTCAGAGCTATCGAAGGACTCAGTCTTTTCCGCCCGATTCGAGAGAAATAAAGTTCAAAAAAAAAAAATTATCAGCTTCGAAAATTTTCCAAATAAATTTTCATATTTTATTACTTTCGAAATTGACTTTTCAATTTAAAAAAAAAAAAAAAAAAATTAATAAGACCGAGCCATCCGTCTGGCCGTCCGTACACTATTGAAATTCAAGCGAAGCATTATCTGTAAGTACGAATGTACAAAATGATAAAATGATAACGAGTAGCTTTGATTAGTGACGGATTAACGGATTCGGATAGTACGACAGGAGCGCGTGAATTTTATGAAAGTTGAAAAAAAAAGAAGTTAAGAATTGACATTAAACGAAATGAAGAAAGTAACAAAAAAAATAACGAACCTACCATAATTTTATAACGGTTTACTGCAATGCGCTGCAACGAAGCGCAATCCAATGCAGTTGAAATTCTACACGGTGACAATAAAAATTCGTACATATGTCTCACCGAGCTCATGCCGTTCGGGAGTAGGTCAAAGGTCACGGGTAAAAAATATTTACTTCCGCTACTGAAGATGAGCCTCCATCGATGGCCCAGAATAGAAAGAAATAAAGATACGAATGATCGCGAAGATTCTGTTAGAATTTCTAAAAGTCCAATTATCACGAGGACTCGAGTTTTCTTTGTCTACGTTACGAATGTTGAGATAATTATTTGACAATGGGTACAGATTATAATATTACCTAATGCTCTCCTGATATAACGGGCGTGAATTTAAACGAGAACAAAGGAATAAAAAATTTAAAAAAAAAGTATAGAAAAAAGAAAAATTATTCAAATAGAGTACGAACAGTCTACCTATACATATCGTAATATGCCACAAGTATATAAAAACCTGCATCCCACCGATCCAGTGCACTGTCTATTAATGGAGTATCAAAGCAGCCAAGAAACGCGAAGATCCTCCCAAAGTAGAATCCTGATAGTGATCTGAGATGAAAGTCCCAATGGGATATCGGCACCGTAAAGTCGTCCGTATCCACAAGACTATTTTCCTTCCTTTCGTCTTCGTGAATTTCTCTATCACATCAACTGTCACTTTCGTTCTTAATTAAAGAAAATAATAAAAATAACAAGGCGGATACGTAGACAAGCGTCAGAATATTTGAATTTTAATAATTGTAAAATTTAGGATATCTCATTCTGTCGCTGACATACGAAACGGCCTTAATTCTTATAAATACACCCCCGGTCGCCTTAGGTGGGTAGATCGGTATGTCCCCGAATCTCGAGGTTGTACGTGTTGTTCAGGCTTGTATGATCGAGAGGCAAATAAAAGCTCAAAAAGCTCACATCGCACTGCAACTCAATGACGCTTAGTAACGAGACGGCACAATAAACGTAAACACGTAACACGAGCCAAAACAGAAGGACCACGTGTAATTAGGACACTGTATTGACAAGGAGCAAAACCCATATGAAACACGATATGCACACTGGCCAATCATACGTAACGTCTTGTCTCAAGCTCAGAAGAGTTTGCGATCATCGCGATTCTGATCGAGATACTTGATAGAGATCTAGATAGATGTCAAAAAAAAAGGCGAAAAATATGAACAGTAGAAACAGACTGTGAAGCTACGAAATTGAGAATTCAATTGCGACAGTAGGGCACGTCATGGAGACTCATCGTTATGTAGCTCGTCGCTTTAAAAATGTCCCGATAAGGGCTCGTGATTGTTCAATAAGACTATGTACCAATAAGCTTCGATTTGTCGCAATAAAGTCGAAGGACTCTGCGGAGAGTTTTTGGGATGATTAATTAGTATAATGATTTTTTAAATCTTTCATAAGCCTCTCTGCAATTTCCACGAAGTCACGAGGGACACCGATAATTTAAATGACACGTGTAAATCACAAAATCATCCCGTTTCCAAATACCAAAGCATGGCTGACGATAATGACTTATTTCGTATAACTCAATATCTCATAATGAATTCGAGAAAATTGTAGAGGGCGTTGTATTTATCTGTTGACTTTAAGTTGGGGTTGTTTGAAACCTTTAGCCAGCTCCAGTTGGCCTGCTCTTTCTTGTCTAGGGATACTCGACAGATCTCCTCTCCGTCAGCCACGATCACTATTTCATCTTCATCCTGGTACCAGCCGGTCTCGAATCCTTCTGAGTCTATCAGCGGCTACGAAGAGATCTCATGCTAAAGGTGCGCGAAGTTACCCGACGATGATCTTCAGGTTAATCGTCGTCGAGTAAGGACCCACGAAACTTGCAAGCCTAACGATACTTCCGAAGTGACCAGACACAGGCCTGAACTCTCTGTTAGTCGCTGACTGAACCGAACCAGACTAAGCTGTTGACGAGCTAGCGAAAAATTTAGAAATTTTGTTTAAAAAATACGATGTCATTACTTTTCTCGGATCATCTGGTCTCTCCTGTGAGAACGAGACGTTACGTCGTTACGTCGGTAGATCGATACACCTGTTGAAAATATGTAGGACGTGCCGCGGTTCTCATCGCGGCCATGTTAGTCACGTGCGTATCTCATCCACATATTACATCGCTCTATATACAGCATATACAAAATATACATATTTACATACATCGAATCACGTACACAAGGTGCAACGATTATCACAACCAAGACAATGTTTATAAAGGTCGATCGTGAAAACGAGCGAACTTTTTTCATTTTACCTGTCGTCACTTCACGTTCCCGAACAGACTATTTGAAAATCTCTCGAATATCGAGAAATCGCGTCAGCTATATTGTCACCTAGATGTCAAAGAATACCATGAATCACGTACCTTCTCGACTTTCTTCAGAGCTGGCATGGGTTTCTCCACCTCCTTCAGGTCCACCTTCTCCTGATCGGCATCCTCCCTTGCCCACTTTTGGTACTTCCTCTTCTTCAGCATAGCCCTGAAGTCCATACCGCTGGCATCTATTTAGGAATATTAAATTGTTATAGGAAAACGTTGATTCGCATTTACAATGCTTTGCCTTATAAGATTCTTACCAGACACGTAAAGCTGCATCTCGGCAGAGTCTTCGCCATGGATGTTGCTCACGACGATCTTGTAGGTACCCTCGTCGTTGGGTTTCGTCTTCCTCATACAGAGGGTGATCGTGTTGGTCTCCGAGTCCGTGAGGAACTTGAACCTACCTCCCTCAATGATTTCGGTAATACCCTTGTAGAACTTGAAGGTTGGTGCAGGATTACCCTCAACGGCGACGGTGAGGTAAGCCGTAGAATCTGACGAAAATTTAAAAACAATCTTGAGTCTACGACAAGACTATCTGATATTTAACATTAGCTAGTTAAAGTACCTTCCACGGCGGTGTAAGTCTCCTGCACATCGACAATTTGAGGTGGTCCACCTGGTCCGACATCGCGAAGAGGTGTGCTGGGCTGGTTGATTTTATTTTCCAAGTCCGCCACGCTGGGTCTCCTGACGTCCGCGCTGGGACGACGCCGCTGTGAAGAATAAACGTTCAAGAACCCCTCTCCGGGAATTTCAAAAAATCTCGAAGTGAACGATCTCAACGACCCTTATAATCACCTACCTGGACTATCTCAGCCAGACTTACCAATTCATGTTAACCTCTATGTCGAATTCTTCGAAATAAAGAACCGTCGTTTTAATGTAATCCAACATATCGCATCGTTCACTCGAGATTATCATTTGAAATGAGTTTAGTAACGGTTTACTAGTGTTTGAGGGTTACTAAATTAGCACCGATTATCAAACCAAACAGTTAGACACAAATTAGTAGGCTCGGCGTGCAGTTAGCACGTACTATTCAGCAGATATTCAGGTTTGGCCGGTCCGATTCCGTCGTTCCGTCATTCTCTACAGAACGGAATGACAGAATCGACTGAGCGACTTATCGAAGGATCTTCCGATTCGATTAAAATCGATCGCGAGCTTTGCGAAGAAGTCCCTTGAAACATAGAGTGTTAGGAAACATACAGGACATGTTATAAAGACAATAGGAGACACAGGATAGAGATAACGTCCTGGAGTTTGTGTATCTGGTGTATTGATAAAGGTTATGTTTTAATGTTGTCTGAGGATATATTTATATATACATGTGGGGTATATGGTTTATGATAGTCGTCATAAAGGAAACGTAACATATGACAATGAACACGTATAGTGGAAAATTGATTGTACGAATATCAATAAAGAAATGTATAATGGCGTTGTTAGGTAGCGCAAGCTGATTCATGGTGGATAAGGACGAAGAGGTTTTTGTGACGATATAAACGACTACTCGACTACTCTGCACGAGCTAAACTATAAATTATTCCAGTTTGTTGCGTTACCACGAGGAAGAGAGGTTCATATCTGAAAGTAGTTATGTAGTGTTACCAAGAAGTGTGAGTCGCGGACATCTGAAAAGAGGATGTATACGTTATTCACGTACTGCGCAGTTTACAGCTTTCAAGATGGCCGTTTTGTACACGTCGATCAATCAAATGTCAGACTATTCTACGTGCTCAGGATTATTTACAGGTACAGATTTTCTATTTACATGACGATCCCCTTTACAGGGAACGAAAAATAATTATAACATATAATTAACAGATTTAAGCCGATATCCAAAGATCCTATACAGTTTTTGTGTTACTTCTACTCTGTTTCTAGGATTATTTACAAGATGTCTTAGGAATGTATATACATGGCCTATCGATACGAGACAGAATTTTAAAGAAGACGAAGGAAACACTGGATAAAATGACGTTGGTCATTTTTCATCTCAGTGAATTTCATCCATATTTCAAATAACGTCGTGCATCGAATCGGTATGAGGATCGAATGATTCTACGTGTAAAACTATTTGGATAGATATATGTGTGAGCACGAAGGTACTATGTACACGCGATGTATTTACATGAATGTTCTATATATACACGTAATGAATTATCTTTTGCTAACTAAACACGCTGTACACAGAAAACAATCGGAAAAGATGTGTACAGTGGCTAACCTGCTTCTCAGACTGTAGTTCGCCAGGGCGGCTGGATTTAATCTGTTTGTCAAAAAAAGAAAATAAAATGATAGAGGTAAAGTGTTGTCAAGGTTCAATTGGGACGATTAACTGGAATTTATTGGCATTATAAAGTAACCATGGCATGGAATAATTGATTAAACCCTGACGACGTTACTGGATATAATGGAGATGGAATCGACAGCAGCAGCAGCAGCAGCTCCAAAAAATATTAGCTAAAAATAATATAATTATTATTATCAGTGTATTTCGTTCACGTCGTGGTCATGGATTTCGTCTTTTGGAATGGAACTGATTATGGTTCTTATTAATGATTGCTAAGCGGTCGAACGTTTGAACGATGACGTATCGCAACAACGTCATTGTCGCACGTTGACTAGGCCACGTGTTTTTTTGTAATAAATGCTTCGTGTGAGATAAATTCGATAATTAAAATCAGTGAGAGCGAAAATAGAAGAGAGGCAGTGGCAAGAAAAAAAGAGAGATGAAGAAAAAAAAATAGTACAGCAAGAATAAAATACATTAAAGGGGACTCGAATGAAAGATGGATGATTATATTAATTGAGAGGCCAAAAAAAATAAGTAAAATCATGTGGAAAAAAGTAAACTGTGAAAATGAACGCAAATAGGGTAGAAGAAAAGTAGCAGATAATGATTTTTTGTCAGGTAAGCTTTGTGTTATAGCGAACACAAATCTCACCTTGGCGTCTAACACCTCGCCGGGCCGTAATTTTCCCACCTGCACAAAATCACAGAGACGAGCGTCAGCTTTCTTATGTTTTTCAATACTCTCATTTCTCTCGCAAATAATCGACATGGGCATTTCACTTTTAATAAATACGAATTTTCCATATTCTTAAGGTCTGGCAGCCAATCACTCCGCTCTTGTGGCAGTGAGAGAAAAAATTCAAAAATCGTACGCGATCGCTTGACGATCAACACGATCCTTTTTATCTTAAAGCAATAACGAATATGCGCCTCTATGGGAGGAAACGAGACTTGTATAATATTGTCATATGAATCGGAAATTATTTTAAAATGATTCAATGACTCGTCCGTGAGTCGAGCGAATGGGATTTTGAATTTTTGGATTTAAGGATAGACAGTCACACAGGGGTGGCAGTGTTTATAGGGTAGACGATTTTCTGGTGCTCGCAACAACAATACCGTTCGACAGTGCAATTATACGAGTACATATCCTGCCCTTACAAATTAGTTATCACGATTATCAGTTATCAATCTAACCAATCGTGATGGAGTTACCGTCCGTTTAATTCCTCTCTTCGAATTCGTTTAAAAATCAATTTTTTTCTTCAAACTTTACGCACATTACTTACAGCTTCGTACACACTGAATTATCTTTAATTGAATTCGTAGAGAGCAATTACGGGATTTCGGCATGCAGACTCGGCATGCAACTTCATACGTGCGCCGTAACTGCTTGTATATTATTAATGTTTATGAAGGAAACTGAATGATTGAATAATTAATAACCACGAGGCGAATCGCTATGATTATTGCAAATAAATCAATCATTCGAATTTTAGAAATTCACCTCGCTGTCAAGTAACTGGCAAGAAATGTAAAAAAAAAAAACTTGCCACTTATAGTCGTGTTAAATAACTTTGAGTTGCGCAAGTGTAGCAACCCTAGCGAGTACCAAGGAGCTCGTACGTCGGTTCAAATACATTTAAAAATTTCAAAAATCCATTCTCTAAAAATATCATCCGATAAGTTCAAAAACAAGACGTATTGGCTCAATGATAACAGCGCTGAGTCTGTAGTGAGTAGATGAAGTAGTGTACAGCAAAATAGAGTCAGACAGGGAGAACGGCGTCTGACTAAAGCATGACCTTCTCTACTTAGCTCAAGAAATTGTTTCCTATATCCGTTATCGTTTGATTGAAAAAACAATGAAGGAACTTTCGTAAGACGATTCTTCTTCTCCCTGTCCAAATGTCCTCTATGATCGTGTGAAATGTCAAGTGTGATAATAGATTAATGAAATATTGATAGCAAATTCTAGCCGCAAGTTGCATAGACGAGACATTCCTATCTTCATTGTCATTCTCACCTTGCGGTCATCCACCATCTCACCAGGTCGCAGCTTCCTATTCTCCTATGGACCAAGCCGTTATGTACAAGAAAGTCTATTACAACGTGCGTGTCTTGTTACGCGATCAATAACTATTTCATACTCTATGAAATGTGTATGTACATGTATGGATGAATTTTTTGTACGTATAATATTTGTCTTAAAGCGTGTAAATGTGTCGTTACGCGATCGAGGTTATATTAAATATAGTGAGACTTATAAACAAGGACACTTTAAGTGCTGTCATTGAGAATCATTTAAGTACCTAGCTAAAATATTCCAAGTAACCAAGGACAAAGCTGCAATAACATTAACATACGGAATTATTAGACCGAGGAATAAGCGTTGCCAAAATCGTCATCTAGTGGACTCTATAAATATGTAAATTCATCTTATTAATAGTCCCAAATAGATTTTTCTCCAAAGACAAGTTTTCTGATATAAGCGAGATCGCAAAAGTCGGTTAATGTCACGCGTGGTCCTTCGTTACAAGTTGGCTACGCCTTTGGCACATTCTGCAACAGGAGAGATCTGTAGAATAATCTGAAAAACGTAAATGACTAGGAATATCTGTTATCATCAGTAGCTAGACCCATGATAGTCATCGACCTAGAGCCTGAAAGAATGGTCAGTTAATATTGGAGATTCATTGCTAATACTTTGGTACAATTAAAATTCTACGTGTTGATGTTCCGCGTACGCGATGTACAGTGGTGAGGAATTAAACGAATGAATATGTCGTCAGGTCTGAGGAGGTCATGGGTCAGAGTGTAGGGATCTTTTTGACGTTGGACGCAAGATAGGGGTTGCTTTATAAATGTCACAGGGTGTAGGGTGCATACAGGGCAGAAGCTGGGCCGTGCTACGACGGGCTCTATTCTAATTTCAACATTTCAAATATCTCTGTGACACTGACTAAGATCTAAGGGGTGGGAAAAAAAAAAACAAAGGGAAATACTCTCAAGTCAAGAGAGCACCACAAATGGGCAATTCACTATATCCGTTCACTGACTACGAAACCAAACTGCAAATCACTGGGGTCACGATAAAGACTTCTATAAATTCTTTCTAAGGTCTAGTTCTATTTTTAAATACCGTATGTATAAAAAAACAAGGACTACCGGGGTCGATTCAGTGCTTGGTAAGGGTGACGATCGAACACCTGGAAGTGGTGGATTCGAATGAGCATCTTCCAGGCAGTGAAAAGAACCCAGTCGACCTGGCAGTCAATATACCTGCGAGGGTCATCCGTGTCTACGTAACATACCTCGTCACTGATGAGCAAGCTGGGTCTACGACCCAATTCCTCTGGCGGAATGAGGGAGCCTCTTCGGCTGTTACTTCCGCTTCCTGGAGCGAGAGAACCTTTCCTACTACCGGCGGGTGTGGCGTCTTTGATGACTTCGATCTTCGGTGCTTCCGGTGCTTTGATCTCTGGTAGCTTCGGCTGCGAAATCGAGATTCAATGTAAAGATGGGCTCGGTTAAAAGAATTCCAAAGCGAAGCAAGGCGATGGAAGCGATGGCAGAGCGAAATTAGTGTGAAAAAAGAAACTGAAGCAAGAGTCACCGACCTCGTTTGCAGAATCAGTGCGAATCTCGACAAGAGAGGTAAAGCGTACTTCGCGCAGCACTCAGCCGAATCTTTACTCTCGTTAGTCGAACGCCTCGCGCAAACTATTCCCAAGAATAGCGGGACGTTTTCGTAATATGAAAACGGCCACCTCGCGAAAATAGTTTCTGTATGAGGAGCATTCATCGTTTGCCAAATGGCCTCAAGATTTGGAACAGCGATTATATCCATGACTGGCCAGGAATATGAGTGTAATATCTCAACCGTGGACACGTTTATCTGACTAATCGGCCGGTTTCTCTTTAAAGAAGCGTTGCGAAGCCGAGGATTGGACGCCAATTACATGTCCACGCGTTGCATGTCTGAAGCAGAGGATTAGGCAGCGATTGCGAGGAAACATTAATAGCAAAGAAAAATTGAATAACTATGGACTCACCTTCGAGTCAAACTTCTGCAGGTCCCAGGAAGGATTATGAAAGAAGAAATTACGTCAGTGCTCTATCTATTTTATAAATGCTTCGACGATTCCTTACCTGAGCGGCGGGTCTGTCGAGTTTGGTCTTGTCGCGAGGTACATGATCGCCAAAGTCGAACTCCTGAGGCTTCTCCAGGACGGCTCTTTCGTAGTCTGGAATTTCTGGAAGCTCATAGCTGCTTTCTTTGGCGGCCTTAGAACTTTTCATCTTCTTAGCCTCGAGCTTCTCGCCCTTTTCGGTTTTCTGTAGAAAATTTCATTTGTTAGTGTACTCTATTAACTGATTGATATTGGCAGACAGCTGTTACTGCAAAGGCTGAGCTTAGTAATGCCGTTGATTCTCCAGCTTGTTACAAGTAGAAGAATAAGAAGAATAGTCGTAGCGTCCTAGCATTGAAATGTACAAATAGAATGGGCATAGAGTGAATGTAAAGTACGTGTAATATATTGATAGTGATGTAAGTCTATACATGTAACAGCAATTGTTCAGATATTGAGCTTCTGTAGAGTTCACATATAACAAGATAACAAATAGATATAGATGTTGTACATGTCCCCAGCAGTTTTTAGTGGCCTGATGAAGTATATCGTTAGCAAGAATCGTTATACAGTGTATTCGAATAGTGTCATAACTATAGAGAAGAACAGCAGCTGCGAAGATAAAGTAAATGCTAGAGAATGTTTTGAAGACAGAGTATATGTTACATATGCGCCTTATTATAATGGTAGAACCATACAGAGACATAGTTTAGCAACAAAAACAAAGAAATAAACACGTATGTACATTAAGACTGTGCACTAGTTCTACAGAGAAAGTTAGAGAAACAGAAAGTAAAAAGAAAAGTCGAATTAGATGAGAATAAAGGTGTCTGAAATCCTCTTGAATTTCTGACGTTCGTTAACACATCAGCAAATTAGAATAGTATAGAATAGTATAATATAGAATGTAGAAGTAGACCAGAGAAAAGGTGATAAGTTAAAAGAGAAAAGGAAAAGGAATGGTAAGTGATTAGAAAAATAATTAAAATAAAGATACTGGATGAATTGTGTGATCGATGAGTTATAAATTATTCTACGATGAATCAGAATATGAAATTGGAAGAAGATCGAGAAGAAAGAAAAGTGAAAGAAAACATGAGAAGGCAATGATAAATAATAAACGAAAGAAATAGAATAGATAAGAAGAAAGATTTGAATAAGTCAAGAAAGACGATAGAAAAATATTAAGAAGACTATGACAGTGTCCATCGGAGCAAAAGTGAATAGTAAGAAAGAAAAAAGAGTAAAAAAATGGACAGCTTTTTTGAGCATAGAGGATGAGAAAGATGACGGCGGATCATTTTCTTTCTCATTGTCAGGAATACCTTAAGCTCAACAACCGTGCCATTTTCAGCCTGCTGAGGCTGTTTTGTTTTCTTGGCAACGGGTTTGAGCTGGATCGATTGGAAGGGTTCGTTTTTTATCTCCATTTTCGGTGGTCTACGTAGTTTCGGTTTGGCCTCTGGCTCACTTTCCTGCGGCTACATTAATATATTCTCATTATTCTAAATCATCTTGATCTAACAATTTTATTAAACTAGACTCTTGTGGCATGTCCGATACTGAAGCGCGAACCGTTCAATTTCAATTAGGAAGTAATGATATTCCTATGAATAAATCTAATGATTAACAACAATTCTATGTAACACAGACAGCCACTTGATGTTAATTAGTAAAATCTTACTTAACAAAAACAGATCATATTGGCTCACCTTAAGTTCGACCTTGTTGAGCGCCTTCTTTTCCTCCTCAATCTGAAAAAAAAGAGAAAATTCATTTTATACATTAATATAGAGATGAAAGACATTTAAAAATTTTCAATATTATGCTATCGCTAAAGATAATACCTTTGTGCCTGCCTTAAGACCGAATTTCTTCGTCTCCTCCTCTTTCTGCAAGAAAATAAAAACGTACATATTAATGTAACATACTTACACTGTATGCAATTAGGATGCAGCCAAAATACAGTCAACTATCTTTATATTTAAAAGGCAATGGTGTATAGTGTAACTGCACTTGTTGGCAATAATAAATGAAAAATGTAATAAGTTACAATAATAGTGTAAGTGTATTTTGTTTTGTGTACCTTGGGCTCTTCAGGTTTGCCAAGTGTAGCCTTGGATTTTGGAGTGGGTTCATCCTTCTATAAATTAGGAATCCGAGTGTGATTAGATCACATCCCATGCAGATTGTGGTAAATAACAATAATACAGCATAATTAGACATAAATAGTGTAACTGTATTGTGCTTTGTGAGATAGTAGTATTTTAGTGAATGTAACGGTTTTTTGTGTACCTTGGGTGCTTCCGGTTTACCAAGAGTGTCTTTAGATTTCGGAACTGGTTCCTCTTTCTAAAATTTGTAAATACAGATTTTCTAAGATGTTCATTAAACCGATGAAATTTTAACTGTATTGTAAGTGTTTCGTGTACCTTGGGTTCTTCTGGTTTACCAAGAGTTGTTTTAGGTTTAGGGGCAGGTTCCTCTTTCTAAAATAACGATCAAAAATATTTGATGGGTATAAAAGAAAAATCAATTATCCCGTTTAAAAATAAAAATTCCTATTAAGTTACAACGCTAGTTTATCATTATTAAAATGTTACTATCGAAAAAACAAAACGTAATTCGTGTGTCAAGGTAATTGTGTTTTCTGTATCCTAACATCTTGAGGTTTATCTACGAAAGCTTCAAGTTTTGTACAAGTAACTCGTTCCAAAACATTATGCTTATTATTCACATAAAATCTATCACTGTCATCAGTTATATAAATAGGACTGCCATTAACAAAAGTCTGACATAAATAATGTTGTTCAAAAAACCTTTACTCACCACATAAACAAAAAAAAGAATAGATATAAGCCACAAACCTTTTCAACGGTAGACTTCTTTTGCACGATGGATGATCGACGGCTTTCTGTCTTCACTTCTTCATCCACCTGAACAATGTTTAAATAAAATTTTTAGTGAGTCCACGACGTCTTAAAATAGATAATATAATCATAATATTGGAATATTTGAATGTCAAAGGATGATTCATGTGTTTCTTTTCAAAATGTCTGTAATTGGCTTGTGTGTTCATGTACCTTATGCACAGAGGTGCGACGCTCTGGTGATTTTGTACCATCTTGTGTAATCTGTGTGTATGGGGAAAGTATATAGAGGTTTTAGAATGTTGTATTTTGGATTTATTTTTCTTTATAAAAAAAATTACCTGTTCCTGTGTAGTGACAAGAGAGCTGCGACGACTTTCAGTTCTAAGCTCCTCGACCTGCACGTTAGTTAATATCAAAACAGTATATGTCGCATCGGGTCGTAATTTATTTTTAAGATTATTAAAAAAAATATTTTTTATTAAACTTACTCTAGTGACAGATTGTTTGCGGTTGGCTATCGTCTTCTCTGGCTTAGGTGTGGTTTCGCGAGAAGCCTATAATAAGAACAGGTTGAATAAGTTTGAAATCTATTTGTGAACAATTTTCATCTCTTGAAAAATATAAAAATACAGGATTATATCCTGTAAAATGAGAACAATTTTTACCTCCTTAGATTCAGGCTCCTTCTTCTTGATGATCTTCTTCACCTGATACAATAAACGTTGTTATAAGCAACATTAAAGGAAACACATTAAATTATTGAATTGACTTGAAAATTAAACATAATTATGGATAACAAGTTATTTACCTTTTCAGGCTCTTTCTTTTCTTCCTCCTTCTTCTCTACCTTCTTCTACAAATAAAATATATTGATGAAAATCATTGTTAAGCAGAATATGCATATATTTTCGAAAATCTTACCTTGATAGATTTTCTCTCCTCCTCTATCTTTTCGACATTGTTGACTTCTTCCTTCTGTATATATCCACAAATATTTCGTCAGTCGTAATATAAATGTTTGCAATAAAAAAACGCAGAAAGAAATTACATTGAAAACAAGAACTCACACAATCAAATTTGAACAACATAAAACATGCAGCGTATGCCTCATAGGACGAATAGACAAATAATAATTGGAAAACGTATAATGGGGAAACATTTAAGGGACTGGATATTTCATAGAAGTTTGCAGGCAAATTGGAACCCAGCTTCTGCAGTGATATAACAAGTTTGGAATGTTTGTGAAGAATTTTTCAGACTTCTTTCGTAACGGAAAATGTAAATTGACGTTTGAATGATACGACATGAAAGCGAATGAAAACAAGCTAAAGATAAAAAGTAGAAGGAAATGAGCAGACCATGGGCAAGCTGAAAATAAATAGGCACATTAAGACGTTGCGCAGTAAGGAAATAAGATAAAGGCAAAATAAACATAACCTAATTAAATAATAAGAGTTACATTCGTATTCATGTTAAATTAAGCATCCCCAAAAGACACGCAGCATAATTCTACTTCTCAATCCCGCTCAAAAGCATTTAAAAGCTTTCATATTATCAGTATAGAATTAAAGGCTAAGCGATTTGTAAATTATATGAATCTTTTTTTGAATTCTCTTAATAACATATCAATTAAAAGATTCATAGAATAAAAAAAAAGAAGCGTGAAGCGTCCTTTGGAAATATCATCAAATACTTTACCGAATAACTTCTTGTTCGATAGATTTCACTCACCTTTGGCTCTGGTTTCTGAAATAAAATAAAATACAAAATTAATCAATTGTACGAAACTATATATAAATTATATGACAAAATTTATAACGCATCTTAATAATATCAATGAACAATTTTCGTAAAACAGAAATTGATATACATTGATTTAGTAAAAATGAGTAAATATAAATTCCTTTGAAATCATAAAACTCTTATCATAAATCTTACTACAGGCATTCTCACGATATCTGTTGTTTAAAAATAGGCATGAAAAGAAGCAGCACAGTTAAGTTCTCTTTGTCGATTCAGAAGTTAAGTACTTTAAAAATGCTCTGCTATGATATATTGAAAATAATAATTTATCTGTGGAAGATCATAACCACGGATCAAAACAAATAACAGTCAGCAATATACAACGATAATAGATTGTACGCAAAGCTAAAGTGAATTAAACACAAAAGAGAAGAAAAATAATCTTAAAAAGTTCATATCAACAGTAACATCTAAATGTTCACATCGAGGTCAAAGGTCATAAAAAAAGTGTAAGTGTTCTGTGTGACTGAGTGCCATTCTTCGCACTTAAAAAATTCAAAAAAAATGTGGTGTGTGTGTTACCTTTGAAACTGGTTTGTCGATACCGTTTGCTTGCAAAGCCGGTATATCCTTAAAAATAGAAATACGAGAAGGTCACAGTTATGTATAATGTGTGCTTCCATTGTACATACAAAAAAAAAACAGAAGAAAATAACAAAATTAAGCTGATTTCGAATGAAGCTTTGGTACATATAGCCGTCATCGCCAGAAGCTCACAACGTGCAAGATATAATAAAATTCAAAATTTCCTAAGCTCTGGCGAGGATAGGCAACCAAAAAAAAAAAGGTAAAAATGTTGAGACAAAAAAGTGTTGCCCAACTCCAGCGAGCAAAAAACAAAGACAAAAATGTGTGTAACTTCGTGTTGCCCATGTGTACCTCGACCTGAGAAACGGGTTCTGATTCTGGTTCTTCGACGATAGGTTCCGCGGTACTGGACTCTACTACACTCACCGGTTCCTCATCCTCTTCGTCGCTCAGAATCTGAGTGATAAGACGAGAAAAATTTTCAAGCGTGTCTTCAACTCCTCATTAATATGGAATCGATAAATTTCTATTTCTTTAAAGGCAACCATCTTGTTAAATATTAATTACTTCATGCATCGGATAAAATTAATTACAAATGATAATTAAGAAAAAGTTGATAAATAATTAGAGAAGTGGAGACGCGAGTAAGATGAATGACTATTAGTCGTATTGGAAAGGTCAGTGACTTTTTTACCTTCTCCTCCTTCTTTTCTTCTACCTTCTTCTTCTCTTCTTCAACCTTCTTCTTCTGTTCTTCAACCTTCTTCTTCTCTTCTTCAACCTTCTTCTTCTCTTCTTCAACCTTCTTCTTCTCTTCTTCAATCTTTTTCTTCTCCTCCACCTTCTTCTTTTCCTCTTTCTCCTCCTCTTCCTCCTTCTTCTTCTCCTCCTTTTTCTGTAATGGGGTGACGGGGGCATGCGACATTTAACATGGAATTTGGATATCGATAATTTCATAGGTTCAATACAGGTAGTGTTCAAAGGGATAAAATTTGAAGAAACAAAATTGGTTATTGTGGCAACAGTAGCAGAAACATTTGAACAAACGTGTTTTCTTTGGGGCAAACATACATTGATGTAATACAAAAGGGCAATCAATTTGCAACTCGATATTACTTGAAGAATGTAACGATAATGAACTTTGAAAATGATTGTACACGCAATGACGATTTTCAGAAATATAGTTAACCATTTCATAAACTGTGCAAGAATTACCTTAATAATAAGTTCGGCCGACGATTCATCCTTGCCGAACTCGTTGCTGACGACGACCTTGTAAGATCCAACAAACTCCTTTGTCACAGACGAGATGCTGAGCCTCATATCTGTTCCATTGAAGGTTATCTTCACATCCTTGGAGGACTTGATCACCGTCGAATTTCTACAATATAAATATAACGTCGATATCGAATGAAAATTGAAAACACATTGTTTCGAAAAGATTTTCAGTAATTTGTATTCATTTATTAACACTTACTTGTACCATGTTACGGTGACCTTCCTATCCTGTTGAGAAAGGCTGGCCAGAAACTCGACGGATTTGCCTTCCTCCACGGTCTAAAAATAGCAACTTATGAAATTTCGAAACATGGAGAAAAAATTTATATAGATATCAAGGAAAAATACTAACGATCGACTTAAGACCGGAAGCGAATTTAGGCTTCTCGCCCCCATCATCCGGTATCTCAGTGATCTCCACCACCTGAGAGGTAGCCTCTCCTTTCTCGTTCCTTGCCACCAGCTTATATTGACCTTTATCGGCAACCGATACTTGCTCGATCTCCAGCTTCACCGCAAACTCACCCTACGAATAAATTCGCCCTTGTGAACTTTCTGTTATCTTTGTTACTTCTTAAAATTATGTTAATTAATTTCTTGCAATACCGACCTCCTTGACCTTCTCAACGTGAACAGTGTGTCGACTGTCCTCCTTAACGGCCTTGGTTTCCTTATACCAAGTACAGTCTGGTGCGAACTTAGAGAGCACGTGGCACTCTACGATCACAGTCTTCTTCTTTACGACTTTGATGACCTTAGGTTTCTCCTTGATGACAGGTACAACTGAAAACCAAGAGTATCTCATCGTGAGTACAATCGTCCTTATGAGGATTCAATAAAAATCAGAAGTTAGAACAATATAAATTGATACTGACTTTCAACATTGAGAGTAAGATTAGCATTGAGCTCTCCCAAGTTATTCTTGATGTTGCACTTATAGAGACCAGAATCTTCTGCTCCAGGGTCACTCAAAGTCAATTTGATGTAATAAATATCCTCCTTCTCCTTGGTGATGCTGATGGATATCCTTGACGACTCCTTAACGACCTGACCTGCACGAGTCCAAACAATATCGGGCTTGGGTGCAGCTTTGACCCTGCAATCCATGATGACGAGCTTGCCCTGATTTTCAGACTGAATTCGTGGTTTATCCACGAACGTGGGTCCATCTCCTTCGGGCTCGGGTTCGGCCTCGATGTTGAGGTTCAAGTTGGCGTTGCTTTCGCCATATTCGTTTTTCACGTGACACCGATAGGTGCCACCGTCGGGGCCTGACGGATCCTAGAAATCATAAAGCATCATTTAGGTCCATCATACACAGACAAAATAATCTTTCTTTAAAATTTTCATCAGCAGAATCTCACTGAACTGACCTTAATTTCAAGGATAAGTTCGTATATGTCCTCCTCAATATCGCTCGTCTTGATAGTGATCTTCGAGGACTGTTTGACGACCGTGGTACCACGGAACCATGTGACGTCGGGCTTTGGTTTAGCCTTGCACTTGCACTTCATAGTAATCAGAGTGCCACTGTCGTTTGGTATTATACGCGGCTTCTCGATGAAAGATGGTGCGAATCCTGCGCCGTCATCTGCACCTTGGAACGATCCACAATTAGTAATCGATTCACGAGCATAATAAAGAGTTTTGTAAGTTCGAGAAGAAACCGATAATTCTTGAAATTATCAAAAATTTGTGTTACCGGCGGTGTTAGGCGTTACAACGAACACAGAAGCGAAGACAAAGACTTCACGTGTCTGGTTAGAGACCTCTTGGGGTCCACTTACCGTATCAAAAAAAAAGCCTAAAAATTCTCGCGAATCCCAATATATCGACCCTAACCCGTCCGCGAATCGCGACATTGATCAATAAAAAAAAAAAAAAACTATAACATTAAGAAATTCTTATAAAAAGAGTATAAGATTGAATAACAATTATAAAAGTCTCCTTCTGAACTAAAGATGTTGATGCTCTCGGTGCCGACTTGCCTTGGAAGTTGAGAGCGATGTTAGCGTTACTCTCGCCGTAGCTGTTAAATGCGTTGCACCGATAATTCCCACCGTCTGCCTTGGTAGGATTTGAGATCTCCAGAGAGAGTAAATAGGTATCCTTTCCAGTAGACTTGCGCGACATCTTAACACGTGGACTATCAGCGATAGCCTTGTTTCCCTGGTACCACGTGATATCCGGTACCGGATGAGCCTCCAGGATGCACTCCATAATAAGGATGTCACCCTCCTGACGGATAGTTGGTTTCTTCGGGAAACGCGGTGGCTTTCCGTCGGGTATTCTATCGGGAAGTAAGACTCTTTCGTGAGGAAGACCAAGGAGACGTGATCGACGTCGCAACTTCCGTTCACTAGACCCCGACCGCCTTCACCAGGTACAGAAGAGCCATGTCCCTGACGAGAGTACGGATCCTGAGGATACTTTCACAATAGAAAATAATACAGGGACGTTGAATCACAGGCAATGCGGTCGGCGTGTAGTGAAGGACGTCGGGAGTAACTTCTATTCCTGCGTACTTTGGCTTGTCGCCACCCTCGAAGTTCAGATTAATCGTCGCGACGCCCTGGCCATGTTTGTTCTTTGCCGCTGCTTTGTACTCGCCTCCGTCCGCTTTGGCCACGTTCGTGATCTGTAGCCTGGCCAGGTAATAGAGCTTCTGGTCCTGTTCCAGTGACGTGGTGAAACGGCCTCCCTCCTTCACCTCGTCGTTCCCATGAAACCTGTCCGGGATCGGTTACTCTCTGTTTCTCAACTAGCATCATCTCCTCGAGATGAATAAAGCGGATACGAAGAATACGCGACCGATGCCTCGAAGGCATCTTCTCTAAGTGACATGATCGAAACGGTACCTGGACGACGACTCTTACCATTTGACGGTGGGCTTGGGATCCCCAACCAACCGGCACTCGAACGTGATCGTGTTCCCGTCGTCAGACTGCCTGATGACAGGCCTCTCGGTGAAGGTCGGTTTGATACCATCCTCGGGCACGGGAGCCTCGTCGCCTATATTCACATAAACACCCTCAATTCCCATAACGAACTGACCTCAGGAATCGTCATCACCACCGCCATCCAAGCCACGTGACTGCGTCGAATTCTCTCTGTGATCCTGACGTCATCCTAACCCAACCGATATCTACCGCTTAACGTCGCCCTGGCTATTCGACTGACATCCTTAGGTTGCTGACATCCGTTCATCATACTCTATGATGTACCTGTTATGTATCTATATATCGTTCACGCTCTGACTGACCCACCCATAGGTAAAAACCCCAAATCCCAAGGTCTCGATTCGTATCTGAGTTAGACGTGAAAACGGAACACCGCACAATAATGCACAAGCGTTCTGCTATTACTAGTGCTGTTTGCAAAGGCGTGTGTGTCCTATGTGTATTACTGTGAAACATACAATTTCATTGGATGCTTTATTGGAATTTTCAAGTTTTCTTTACTCTAGTTTCTCAACTATTTAAAATGAAGATTGGAATATTGATGATTCAATATTTCAATGATTATTGTTTGTGAGTATACAAAAGTTTATGCGTGTGCGTATCCACGGACGACATTAAAAACTCTTAAACCCTTTTTTTAAACGTAACACACTACAAACAGTTGTGATTAACAGTGAGAAAAAAAAAGTCATTGCAGCAACCTAATGAAGCGTGTCAGCGTCAGGCCAACTTGCGATTGCTCTTTATGCACCAATTTCACGGCCCGATTAATATTGCATTGAACGTGCGTCTCTAACGATCTTAATTAATCGATATAATTGCCCGAGTATTTGAAATTAATACATACATCGTGTGGGTGTCGCGTTAGATTGGTGCATGGAAAGCAACGAAATTAATACGTCATTTAAGCAGCGGTACTCGGTTATTCTTTTCTTCCTCATATCTAACGATTATCGTCGAACTTCTTTTTTTTTAAAAAAAAAAAGGGAATTCAATTAATCGGGCTGTATATCGTGACTCGAATCACACGAAGGAACTCCTGGCCGCGTCTTCGTAACTTTTGACCTGCGGTAGCCCCGGCGTAGACGGAGGCGGAGGTGAAGGTTAAGGTCGACGATTCGATATACACCCCGAATTACAGTGAAATTTTAATCCCGAATTTTCAGAAAAGATTTCAATCTTCCCCCCCCCCCCACGTTTTTCAACATTTTTCTCACTATCGTTGTCTCGTTTCTTTTATCATTTTTTCCCACAATCCCAATCAGCCAGACGTGACACTTACTGTCAAAATTCAGGGATATTGTCGCGTTTGACTCGCCCAGCTCGTTCTTCGCGGTGACTTTGTATTTTCCAGCATCCTCAACAGTCACGTTTTTTATCTCCAACGTCGCGAAGTACGAATGACCGTCCTTGTCCACGGTCAGCTGAAAATATTAAAACGACTGTTAATTACGATCAATAGCATAAACGTTTATTAAAATTTCCTTTATATTATTTATATTCATATTACCTTATGCCTCGACGAATCTTTCACGAGATTCCCATTGTGAAACCACGAAACTTTCGGCGTGGGATCGGCAGTGATACGGCATTCGAAAAGTAATCTCTTCCCATCGTCCTCTTGTCTTATCGCGGGCTTCTTTGCAAAAGTCGGTGCAATACCGTCGATTTGTCTGTCAAATAAAATACAATTATTTATTACGACATTCCTGGCATCCAACTTTCGCAACTACAGACCATGCGGTCATGCCTTGTTACGAGTACAGGTGGATTCGGTCTTTCCTGTTATCAATATAAAGGATCCAAAGAATTTCGAACAATCTTACTGCACGCGTATACATAAAATGTTTATACTTCGAGGATAAAATTGAACCGGCATTCTAAATGAAAAATATTCATAACGAATAAAGTAAAAACACTTTTTCATAGACTATAGGGGTGTTCGAGCATTATTGAGATTTGGTAGCAGCGAAATGGTTCCAGGTTGGCAAAGACTTCCTTCGGCGCGACTGCTTCCAAAATCGAGAACGTCAGCGGCGTCGGACGAGCACGTTGCGCTAAGTTTAGAGAAGTAGGCTGCAGCTGTTGTATTGCCTGGTAGCACCTTCTCCTGATTGGCTAATCTCACGTCTACACGTAGCCATCATCTTTTTCTCATCTCTTGTGCATCCCGATTTTCACAATGACATATATATATGCTTTCTCTTATAAATATATCATCCGGTACATCCTCGGATTAAACGGTGCTCTGAATTAAATTTGAGTACCGTCGAGTCTGGAGTAGCAAGACAAAAAAACCAAGAACCAATTTACCTGCTATGAGCCTTAATATGCGAACTGTTCCATAAATTATAAAATTTCTGCGAATTAAGTAATTTGGGTGTTTCATGGAAATTTTGAAATTCTAATCTCGACAAGAAACCTGGGTGATCGGAGATCGGTGACGCCCATGCAGGTATTGCTAAGGGTAAAGGAAACTATACGAGCTCAGAAGTTTCTTATCGGACCGCAATGGCGCTGCGGTAGCCAAAAATAACGAGGATTCCGTATCGACTATTTCTGGCTGTGTATAATTGACGCGTGCCTAAACATCAAACGCCGAATCCACCTCGTGACTTAACAAAGAAAGGTTTAGACTTTTTCGCGGTTGTTAACCACAAAAACAGAAAAATGCGAGTTAGATGAGATTTCGGGAGAATCCAAAAAACAACAAGTTAAATAGAAAATCGTTAGAACGACAAAACAAATGAAAACGTCACATCACAGCAAATATCAGAGATACAAACGCGTTGATATTTTTACAAGGATCGAAGTGAATTATTGTGTTCAAGCTTGAAAGAAAAAAAAAAAGTACAATTAGTAGTAGACAATCAATAGAAACGTGAACGGGAGAAAATAAAAAAAGAAATAAAGGATTTCAAAAAAGATACGTATTACAAATTCATAAACTTTCCCGAGAACACCTATCCGATCGGAGAATAATAAATTTTCGAATTTTTCGAAAGTCGAAAATTTTATCATTCGCTGATCGAAAAATTTAACCTCGCCGATGAGTCGTATCGATATATGAAGTTATGAGAGGCGTAAGAATATTTACATTTAAGGAAAAAACGAACATTCAGCCCATAGGGATAACCCATGTACAAAGGAATTTGATAGCATTGAATTAATGACGATTAACAATAAAAACGAAGACGTAAACAATATGTACATATATACGTATGTACGCGACAACAAGATAAAAGATTCACGAGTAACGAGATAGCGTCCGCGAACCAGCTGACTCACCGTTCTTTTTCTTGCTCGGCAGCTAAAAACATAAATGTGAAATGGAGGATAAAAATAAAGAACAGGATTATAAAAAAGAAAAAGAGAGAATAGAAATAATATAGAGGTAAACTAACGACTACGGCAGGGCGTTAGTATGTGTATATAGAGGAGTGAGATAAAGAGAGAAATAAGAATAAAAAAAAGAAAGAAAGAAAGCGAGACAAAAGTCCCATCATCGCACTTCGAACTCTAGTATCGCATTTTTCATCGAACTTACTTCTCCCTAGGTTCATCCACGGCTGTAAAATAAATGGCGGTTACAAAACAAGCCGATCGCGAAATAGCATACATAACCCTCCAGTAAACATATATCAGAACTCAAAAGCTAAAAAGTTGGTTTCAAAAAAATTAAACCAAACAAAAATTTACTGGAAGAGCTAAAACCCACTGTAACCGTTCGATAAGCCACCGTCCGTTAAAGAGACGGTGTGACGTATGATTCTATTAAAAAAAATTACTATACACGGATGTAATGTAGAAGGGAAAAAAAAGGATTTTGGATGTGAAAAGGATGGGGAAGAAAGGTTCCCGAAATTGTAAGGGTTGCTTTGTGAAAACTTACGACTAAAATTGAGGTTGATGGACGCGGCGACCTCTCCCATCTTGTTCTTGGCCTTGACCTTGTAAAGGCCAGCGTCTGTCTCGATGACGTCATCGAGCTCGAGCACCACGAGGAACTTGTTTGTTCCTATACTTTGAATTTTGAAGTTTGTCCTGGCATCCTCATTCAGTTGTGTTTCACCCCGGAACCAGGATATCTCAGGTTTCGGTGAGCTCACCAGCTGACATTCGAAAATCAACCGGTTGCCCTCGTCTTCCTGGCGCAGCTGAGGCTTCTGCGTAAAGCTGGGGGCGAAGTCATCGGCGACCCCCATCTTACAAGGGTGCCTCTTCTACCTACACGATCACACGTCATCCGACACTTTCACAATTTTTTTTCATTTTTTTTTTTTTTTTTTTTTTTTTTTTTTTTTTTTTTTTTTAAGAATTGATTCAAACCATCCCACACAAAATCTTGTCTATTATTAATACAGTTTCTATATCAGCTTGAATGATTATTTTGACATAATTTAATTGAAATTCGAATCTACACGTATTTCTGGAAACCCTTAAACTACTGAACCTACAACACGTATAACCGTAGGACCATGTCTGATTTCTCTAATTGACTAATAAATCCTAATTTCTGTATTTGATCCAATCATATAAATTTCGAGGATATAACGTAAAATGTGTAATGAAGGTTTTCAATTGCAATAATAATAATAATAAATATATGTTATGAAAATAAATAAAAATTTTTTCTCTTACCTGTAAAACCTCCTGCCTCTTGTGCGATCGCCTTAGCTCTCCTAATGTCTTCTATTCCACCTTATCCTCACTTCCCTTAGTTCACAAAGGCACCGCCGAGCGGCACCATTTAAGCCTTACGGCTTCCCTCGGTCTAATAACGATCTCTCGATCGATTTACCTCAAATCGGCAAATCTGCACCCCACTCCTTGCCCCCTGTAAATCACCAAGTTTCGCTAACCCCGACGAAAGACGTTGTGACATACGATCAAACATATTTTCCGAGACCCAAGGCCATTGTGTGACGTAAGCCCTCTATTATTAATGTGGCTCTTGGCTCGAAAATAGTCCAATGGTTATCTTGGTAATCGGTTATTATGTTTGGCATCTAAACATGGAAGCAGCATGTAGGTCGCAAAAGCAAACGGTGTGAGTACCACTTCACCTTTTATTATTTATCTTAATCTCAACCACGCGGTCTCCTCCTGAATTTCCAACTTATCGTTCAGAAAAATTATGATTTTAGAAAAATTTGATATTTAAACATTTCTGTTGAAACAGTATATATATATGTAAGACGTTAAGCAGAATCCTCGGACAAAACTCTTGGCGATTACCGGCTTGAAAAACTTAGGTTAGTTTTCAATTTGGCGAAGAAGCGCGTCCGAAAAGATTTCACAAGGTGCAGTTGCCATTTCTACAATGGACATTGAAACCGCGTAAACGTCTCGTCTACGTTAAATGGCGTCTAACAGATGTGAAAAGGGGAACGGACGGACTGATGGGCGGATACGTAACGAAGTATTATAACGTCACGGTAAGACTTGGCAAGTAGCCTCATACATTCTCGGAATTGCTTGCACCCCGTAGTTGCTGTTCGCATTCCCCATTTTCATTCCCATTACTGTTATTATTATCACTAGACATCCCGATTTTAATTTATTAAAGTTTGACGACTCCTTCGAATTTTCTCCTTTCTTCTCCTTCTTCCTCTTTTGTAATTTCGTCATGCGACATCCGTTCATTAAATATCTTCTCTTCGTTTTCATTGCATTTTTACAATGCAATTACTTCAACTTTATGTTATCTTCTATTATTTCTTAATCATTTCGTTCTTCTTCGTCTTTTGCTATGCCCGTAATAGGTACTTTCTGACTGATCCAGAAATACACGAAGAAATATATATTGTGAATATTAATTAAGAATTTAAATATATAGGATAATTATTTAATTGACTAATTAATTGTTAGTTCATATAACGCAATAATACCGTAGCGACTAAAGTATCTGTCACTAATGATTTTCGCGCATGAGACTCAGCCAATAAGATCTATAAAAGAGGTCGATGCATCAGTATATAGTTACGTGTCGATAAATAAAAAAAAGAAATATGCAATTAAGCTAATTGTAAATAGAAATTACGACAGTGTCATCCTCACTGACTGTTCGATCTGACGAAGTCGTTGGCAGTCACCTAAATCAGAGTCCGTGTCTCATGAGAACGTGTTAGGGACTGAAAATAGCCAGTGACTATTTTCAGATCGTATTTTTATGAATGGGAAAAGTGATCTTTGATCCGTTGAGTTGATACGAATTATATATCGATAATAATAAAAATTGAACGCATCGAAATTATTAATTTAAAAGAGGCTTCTATTTTTAGTATCTTTTTCAGTGCGTCATTTGCAGGACGTAGCAAATTGTCGTGCAGTGAAATACAGCCCTAAGGTTACCGTCGGATAGTACAAATGTAAGAGTGATGTTACTGTTCATCCTGTCGTTCGCAACGTTGTTCAACCGATGCTAAACCTGTCACTAGTGCAACTTTGGCAGAGTCAAGGTATCGTTCTGCATCTGCTGTTTCGGCCCGAAGGGAGAATTTCGAAAGGAGAGCCATTAAGCAATTTGGTACGTGCCACGATGACTCAGGAGGTCACGGGTATAATATCTATGTAGTATATCCGTCGAGAAGTTTAGATACCGGCAGAACAGTCATTTGATGGCAGCGTCGATATAACAGAGAATGGATGTTAAATTAACAAACATTTTCTAATGCGCTATTTGGCCTAGAGGTTATAATTACTAACTGCAATGCATTTATGTATATATTTTGGGCTATCTAACGTTCCGTCGGATATCTATTTCTGCGGAGTGACTCAAAGACGTTTGAGATTTGCAATTTTGGGACGTTGGTTGCATCCTCTACGTCATCTGGCATTTCTCTTGTGCTTTTATAGACAGTTAACTGTCCGAAAAGCGCGTGCTGTTTTAGCAATTTCTTAAATTCGTTTCTAATAAGATTTCAAAAAAACAAATGCATGTAACTGATTGTTTATAGAATTCTCGATCGGATGAATATCGTGTCAGCTTGCAAATATGAGAAGAAATTATTGAAAGGGACATTTGAGAACAGGTAGGGTACCATTAGAGTAAGCAATAAAAAGCTAGTGGAAATTCAATGTAACTGTAAAAAATAATTTTTCTCTTGGCTATGAACCAGAACGAATCCAATGAGAAATCATTTTTACCCCGTATTTAAAGAAGGTATCCGATTGATTTTCTGAGGAAATTTAAAAATCGCGTGAACAAATCCCAGTTTGACACATACTCTTTTTGTAGGAGCTTTTTTGGGGGATGGAGGCTCATTTTCCTATTCTTATGATTTTTATTGAAGTTTGACTCATAGAAACAACAGTACTGAGTAACTGAGTGATACGTGCGGGGGCTAGGCGCGTTTTCACCGAATTCGTAAATCTCATGGAACTCACGGTATGCGGATATTTTTACATCGGGATAAGGTTCTTCAAGAGTGTCGTGGTGGGGAGTGCGGACTCCCACGCGGAACACGCAACATCCACGGAACGAAGAAACGATAGAACGACGGAACCGACGCTATATGAAAACGAACGGACCGACCGTCGACCGACGGCTCTCCTCACGTTACGTCCTCTAAAAATAATCGGACACCGAGCCTAGATACCTAGATAGTAGTCTACGAATAGTTTACCAGTCCACTTCGTCGACGACCGAGCTCATAGGGATTAGTCAGCAATAACGTCAGGAATCGGCGACACGTTTACGAATGAAACGTTCGTTAGAGATTCGTCAGGAACTGTTATTAGATATGGCGACGATAAGGTTTATAAATTTTTCAAGACTGTCTTTATACGAGAAGGAATAAAAATGATATAAAAAGAGTGACCTTGCGATCGGCACTTGCAAATTTAATTTTTAATGGGAAATTGTGTGACGTGAGTTTTACTTTTCTTTAACGGAAACGGAGAGAGCGCATGCGCAATTATTTTCAATAGGATCTAGCAGTGCCACTGTCTGCGCCATTTTGAATGACGTCTTACGGCTCATTTCTTTTACCATTCTTGTCGTCCCGTCCACCTCCTGACACCGAACGTCTGTTTACAAACGTCAACTATCCTCGTTCACTTGCACTTGCTTTTTTAAATGATTTTAACCCGTTTAAACACTTCCTCTTCCTCAGCTCGTATTCGGCAAACTATTACGTAAGAGGTAATTCAACTGGAAATCGAGCTTTCAAAGGGTTCAAATTACGTCGGTGACAACTGATGCGAGTGTTAATTATCCTGGCTCACAGTCGATCATTGACACGGATGCATATATTGAGTTACGCACGAATTCCCTGTCATTAGTTAGACTGATATTGTCGATCTCCAATCGATCTTCTCCGGATACAAAAAAATCATCGGATCGATCTTGAAACCTTCGTAGTGCGTTTTCGTACCTATATTTTACCGGTTACAAGAGCAAGAGTTTTAAAGAAAAGAAGCAATACTCGATTTCGTTGATTTTCACCTCTTGCTGACTTCTCGATTTCTTCTTTTAACATACAATCAAGTTTAGAATCTTCGATATCCAAGAGGAGGATCATGGAGAACGACGTTACTGCGTATCCTTGAAAATCCTCAAACAGCTCAAGTTCACGATGACCGACACGGGATTTCGAAATATCCAAGTGAAAAGATGTGAAATCCTGTCGAGTCAAGCCAATTCGATTCGATAAAATTTTCGTTGCACACGCGGACACGCAACACTGCAGCTTCTCACTGAAGAATCCTCGGTAAATTCCATGGATCACAGAAGACGAAGAAGAAGAAGCGGCAGCGCAAGAAGACGAGTCGGAAGATTCGAAGAGGAGATTCGCCGATTCGAAGGAGTAATCAATCAAACATTTCGCCCGACTTACTTGAAGAGCTTTCGAAAGCGCGTTCGCGAAACAGAAAGTGTCGCAGGTTAAGTTCTCGAGGATTTACGTCGGTCGTTCCTCGTGCTTCTATCGCGAATCTTGTCGTCGACCTCAATACCCGTTCAGCCCGACGTCGTGGTCGTGGTCGTCGTCGTGGTCGTTGTAACTCGTGTTTTGTCGGCCGTCCCAATCGCCGGGGCCCCGCGCGCGAACTAAGCGAACTGATTCTCTTCTTGCGTTCGACGCGTCGATCGCCTCCGCCTCCTCCACCACCGCCACCACCGCCACCACCGGCATCATACCGAACGACCCCACCATCACCCTGCCGACCACCATCCCCTCCATCACTAGCCACCAATATTTTCCTCCGTTCATTCTCCACCCTCGCCACCTTTTTTCCTAGCACCGAGAGGAGTTGCCACTACCGGATGCGACCACCGGCGCGGGGTCACCTTTTAACCGACAAAACAACGCGACCTCACTCGCACCCACGTATTCGTGCACTCACTCACCCAACTTCTACTAGGAGACCAAAAGAGGTCAGAATCTAACAAAACTCCAACCATACGACCTAGCGTGTCAAACTCACGTTGAAAAATCCGCAAGTATTGAGTGTCTCCCAGAGATGACTCGTCGATGTCAATGATGATCTATACCCCGACAAAACGCAAGTATCGCGTAAGCTCTCTCGCATGATTTACAGGTGACGGCTGCTCGCTGAAAATAGAAGGCATTGGGACAATCAACATGTGCGCTATGTTTTTCTTGACGCGCGAAAAATAAACCTGGTCGCTCGTGGAATTTTGACTCGTCCGATTATAGATCCGCCTTGTGATTTCTAATTGCACCTTAAGCCGTAACTGGCCAACAATGCCAACGATCTACCACCATCGGGTGACCAACCTGACGTCGCTTACTCATTCTCCGATGTCTGTGAATTCTCGAAATTTTCCAAAAAACAATTGGCATCTCTTACGCCAGAGGATGATCGATTGTCTCCTGACGTTTCAATCGACAAAGCCAACACTCTACGCTCATGAAGATTATTAATCTACACCATCCAATGACTCTCAAATATCTACGTCCTCTACCTAAGACAGGGAAATCGGAATCGAACCGAGATCTTCCGTTCTGCCGTTCCGGGGTTCTCGAGTTCTCGTGTGAGCTCGTAGCGGTGAGTCTTGGATCTGGCAAGCCAAGCACTTTTCTAAATATACGCGATTGCCCCTCACTGGTGAATCTATCTTTACGTATTACAATCTATACCAACCTGGAGGCTCGCTACCTTGCTACTCGATGACTCCGTGGGGAGTCCGACTTTGGGGTTAACCTCTTACTCAGCTTCAGGCATCTACTCCTACGAACTTATTTTGATCCCGATAGAAAAATCTTGTCATTGGCCATTCTTATGACTATTTATCATCCGTATGAGAATAGGAGGATGAATACGCCAACTCTTTTATGATGCAAAGACAACTGATATGTCATGTACTCATATATAATATATATACACGTATACCGGTATAACCATTCCATAGTGCATCAATTATTTGATTACTTTATTTACCGAAAATTTAACTCTTCGAAAGAGACGTCCATCCACTTACCCACGGATACCGTTAAAGTTCCTTGGGCTACGCTCGGCATATTTTTAGTCCACGTCGTTTTTAGCTCGCACGAAAAAATCGCGGGCTTCTGCTTGTAATGTTTTATACGTTTTGCTGGTATGATTCCAGAAATTTCCAATTTTACTACTACCGTACCTTGTCCTCCTGATTTTTCGTAGCTCGATACTTCATCTTGTAATACTTTCACGAGCAACAGCCCTTGTGGCGCCGTTTATATCTCATCAATATTGCCGTGATGAAAATCAAGTCTCTTGGTAATCTAAATACAGCTACATTGAAATGGTCTTTTGATATCTCCTGATCACCATCCTGCATATGACAGCATTAGTATCCTCACATCAGTATCCTCACGTTAGTATTCTCGCATCAGTATCTTCGCACGTTGCCCACAATGTTGTCGACGGCATCGAAATTGGAACGCAACCATCAAACGCTTGAGCTATTGACGATTAGTTTAGTATTTGGGTTAACTTTGACAGGATGACTGATCGATTACAAATGTCGATGAAGGATCGAGCATGGTCTTCGGACATTTTTTGTTAACATTTTGCAAAACAATAGCTTTTTTATTACCTACATTTTTAGTGATCTCGAACCCCTTTGAATTCATATACCAAATCCCATAAAGGCCATTGAATGGTATATGAAATATAAAACAAGCCTAATAAATAATAATAAAAATGACCAATTCTTAAATAATTATCAATCTCTCGATTAAACAATTTTGTATTATCCCACGCACAATGTGACCGTAGGTCGATTCTCATTTTACAAAAAATCATATTTACCCCTGACAATATTTCATTAATATTTATACCACGTAATTTTTATAAAGCCCGCACGTGGTTTGAAATAGTAAAATCTTTCATAAAGTCGATGCATCCTGTCCAATCTCTACGAGAGATTCGCCGGTGAAATAGTTTCTACAACGTACCAACCCACTGGCCTACTTAGCTGGCCGCAATACTTACCCTCAAAATTTGCCACGAGATATCAAAGAGGAAAAAAAAAATTAAAAGAATTAAAAAAAATTGAATAAAGAAAATCAAGTCCACCCATCTTGGTAATTAGAGCAATAGTAATTAACGTATCATTAGAAATTGCCAATAGGTTGCTCGAGAAGGTCAAGATGCAAGAATGCCAGTCATACGTACTTTAATATCATTCAACAGGTGGTCCTCCTTACGAAGAATCATAAATGGCATAAACAAGCGGACGTGTCGTTGGGCAGCAACTCCCTTGCGGATTAGTTCGCTTAGCTGTTCAGCACATTTTGTTCGAAGGAGCAGAGTAGGCGGGCAAGCTCGAGTATATGGAACAGCGTTTCTAAACTTAACCGTTGGACCGTTCTGGAAATAGATGTTATGAGTGTGAGGACAGGACAAGACACCGGCCTATTATGTTGCCCGGCGAGCAGCGCTGCTTGACAAAAAAAAAAGACAATCCAAGCGCATCGCATTGCGTCAAACTGCATAGACTCGATGAGCCATTTCGAATAACCAGTATCCAGATAAACGTGACTGGTTTAGATTTCAACTATAATGATGTAACGATGGAAGCGATGGAAGTGACAATGACTTTTTACAAATTGACAATGTCAATTTCTAGTTTCGAAATTCTTTCTGTCCGAATGATCAATGGTAGATGCTACACGTGCTGCCGACGGGTAGATACGTCCCTGAGATTTCATCGACTCAGTGAAGATATTTGAATTCTTAACAATGCTTGGTATCCACGCGTATCGATGTGCCTAGGGACATTTTCTTTTGACAGCAATGAAATTTGACGATAATCAATGAATTATTTCAAATACAAATTGAATTTGGTATATTGATTTGTCAAAAAAAATCTATTTATACAAACTTTTTAAAACGTAAACCGAATGATTTTTACTGTGCTTGAATTGTTAACGAGTAAGTAAAAAAAATGTGAATTTTTAGTGTTAAGTTGATGGACTCTGAAACTTTGTCCCGACCTTGTCTTCATCCGGACTAGGGTAATCGTGACGAAGTTACCGTCGGCACGAATCGTCCATGGAAATTCATGCGTATGGACGACGCTTAGGATTCCTAGATTCTACCCGTGCAATAGTCCTAAGAATTCTGCAAGCTCTTTTCGAAAGCTCCTCCCGTCTTACAAATATTTACTGACGTCGATTCCGCCAGACATGTTTTCTCGTCGAGAGGGAAGCAGACGGAAGTCCGATTTCTTGGAAGACGCACGCAAAATGCCATCCAACGAATTTTCGTCTCTTTCAAGACGTGACTTTGTCCTATCGTCATTGAATTCCCGACGTTACTCGGTTGCACTTGATGACGTCACAAAACAAGGAAAAAAAGGGTTTGTCTTTCGAATCTCTTTCAACGAATTCGCCAAGTCCGTTACGCTATTTGGAAACCGGGTCGCAATCGCGAAGGGTAAGCTGGTATCGTGCTCAAGTACTTGCCAAGTCCGTTACGTAGCATTTAATCCGTGACGCATCGTCGCATCTTGAATTTTCGAAATTGCAACGGTTCTTTAACGACTTTGGTCTCGTTGCGAAACAACAAGGTTTATCAGACTCGAATCGGTTTGGGATTCGTAAGAAATCCATATGGTCCTAATACCGCGAACGGGTACTTTGATCAACTTTACGAACGCATGGGAAATGTAAGTGCAACGGATAGTAGTCGTTTACTCTGGAGTCAAGGGAGCTCTCCGCCAAATTTCGACAAATAAACCACACGCAAACAGATGGCTGGCTTCCGAAATTATTCGGGCTTTCTATATACCCACTCAGACGACTCGAATACCGAGTCTAATAAACGTCTCTTACCGATTGTGAATTGGCCACATAAACTTTCGCTAACAAGTCTCAGAGTCAAGTGGTCTTCGTAATTTAAAATTTCAACCGGAGTCATAATTAACTTAGTGAAATTGAATAAGACAATTTTCATTGTAAAATTCAAATATCATTCATTTGCATCAAATCGTTTCAGATTGCTCTGTGAAAATTGTTCAAATATTTACTTTTTTATTAGTGCCCATTAACGCTTCTGTTTTACTTTCTCTAAATTGGTTATTTATAATCAAATGAATTATGGTGAAATAAAAATGTTTTTTTTTTTTTTTTCGACTGGCTGACAGGCAGTAAAAAAGACTATGTATCTGAAAATAAAAAGATATGACAAATATGACGAACGAGGATTGTTGTACTATTTCATTGGAGAATCATACGCTTTTTGGGAAAGCTTGGAAAATAATTTATCGTAGTATGTATATCTAGCTGATATAAAAGATACAGTATCGTAAAAACTAGGAGGACAAACTGTTGATGGTCATGAGAGTTACCTGACATTTAAAACACGATATAAAAGCATAAAATAATCTTCAAGTGACGTGAAAATTTCAACGTAAACATAATACATAAATCACCGCCCGATTCACGCCTACCTGATACGAAGATTGCGAATGAAAAAAAATCTAACGACTAAAAACTATAAATGAAATACGAATATTCGGAGTATTCCGTGCACGACTAAACCTAACGCCAAGTCTGAAATAAAATTTTTGAGAAGCGATAAAAAAAAGTACAAGTTTTGAAAAATAAAGAATACTCTAAAAATAAGACAAGAAAACAAGCATACGCAACTTAAATATATCGCAATTTATACTACCCCATTGAACAGAAAAGAAGCTATTTACGCTTTAGATAAATAAAGAAGTACTCACAGTCAAATTTAACAATGTTAGACTATCGCGAAGTAGAAACATATGATAGGAAGGAGGAAAAGAGAAAATTGAAAAAGTCAAAAAAAGTGAAAAATTCAAGAAAGATGAATTGTGCCGATACGCCGGGCCATCGGCACAATTCCAGAAAGCAGGCAATCCCCGATAATCTCGAAATAACGAGCATTCCCCTACCCCCCGACGCAGTCGGCTGGGGCGCCGATATTTTTGGTTGGACGGACGCCGCCGTCGCCGTCGTTCTAGCTGAGAAGGAACAAGCGTGAGCACGAAGGCGCGCGTATGCGTCGAGTAGAGGAGAGAGAGAGAGAGAGAGAGAGAGAGAGAGAGAGAGAGAAGCAAAATCATCGTGTAACGCTTAGCGTGGTGAACGCGTAACCTGAGCTTCTCGGCCCCCCGACCATATATGTCCGCCGCTCCGTCTCTCTCTTTCTCTCGCTCCCGCTTCCTGTCTCACTCCGTCTCTCTCTCTCTTCCACCCAACACTACGCCTTGGGTAGAAAACTAACAGCGCCCTCTCTTAATTTCTCTCAATCCTTCTATCTTCATCGTGCACACCGATGGGTTTCGTAGCGCTAAGAAAAACTCATCAATGTTAATTTTCTTTTGAAACTGATGACTCGAAGAAAAAAATACCTGGCCATTCGATTAGCAACGGTCAGCACTGATTTCCCGCCACATGGCCGATTGGCGCGTTTCGTCCTGAGGTTTTTTTTATCGTCAGGAGATGATGCCGACGCGTTCGTTGTTCGGAGGAGTCTGCTGTCAGGATCCTAGTGAATCGGTCTTGGGAGCAGTGAGTCTGTTGCAGGGAAATGTTACTAGGTGGCGACACCGGTTGGGTACTTTACGAATTTGCCGACGAAAGCGACTATTCTATAGTCTGATGTACTTATTGAGTTACTCTGAATAGCTGAATTTAAGCTAGATCACTGATTCCAGATTTTTGTTTTGTATCCCTCATTTTAGAGGATTTATACACGGGGATAATTAAAGTTTGTTTCAATGCGGGAACAGAGCAGGTATCAAACATGAAGAAGCGAATTTCGTGTCCTAAATAAGGAAACCCGATGACTGAATTATAATCATGAAACTAAAAGAGCCAAATTGCGAAAAATAATATAAATCACTTCCGTCGATGGGCCGAACGTCATCCACAGATACAGGAATGCAATTAACTGGGTATAATTGGCCGACATACACTTGTCACGGATCGACAACGGTGTCTTTAATTTGTCCTGTACAAGGACAAGCTACGAAATCGCTAATTACTTTCACATCACGTCAAATTGCTATTAGCAGAGTCGTTTTCGATTTGGCAAATGTCTTTACGGTCTGTTTCATTTGCTTGTAGTTTTCAACTGCCACCGCATACTAGACAGCCAAGTTTATCGTCTTGCCTCACGTAGCCAATTACGAGAATCAAACGATAACGTGTTACCACCGAATACTTGGAAACAAGATCTTCGCTCGCCATTCGTCTGTTTCACATTAGTGAATCGCAAGATGTCTTACCCCGGGTTTAGGGGTCCTTACGTAAACGCCCATAGCAACCAACCCGCCCACGTATGACGGATACGTTTTCTTCGTATACAAGCGAGTAATTTTGTACCGAGATTCCTCAAGATTAACCTAACTCTACCTGATAACGTCTCCTTCTGCTCTTCTATTATTTGTAGATCCTAATCTTTCACGAGTGTTGGCACTCGCTACTGATCTTCCGTTGAATTCTACAGCTGGTCATAAAGCGATTTTAGACTTCGAATAGAAATTATGAAAATACATCGTAACGTGTCATAGATTTTGATAAACATATTGAATAAAAATTTCTTCTACTGCTACTCCTGAATCTAATTCATTTCATTCATTTCATTGTTTAGTACTTACCATCATTACTGAAGTACCTTGAAAATAAGTGACCCCCCCCCCCCCC